CTGCGATAAAGAGAAAGCAGGTGCTAAAGTGGAGCTTGCTCTGGCCTGTGTGGCTCAGGGGGGAATCTTTTAAGCAGCCTTTATGACATTAAATGTACAAACAGCAATTAATCATATTAAATAAGGCACTGTAGCTAAAAAAAAAAAAAGCATAATAAAGTAATTAGTAACACTTGCAGCGACCTTAATATGTCATATCAGCTGCTGTTAAACGGCCTGTTGTAACGGGGTTGAGGTTGAATACAGTACAACTGATAAAACATGCTGCTGCTGTTAATTGGTTTTATAATTAACAAATCAGTTTGGGTTTGATCTTTGGCTTAGTATTTCATTTTTAAATTTACTTTGTTTATTGTGATTCAGCAGTCATATTCTTGATTTTATCATCGCCTCAGCCATCAGATGCCCTTGGTTTTCTTCAACTCTTCACTCGTCACCTGTTTCCATTTACACGTCACTCTCGCAGTACAAATACTTTTTATGTTTGTGTATCTTGCATGTGTTTGTCTGTTTACTGTGTTTTGGTCAAGATCAGATGTTTTAAAGTTAAGTCTTGTAAACAAACAACAAACAAAATTCCCTGTTGTAGTGTTGAACAACGTGAGCTTGAAATAATAAAGTGCAATTCTGATCAACTGGGACATGTTGGACAGACATCCAAGTAGGGATGCACGATATTATCGTCATGGTATCAGTATCGGACGATATTAGCGATAAAGTTAAATATCGGACATTGGCCATTCCATCAAAATAACTCACCAATATGAAAGGCGCTGTTTTCTTATATATATATTACATATTTATATAATATTACATCATTTTCAGCCTCCTTTTTGGTATCTGCAATTGGTAGCAGGCCAAACTGACATAGACCATGCAGAATAACGCATTTTAATTCCACAGCAGATAAAGCTATGTAGTCTCTGTAAGTAGGTCTAGGGAAAAAAATATCGGTGTTGTATCGGTTATCGGCCAAATAAATTTTAACATATCGGCATATTGGATATCGGCCAAAAATCCAATATCGTGCATCCCTACATTCAAGCAAGACCAATACCAAAGTTGGGTTGTTGCTATCTTAAAACAGCTTAAGTGTGAACAATAAAATCATTTTGCTTAGTTTTGAATTTTCTCGTTACACAATTATTCCAGCAGAAATTACATTTTCGCTACAGGCTAACTGCCCCGGGCTGCAATGGATGTGCTATAAACTAGCTTTTGCTATAATGTGCTTGCAAATAACTATATAATTCAATGTAAATAATTGTGTAAAACGACAATTTATGGGCTCACAAAATAGTCATTGCATGAACCGCTATCTATTTTAAAGGTTGCAATTATTTTAAGAAGGCAGCAGCAACTATTCACTCGGGTCTTGGTCCCACGTAGGTTAGAGGTTAGTTTGTTAAAATGCTTGTTTATGACCAAAGATACTCAATGAATAGCCACGAAGACTGGACAAATAAACAAATAAATAATATCCACAATATTTTTCTAAGCATTAATGTGCCATAGCATTTAAAACTGGAAAGCACAATTTGTGACCGGATGCCATGTGTTTACCTCTGAGCCAAAAATGACTGAAAACAGGTCAAACATTGAACTTATTTGTTCACCTACTCAGACTGAAGCCAGATATGTAAATAAATCAGTGGTTTCCACGTGGTTTGCAGCTGATTCAGCTTTGTTTACACCGAGTGTGGACCCACATTTTAGAATATAGGCTTCAACATCTGGGGAAACTATTAACTTTAAAATCATTTACCTCTTTCAAATTGTTTTGATATACTTTACAATATCAGTAAATGCATTTTTAAGTAGCTGTGTCCATTTTAGAACAAAGGTTTCTTTAAACCAGAAATCAATTTTTGTTTCATTTCTGAATTTGATTTTCAAAGAACTAAAATTGGAGTTACAGAGCTGTGTTGTTTGTAACATAATTCAATGTCACAAATTCAGATAATTGCTGGTCTGCACAACCACGCAGCTGCTAATTGATTTAATTGTCGAGTAATGGCTGATTTGTGTTCATTCAAGTCGTTTCAGCAGACTTTTCTCACACCAAGGCTTACCTCTGTGTTGATCAGTCGTGTTTAAATCGCCTCATCATCACACACGGTGGAAAGAAAACTTGTTGGAAACTTTAAATATGACTGGATTTTTACTCAACGAGACCAAAACAACCTGAGCGCCACAAAACCTCGAGCTGTGATATGTGGCGCCCCCTTCAGGACAAAAAAGAGAACAACCTCAAAAAGATGTTTTTATTTTTTCAAACCCTGATTAATATATTTTTAATTTAGTAAATTTAAGTTGCTCTTATAACTCCCCCAGCATAAAAAATACACATTAGTGTCATTTTCACAAGCATGGATTTTAATATTTTTACATCTCCGTCTTCTATCGTTTATGTGTGGACGGGACGAGGAGGCAGCAGGTCGATGAGATGAACCCAGATATTCCTCTGCTCAGCAGCACTTTCTATCACTGGGTCTCCCCTGGGGTCTCTTCCTTGTGGGACGTGCCACACTTTCATAGGAAAGTGTCCAGGAAGCATCCTAATCCGATGTAAGCGACTCCTTTCGATGCAGAGGAGCAGCAGCTCTATAGCCTCGCCCCGGATGACGGAGCTCCTCGCCCTGTCTCTACGGCTGAGCCCAGCCACCCTACGAAGGAAGCTCAATCTGACTGCTTGTATCTGTGATCTAATGCTTTCAGTCAACCTCATGATAATAGGTGAGGGTTAGAATGTTGACAGACCAGTAAATCGAGAGGTTTGCCTTTCAATTCAAATCTTCTTTCACCATGACCGACCGATGCAACACTCTCATTACTGAGCATGAGGCCCTAATCCATTGATCTATCTCCTGCTCCATCCTTCCATTACTCCTGAACAAGATGCCAAGATACTTTATACTCCCAGACCCGGAGGAGGCATTTTTAATATCATATTTTAAAAAAAAATGTTGGATGTTAAACTAACCCTCGGGGAATGTCGTGGACGAGGCCAACCATTGAGTAAGAGTTGAATCAAACATCTGACTCCCCCCAAACTGCAGTCAGGATTACTTATTTGTTTGCTTTTAAACAGTCAGATCTCTCTTGTAAATGAGTCCCCGAGGCTCAATGGGATTAACCTGTCTAAATAAAGGTTGAATTAATAATTATGTAGAACTGTTTTAGTTGCAGATTTAGGACAATACCTTTTTATAATTTTCTGTAGGAGGTGGAGATGCAGCGAAACTCTGTGGATCTGTACTACTAGGGCTTAGTGTATTTTTAATTAATGTTTTTCTTAGTTCTTATCTTAGATCTTATTGCCGTTTTTCTTTTACATTTTATACTTTTTTTTATTGGGACCCTGTACACAGTTTCATTCCACCTCATGTACCACATGTGATGCGAATGATAAGAACCTTGAATTTGCTGAATTGGGTTTTCTGTTTTCATCTTATACTTTTTTAATTTAATAAATATGTTCTGTGGAACGCAGAAAAGTATGCATCACATGAGAAGTCACACAGTTATTACAGACTATATAACTCCATCTTTTGGAAAAAGAAGGAATAAAATAAACCTTTTTTAAAATAACCCCCCCCCCCCCCCCCTCCATATTGACCAGGGTTTGTATATTTATACACAAAACTGCTCAAAGCATTAATTTATTCAAGAATAATATATTGTTGTTCTTAACTTTGTATTAAACTTAAATTTAACATAACTTTATTTGATTTTTTTTTTAATGAGCCCACGTTTTTCAAACACCTGACAACGATTAACACAATCACACACTGTTAGCAAAATACCCCAAACTTTTTGTAAATTTAAATAATTTCTGTATAAATTACACTCATTTAAAAACTGTATTTTGTACTAAATAAATAAATAAATAATCTTGGAGTGTAAGCAATCGTAAAAACTGTAATTCAAGAGCGATGTTGATGAAAGTATTATTATTCATTAGGACAATATAGATTGAAAAAATAGTCTAATATAAAGAAAACGTACCATCCTTTGATTAGCTGCAGCAATATATAATGGCTACGTCTTTTAAGGATCCATTAAGTACTTAGTTTTAGAACAATGTGAAGCTATCAGCCTAATAAAACACAACCAGTTCTACATTTTTACACAATTATTGTTCAACTTGATGTCAAGGTGAAGATTTGACTGTACAGAAAGTGGTTAATTTGACAGCTCTCATCCTTTCATCTACTTTGTATACACTGATGGTTTAGATTTACTAGTCTGGATTAAAACAATGCATATTTTCCTCATTGTAGTGACTTTCAAAAACTCATAAAGGCAAACGTCCAATCCAGGCCTCGCTGCTCCGGCAGCCACACACGGAAAAACTGAGCTTAACAACAAAAATGCTGAAATTTAGGAAACAGTCAGGTCCCATTCTTATAGGCTGGTTAAAAATATGCAAGAGTAAGCTCATATTTGCACCGTACCACTAAGTAAAGCAAAGCCAATACCTCCATCAAGTAGGATTTTAAGTAAGCTCCTGCAGACTGAAGTAAAACAATATGAGACTAACCTTTACATGATTTACCTAAAAGTATTGACTCTCATGCTGTCGTGTTAACTTTTATAGCATTTGTTGGCCTTAAGGAAATGATGAAAAAGGAAGGGATTGCAGAAACACCCTGCCTCTCCACCTCCAGGATCTCTGTCCCGCTCAGATAAGCCACTCCTGTTACTAATTTCTAGCAGAAAGGCAGGAAACGTGACAGTATAGTTTTCCGCTCTCATAAACAAGATGACTGCCAGGGTTTGCCGTCAGTCTCTGCACGCCTCTGGGTCCAGTCCCATGTACAGACAGAGAAAGTGAGCGAAGGAGAAGAGAGTGAGGGAAGTAAGGAAACAGGAAAGAGACGAGGCTGAAAGACAGGAAAACTCATCAGAAGAGAGGAAAGAGAACTCGCAGAGGGGGGGGGGAAGGAGAGACTTTAAAAAGAAAAGCTTAAAACAGAGTATTAAACACTTTTTTTGTCATGGCTGAGAACAACACAAATGTCTTTCTGGACATTCTGCAGTCCTTCGATGCTGGTGAGTTTCCAACTTTCCATCCTCTTCTGTTTGATGTGGTCACTTCGCTTGGTGCTGCTTTGTCTCAGGAATTTCGAGCTTTAATCCCTCCTGAAACTGATGCCTGGCTGCTTTTGAGCAATAATTGATAAAAATCAATAAATTAGACTATACAAAAGAAATCTTTATCATAATATGACAAGTTTACACCAGTGGAACTTTGCATTATTTTCGCTCCAGTTTGTCTAAAAGTCACATTTATACAATATTTTACTGGTGTCTGCTTTTCCCTTTTCTAAATTTGGTGGTAAAATAAAGACTTTTGGCCAAGTCCTTTAAACACTTAGTGGTTTGAAAGGAAACTGCTTTGTTGTTTCTGGGAAAAGTCTGAACTGATTTATCTTATCTGCAGCTTTCTCTCTTTTTTTCTACAGAAGAAGAAGTGAATAAACCTACTCACTAAAACTAGTGAACAGTTAAAACTGCAAAGGGCTAAGTGTAAGACAGATTTAGAAAAATTCTAGCTAAAAAAATATTAGTTAAAAGCGAAATGCAATTTTTTTTCCCCTAAAAGATTAAAGTAACAATAGTAAAAAGCTAAAAGGTTCAAGGTTCTTTATTGTCATTTGCATCACATGTGGTACACAAGAAGGAATGAAATTGTGTACTCAAGGTCCTAGTTACACCCAAAAAATAGCAAAAATATTAAGTATAAAAGAAACAGAAATGATTTAAGATATACACCAAGTTATACGCTAAATGAATGCTAAACAATACACTAAAGATCTAAGATAAACACTAATAATGTAAAATAATATGGTGTATTAAGCAGCAGCCTGAACATGAGTCTGTAATGAGTAGATGGGTGTGAATACAGCAGCATAAAGGCAAGAGATCAGCAGCATGGATAATCAGCAGCGCAGATAAGTGACATATCATCAATTAAAGTGGCATTACAGTGATTTTTCTCTTTTTTTTTCTTCTTACAGTGATTTTCTGGTTATGGATTTATGAGTCTAACAGCTTCCGGGTAGAAGCTGTTCCTAGAAGCTGTTTGTAAAAGTAGCAAAAGGTTATATAATTGCTAATGTAGTAAAATACTAGCCAAAAGCTAAAAGTAGAAAATAATGGGGGGCGGGGCAAAGCATTATTCAACTAGAACAACGCTTTTGAAGAAATTGTAAATAAAGTTAAATGTTTTTAAAAGTGTAAAAGTTACAAAAACAAAAAGTCATAGCAACTATTTTATATAACAAGGTTAATGTTTTAATACATAAATTACTAGAATACCATAACCTATGCATAAGTAGTTTTCTGTATTTGCACAATTGGAAGAAGATGTTTATGTATAACAAATGAATGTATATATTTGCATCAATATGTAAATGAAGCCATCGGTGACTTCTTTGGCCTCACCATTAAAGGGGGAAAGAAGAACTAAGAGTGTTTGATGTTTTTATTGTATAGTTGAAGCACAAAGCATAAAATCTCACTTTTTATTTCACAGTTCCTTTAATTATAGCTTTCTGTGTCTCCATTGCTGTGGGTCTGCTCCTGGGGGCCATGGTTTACGTGATCCTGACATGGATGTCTCGACACAGAGCAGGCTCTGCCAGCATCACCCGGCGCCCGCCCCGCACCTCGCACACTTCCTCCCGCAATCGTCCTGGGTTCAATCACAGCAGCAGCTACGATCGCAGGAGCAACAACAGTTTGTTGAGCGCAGCTTTCAGCTTCCACCGCCAGAACTCGTCCCCGGATCACCTTGATGCTGTGGGGCATAAATCCAGCTTCAGGGCCTCCACCTTCCACCCCCTCATCCAGTGCAGCCAGATCGCAAGGGAGGCAGAGCAGGGGAGCCAGACCACGCTGCCTCGTACACCAACTCTGACCATGTCAGCTGGATCAGCTCAAAGTGCTGCCCAGTCACCTGCCACCTCACCAAGACCTGAGTCGTTTTGGGGGAACAACAACCTGAGGGGGTTCAGTGTGACGCAGACCCCACCTCCGGCCTACGAAAGCATCATTAGGGCTTATCAGGAAACGACCACCTGACAGGAGTGTCACATGAATGAGCTCTGACCTAAAAATAGGATGACTATTCTGATTTACAACAATAGAGGGTCAATTCAAAAAACGTTCAATACAAAAACAACTGGACTTTGTAAAGTCCAGTTGTTTTTGTATTTAATGTTTTTTTAATTTATCATGTCCTGGATGACTGAGAATCTTCACCAGCACAAGAGGATCAATGATCCAGTTATCTGATCAACACGTTCACAAGATGAAAAAACATATTTAACTTGTTTTTCTTTCATTATAGCATTCCTTTGACACATGTGAAACTGTCTGGTTACTATGTGAACAGATTTTATCGTTTTGTAATTGTTTAGACTGGACTGACAAAAATATGTAAATGTGTCCTTCAGTTTTATGCAACAACGCACAAAAAATGTTTTATGTGTGGAGTCAAAAAAGGGAGATGTGTGTTAATTTGCAAAACTATGCTGAAGACATGGTTAAACTGATAATGTTAATGTATGTTTGAATTGGGAGACGTGTTATTTACTGAGTCACCTTGTGGAAAATTCTAATAAATATGTTCGTATGAAGAATAACTGCGAGAGGATACTATAAAGGGAACGTGTGATGTAAACAGATTTATGCAGTTTATTATGCTTTTGATGGACTTAACTTAATGCAATGCAATCACAAATCAGATGTTTTACTGAATAGATATGGAGAGCATACGAATGTATAAATAAAGTGGTGCATTTCTTTTAACAAAGACAGCAGGTGTTATGACAAAATACGTATCGTTGCTGGAGGTTGAACTAGTTTTGTTGTAGAGTTTAATTGGAAATGAAGTGGTCTGACAAAAAAGGGTGAACAGTGTCTTTGTCCTAACTTTTTGATTCTTGTAGAAATGTTACATGCTTATTCTATTAAAACAGGTCTTTTTTTTTTACATCATTCTTCTATTTATTTATTTTTTCAGTTTATATGCGTCCTTTTACGATAGTGTGCTGCTGTCATTGTCGTCTACTGTTGCCATCATTCTTTGTTAAAAATAGGTCTCTCTTGTAAATGAGTCCTCGAAGCTCAATGAAACTAACCTGTATAAATAAAGGTTGAATGACTGAATTTAATATATTCACAATATGATAAAAAACCTGTTCATCCATCCATGCATGAATGGATGAACTCCAATCCCCTATGGTCAAGATGTCTTAAATGATGCATAATAAAAAGAACGAAAATGCAACGTAAACAATAGAAAAACTTCCAGTTTAAACATAAAAAAGTTGCATAATTGTATTGGCATTTTATAGCTATTATTTAATATTTGTATATTTAATATTATTTTATGGGTTACTGACAGTACTGTGTTACTTTGGTTTTAAAATCAGTTATTGCAGATTGCTTTACTGTTTGGTGCATTTGTTTTTGAAAAGATAGCACAACATTGTAAAAATATCAATGTAGTTCTTATATATTTTTTAAAGATTGTTTGTATATTTTATAAATGAATCCAAAGTTAATGTCCAGTAAAAAAGAAGAAGAAAGTATCCTAATATTTAAAAGGACTTTCTTGTAAATGAGTCCTCGAGGCTCAATGGGATTTACCTGTTTAAATAAAAGTTGAGAGAGAAAACGCTGCGGCTGCAGTTGATGACGTATTATTTACGAGACGAAGTTGTGTTTACGAACCTTAGCTGCTGCAAGAAGACATCGCAGATTTATGAACGCTGGCTTTTAATTAAAAGGTAATTGTGTAATTTCGTTATTAAAGTTGGCTCCCAAACCTCTGCACATGTTAACTTTGTATGTCAGCTCCTGTTTTACCGTAAATGCGAGCCACAAAAAGTACAATTAATCTTAATTTCACTTCCTCCTGTTTTCAAATATTACTGCGTCGCTTTTGTGTTATTTGCCTTCCTATAACAGAGGCTGTGTTGCGTAAGTGTAAGATTAAAAAGATAAAAGTAAGTAAACTGACATTTAGTTTCTTAGTCGTCAATTTTCTATTTCGAATTAGCAAAGTTAGCTAAGGTTAGCTAGGACAGATGAATGAGTACTGTAGAAAACGACTATCAACAGCTGTGTTGCTGTGTGGCTTGTTTGTTAAGAGATTTGTGGTTTAAGTGATCAAACATTCATGACTTCGTGTTTTTGAATCCTAGCTCACAACGTTTTTTGTTTGTTTCTGGGTGGTCTAATAACAAACTCAGAAAAGAGGTGGAGGATGTCTGTTACAGCTTTACGTTTGATCCACTGTCGAAGGTTGAGCTCAGCTGGGCCTCCTGCTGTGAACAAAGTGCTCCAATGGAAAGCTTTAAGTAAGTTATTACACCTTTTGTTGGCCTGCCTCTGTCAGCAGTCTTGATCAAATAAAAAATAGGACACCGACTCGAAGATCAAAACTTTAAGGAGATCCATTTACAATATTTAAACCTTTACCGTACTAAAAGCAATGCGTTTCTCTGTGAACTGAGGAGAACGGTGTTGTGGTTTGGATGCTGAATGTTGCTTCTTTAAATGTTCTTTTGGGATTTTAATAACACTTAGTGTAGATCTTTGAGCATAGCGGTGATTTCTTTCAAAATCAAACCATTTAAAAGATCCTAGGGCCATTAACTGCAAAAAAAAGGTTGTTTTTCCATCCATCCATTCATTATCTTTTACCCACTTCTTCCATTTTGGGTCACGGGGGTCACTGGTGCCCATGTCCGGCAATCGTGCGAGGGGCGGGGTACACCCTGGACAGGTCGCAAGTCCATCACAGGGTTGTTTTTCAACGCAGGCAAAAAAAGAAGTCCTACGTCCAAACCGAGATTATCATCTTTGATGGTTGTTTTAATTCTTTTCATCAAGCAAAAAGTATTTCAAATATGAAAAAGATAAAGTGGCTCCTACAAATGGTGCATTCAAAGATGTGCAAGTTAAATGCACCACGTCCACTACTGCACCTGCATCCAATTAAAGAGGTTTGTTAATCTGTGTGCTGACTCAGCTGTAATCTTGGTTCCAAATACCAAACTTGTGATTTTCCTACCTGGCAGAGCCATCAGCTAAAAAATAATATTTTTTTGGCTAATGGAAATTTGCTTTGATCATGATTAAGAATTAGTTACTTCATCTATTTTTTTAACGTCCTATTTGAGAGATCGCTAAGGCATAATTAGGAAATTTTGCTCTGACGAAAGCTGCCTGATTTTCTGGAAAGTACAAAAAAGACTGATATTCTATCCACTACAAAAAAGATAGTCTGAGCATTCATCAAAGAACATTTGCTGACAATTTCATAAAAATCTGTAAAAGATTATGCCAGTTTTCATAATGGATGACACTTTTCATTGAACAATGAGGCCAGAATTTAGAATATTAAAACATTGCAACTTTTCTATTTTTAACCCAAATACATGATCTTGGTATCGTTTGGAAGTGTTTTTTTAAGCACTTTTCAGTTGAACTTCTTTGTTTTAAATTTGACCTTTCTTGAAAAGTTTAACACGACAGCATTAATTATTCTAGATTTTGAAAACGTTGCAGCAAGGGTCAAAGGAAAGTTTTACAAGACCGGAGTGAGACCAGCTGCATTGTATGGTCTGGAGACGACCGCAATGACAAAAAGACAGGAGAAAGAACTGGAAGGGGCAGACATGAAGATGTTCAGGTTCTCCTTTAGGACTGACAAGGATGGATAAGATTAAGAATGAGATCATCAGAGGTACAGCACAGGTTGAACAACTGGGAGATAAAGTTAGAGAGGCCAGACTGAGATGGTTTGGACATGTCCAGAGGAGGGACAGTGGGTATATTGGTAGAAGGATGTTCGAAATGCAGCTGCCAGGAAAAAGACAGAGGAAGTCCAAATAGGAGATTTATGGATGCAGTTAGAGAGGACATGGAGGTAGTTGAAATGAGGACAGAGGATGCAGAGGACAGCGTGAGATGGAGGAGGATGACTCGCTGTGGCGACCCCTGAAGAGGAAACAGCTGAAAGCAGAAGGTGCAGTCAAAAGGGACAAACCTTTGACCTGAGCACAGTAACCACCTGTACTTTTTTGGAAGATGCCAAATTTTAGAAATTACAGTAAAATACCAAGAATAGCTTTATGAACAACACAACTGAACTGTTTTATTCTAAGCAGACTGTCCATAACCTTTAGTTCTGCTCATCCTAAACAGACTCATTCAGAAAAGTGGTGAAGTTTTAAATATGGTTTGTTAAAATGCTTTTTGCATTGTATAATTTAAATCTGCATTTGTGGATGTAACGACAAACACTGCTCACTGACAACCTTACAGTGATGTGTAGAGAATCATGTTTTAATGCAGTGCTGGCTGAACTGAAGATAACCAATTATTAGGCATTACTGACTTCTTTATTTAAACATATTTAGATTTACACGTATTGTCAGAATCATGCTGTTTATTTTAGGTTATAAATCAAAAAGCATTTATTTTTCATTATGATGAGAATCATTGTTACATCCTTATACAGTATTTTAGTGCAATGAGCTTCTCTTTTGAAATATTTTTTGTTTGTTTAAGCTGTTTTTATATTCAGTTTAGTTTCTCAATTGTTGTAAGTTAATCATTTGTGAGATATTCCCATTAGGTGTTGTTTTAAAACACAATGAATGTCTGTACTAACATTTGAAATGCTCCACTAACTTTGATTTTCTTTCTCGTGAATTTAGGGAAAGTAGCTAAAGTAACTGGCGCAGTTGTCTTTGGGTAAGTTTTAATATTTAAAAGGCAAATTTTAACACTTCTCAATAACCAGATATAATTCCTGCCATTAATGTTACAATAAAGAATTGCTGTGCTACAATTTATGTATTTACCTCTTTGTAGGGGTTGTCTTTTTATTACTTATGAAATGGTTGCCTTGGATAAGGCTGTGACCGTCGACACAAGTGCAGTCCAGCAGGAGAAATATAAATCTTTCGTTTATCTCAGGGCCACGCCCTCTGCTGAAAATGAAAACTTTGCTTCAGGTAAATCTAACAGTAAGAATGCGTCTCGATTTATTTAAAATGTTTTTTAAAAAAGAACATTTTTAGCTAATTCAATCCACTTGGAGGATATTTGGCAAATATACTCTATATTAATGTATTTCTTATATGTGTACAAAGTCCTACAGTTTTTTTTCCACGTCCAGCTGGTTCGTGGCTTTTGTCTTATTTTTTTGTTGTGTGTTTCCTTCCTCTCCCTACTGTCTTTCCTGTCTGAATCTTTGGGTCACTCTGTTCCATGATCTCCCTTCCACAAATCAAAGCTAACATGTTTTAAGGGAACTGTCACGACAGACTTGTGCTTTAAAGTTTACTCACAATATTTACCTGAATATCATTCCAGTTTTGTAAAAGTTGGTAGCTGTTGCTTCAACTCTGCTTGTGCTGCAGGCCTCACGCACAAAACGAGAAGGGAGCTTCATAAAGCGGCGAGGCGGTTGGTGGAACTATCCTCGAGGCTTTTCCTGCAATCCCTAGATGGTAAGACATTTTTAAGATGCCCTAATAGACTTGCAGATGCTGCACAATTTAACACTGATTGCAGGGTATTGTATAAAGCATGTATAATTTCATGTTGGTTAAAGGAAGCTTAAAAACACATTTTTCAGAAAACCTCTACAATCCAACTTTGTGGTGTGTACATGAGGAACAGGGAAAGGAAACACCTGCCGTACACGTAGACATCCTGTTTTAGATCCTCACATAGTTTCTGCTTTATTGTTCATAACACCCTGTCTCTTAGTTTGTTTTTGCATTGAACACTTATGGCTTTAATTAATTTCCACACATTCTTCTGTGTAACACCTTATACTCAAACTTAGTCTAGTAAAATGTAACTTTTGATCCTTTAGCTGCAAAACTTGCTTCCACAAGGTGTTTGTAAAAAACTAAAGTAGATCATGATAGTTATTAGATTTAGTTTGAATTTAAGATTATTTGTGGAGACTGTTCTGTAGTTCTAAAGTCAATCTGCTATTTTATTCTAAATGTAACGTTTTTTTTTTTTTTGTTTTTTAAGAGCACTTCAGTCGTGTTGATGCAAACCCGCATGAAGTTGCATTATGGGTACTGCTGAAGAGGACCCAATCAGCTGATCGTGACACAAGGCTGCAGGCTGTAAAGGAGCTTGCAGACAATCACCACTGGCATGGTAGAAGTCCACGATCTGTACTCTTTTCAAATTGCTTTACACAAACTAAACTTGTATTAGATTACAGCTTTTATGAATAATCCAGACTACCAGTACCAGACAGCAGCGCAGGTTATCGACCAGCGGACAGCAATAGGCCTGGCCCGAACTCCTCAGGTGGATCTGCGATTCTTCCGACCCCCGCCTACACTGCCGGACATGGAAGATGTATGTTTTAAGAAACAGTACCCCCTGTAAGATACCTGACGTCTGAGTCTTTACCTCACACAGGTATTGCATAGAAGAGGGAAACAATGTTTTTTGTTGTTTTAGGGTTTGTCTGCAGAGGATGGACTACGGCAGCTGCTTGGCTCTCTTCCTTTGTCTGAGGTGGACAAATGTGTTCAGTACTTCACCTCACTGGCGCTCAGGGAGAGCACGCAGTCCATGGCTGCACAAAGGGTAACAATGACAGAGATATGCACACATGTAATTATGGATCACAGGACAGTAAGACACAAACGGTTACCTAAAAGTTAGACAATTCTAGTCCAGTTAATAAAACGTGCCCTCACTGATGTTGCAGGGTGGACTGTGGTGTTTTGGTGGCAATGGGCTGCCTTATGCCCAGAGCCTGACCTCTGTTCCCTCAGAGAAAGTGGAGTCCTTCTGTCTGCAGGCTCTGGTGCAGCACTCAAAGGTAACGATGCATATGAACATAATTTAGTCTGGATATACCAATTTCCTTTTTTTTTAAAACAAATTATTTTGATTGTTGCACATGTTTTTCTTAGTTCATATCTTAGATCTTATTACCGTTTTTCTTATATTTTATTGTTGGATGTAACTGGGACTCTGTGTACATAATTTCGCTCCACCACATGTTTCACATGTGGTGTGAATGACAACAAAGAATCTCTGAATCTGACATTGTGTTTTCCAAATCTGCACATTTCGAATTTTAGCAAAAATTAATTTAAAATCAGAGGATCTGTTTGATTTTGTGGCTTTTTATGGCTGTAGGGATTTTATTTTGTTTTTATTCCCATGCAATTTTAGCTCTCGATTATCTCATGACTGAACTATTTTAATTAGTCGGAATGACTCAAAATGTGGTTTATTTGTAGTTTACCAGAAACACTTCTAAATACTTTGCAGGTACAGAGCCACTGTGACCACATAGTTGCAAATGGAGGTCTGCAGCTCCTTCAGAGGCTTTACCAGCTCAGAAGGGAGTCCCTGAAGATTCAGAGAAACATTGTTTGTATTATAGGAAACCTGGCTCTAGATGAACGGATCCACCAGGCCATAGTCCAATCTGGTAAGTGTGTGCGTGCATGGTGCAGTTTAGTTTTAATTACAGATTATCACATTTCCTGATTATGATTTAGAAAATTCCTGCTTGATTATATTTTTTGTTAGTTTTTGATGTCATTTGTCTTAAGTGAAAACTAAGCAGCACATTATATTTGGTCCAAACATTTTTCTTTCACCTTCAGGCTGGCTGCCTGTCCTGGCTGCGATGATGCAATCTCCTCACGTCATGCAGGCGTCTCATGCCGCTCGAGCTCTGGCCAACCTGGACAGAGAAACCGTGAAGGAGAAATACCAAGATGGCGTCTACATCCTCCACCCACAAACACGTAGCAAGTAGGACAACAGTTACTGTTTTAAAGATTTATTTTACATAAACAAACTTTTCCAACACTTACTTTTGACAATGTGTTTGTTTGCAGTCAGCCAATCAAAGCAGACGTGCTGTTTATCCATGGGATTTTAGGAGCAGCTTTTAAGACATGGAGGCAGAAGGACCGCAATACGGTAGAAAAATCGAAAGATGCTGAAAGCAACGATGACTACACCGAGTGCTGGCCAAAGGTGAGAAATGCTCCTAGTTCTTCTAAATGAAAAGTAAACATTATCTCAATATTCTTTTGTTTGTTCTTGTTTATTGGCAGTCATGGTTGGCAGCTGATTGTCCTAATCTGCGAGTTCTGTCAGTGGAGTATGACAGTCATCTTAGTGACTGGATGGCCAAGTGTCCTGCTGAGAATCAAAGGTGAACACTTAAGTTTCTTCACTTATCCACTTGTGAGTTAGTTTAGATTAAAGTTACATAAATTTTCTTTGCTAATTGAAAAAAACATTTAGTCCAGGGGTATTTTTAATTAGGCCTGCCGCGATAAACAATAAAGCAGTGAATTGCACGATAAATGAAAATTATCAACCTCATTTTCTTTTATCGGCTTTATCGTTTCTTCTCTCTTTGCTAAAAGCAGTTAGTAGCTGAGAAGCTAAGCTACAAGCTAAGCTAACTGGCCGACCTCGGGGGGGGACTCCGTCTTGCCGAAGCGCCAAAATTCACAGTTGAAATCCGTGCCTTTGTGTAAAAAGTTGTTTTTCGCTGCAAAAAGAAGCTGAGAACTTGTTTACTGATTTTTTTTTTTTTTTACTAAAAGTTTTGTGTGAAAAATGCTATGTTAAAGAGCTCAAGCCACACAGAGCGTCCGCCATTTTGAGAAATGAAGAGACAGCCCATGTCATGTCAAGGGGCCTCCCTCCCATTTTTCTTAAAGAGACACGCTGCTCGCTCGCTCACTATCCATCCTTTGGTTCAGTTTTATACTGCCATCCGGTGGTCAAAAAGAGGTACTACACGCAAAATAAATTAACCAACATTTCTTCTTAAATTTGACAATAATTACTAATTATTGTCAAATTTCAAACAAAATTATTGTTTATTGCAATAATTTCTGAGACAATTAATCGCCCAGCAAAAATGGTTATTGTGACAGGTCTATTTTTAATACTTTAAGTGCAAATAAAATGGCCTAACATTCTTTGGAGGAACACATAACATCTGCCACCATTCATGCCAAAGTTTGACTAAGATCATCCAGAAGTTAATAAGGTATTCTGCTAACAGATACTGAAAGTAGCTTGTATAGTTAATGGCACAGTTTTAAAGAAAGATCTTGCCAGTCTGTTGGAGCTCAGAGTTTTGTATGCGTTGGGAATACCTCTCAGATATGAACACACCATATTTAACTCTATATCTGCAGAACTAACTTAGTTAAAGCATTTTATGTTTGATAAGTTCACTTAGCTGTGGCAGCCATCTTTAACGAGGTTGACTCCAAAAGGTGGATGTACAGATGTAGATCCACTGGGTACAATCTGAGAGTTTCATTAAACTCTTTCCAGTGGTTCATGAGATATTTTGTAAATCATGCAGATAAATGAACACACGGACATACAAAAACATTAACGTTTCTTAGCTTCCGTGGTAAATTATGATTACATTTATTACTGGTCCATCTGCTAGGTTTATTATTAGCAATTCGGTTCAATTAAACTGAAGATTATTTGTTTCTTCAGGAAGTCGTTGGCTTACAGAAGTCGAGAGCTGCTCAATAAGTTAAAGCTGGCAGGAGTTGGAGAAAGGCCCGTTGTTTGGGTAGCTCACAGTATGGGAGGTATTCTGTCAACAAAATCTCTTGAGTGCACTTTAAGAACAATTTATTATATTTCACACTTGTGCACTAAGATTGTGTGGTATCTTCTGTTTGATTCTTCTGTCAGGATTGCTTGTGAAGAAGATGCTGCAGGACGCAGCTGACGACCCAGACATGCAGGAGTTGTTAAAGAACACTAAAGGAATAATGTTCTATAGTGTTCCTCATCATGGTACCTTGATGGCAGAGTACTCTGTTAATGTCAGATATCTCCTCTTTCCCTCTATAGAAGTCAAAGAGCTCTGCAAAGGTGAGTGTTGTTTTGCTCTGAGGTTTAAAACTTAGAATTTTTAAATTGACATCTCTCTCTGTTTAAAGACTCACCAGCTCTACATGACTTGAATGAGAGCTTCCTGAACATTGCCAAAGAAAATGAAATCAAAGTTTTGAGCTTCACAGAGACCAGGCCTACAAATATTGGACACATGATCAAGATTTACGTGGTACCAACACAGTCAGCAGGTAAGTAACACTATCATACGGGAAATGAGGCATTCCTGTTTTTGAGCTTCACATTAGCTCAAATAAGCCCTGTAGTTTCTTAACTTTTGCATCATCTCATGTTTTGTTTTAGACCCTGGCATTGGAGAACTTATTCATGTAGATGTTGATCACCTCAACATTTGCAAACCAGAGAAGAAGGACTCGTTTCTCTACAGGCGCAGCCTCCAGTTCATCCAGGAAGCACTCCAAAGCTACATCAGCCAATGACAGAAACTTATGAACACAAAATCCAGCGCTATCACCTGCTGTATGCTTGAAATCTGAGGAACACTGACAACCTTCCACTGACAAAACCCCAAGCTCTATCTTCCACAGTTTAACAATGAGTGATCATAATACAGACTGAATTTTTTCCTGTGATTAAGAAACATGCATCCTGTTTGTTTGTCTCCCTTATGAGTCAGATAACTTACAGATTGGTTGCATTCTTACAAGACACATTTCCAATTGAGCTCAGTTTTAACTTTGCATTTCAGACATTGTAATCTTGCACAAAATGAATATAAATTTACTTAAAGATGTACTCGCGTTTTTTTCCCAAAGGTCCTCTTCTGTAGTTTGGATCAGAGTACACAGTGGGTTAAAATGTTATTTTTATATTATGAATTTTACTCAAATGTCTCTGTTTTGTGCCAAATGAATTTTTTCCACACCTTACACTGGATGGCCCTGAATTAATATAATTAGGTTACTGTATTTATTATTCAGAACTGAAAAATAAAGATTGATTGCAGTACATGCCTGATACTAGCAATGCTGATTGTTGTCAATGAATTTAATAAATAAGTTGAACAGTTTCTTTGGCTTGTATATGCCGTTTTATCTGGTAGTTTTTCAAATTATTGTATATACAGAGCAGTGATGTGCATTTATGCAAATGAGAAAATAAAAAAATTTGTAATACAAGTATTTTAACATATAGTGTGCATATATTTCTGAATACAGTATATAATTTATAGCCATAATTAATATCGACTTATCAAATTATAATAGTGACGTATGTATGGGAACATTTTTGGTATAATTCATCGGTTTGTAACAGAATATAAAAGTAAATATTTATAAACTATAAAGCTTAATGGATTAAAAATGTAACAAAAAAAGGCTACATTTGCTTTCCTGTTCGCGCTGCATGGAAGAAACATTGTCCCTTGTTGCACACCGTAGATTATCAATGCGACAACAGTTAGCATAAGAAGCTGCTTTCCCTGTTAGCATATGTCTGGCTTTCCCTGTCGGATCTGATTAAACTGAAGTAGTTTTTTGCCGTAGTTAGCGTTCAGTTAAACATTTTCAGGTAAGATGGTACCGGTTTTATACTTTAAGTATATGAAAGTGGTTTTGTCATTCTACACTGTTATATTGAGCTAACATAAAAGGCTAACCAGGAAGGATCATTAGAACCAATGAACTAATATTTTCTTACAGTTTATCTTAAAAGACAAAGCGTCGTTGCATTACTGAAATTTGATACTGTACGTTATGAAAATGACGCATTTGATTTCCTGTTTTTCTTCAGTTAATGAGAAGCGATTTACCTCAGCTGGTGAACAACACTACCTGTCAACATGGTGAACGTGCACAAAGGTGTACTTGTTGAATGGTAAGTAAGCTTCGAAATAAGGTGTTTCCATTGATAAACTACCATCACTGGAGTGCTTGTTTCATTTTTTTAAAGTCTTTCTGTATTTCCCTACTCTGCTCCTTGGACCAGTGATCCTGCCATGAAGCAGTTCCTCCTCCACCTTGATGAAACCATGGCTCTGGGAAAGAAGTTCATCATTAAGGACCTTGACGACACACACATTTTCATCCTGGCGGAGGTGGTTCAGACTCTGCAGGAGAGAGTTGGAGAGTTAATGGACCAAAATTCATTCCCCATCACACAAAAATAACTTCAACTTTTTCTAAGAACTTACTCTTTTTGGACTGCTTAGAAACCTTAGGAATTAAAGACATGCTTTACTACCGATACTTGGTATTTTATGTCTTTTATTTTAAAATTCTTATTACTTACGAGTACTAAAAGTTTATCTTTGCCACAATATTGATTCATCCATCCATTGTATTCACTAGCTGTACTATCCAGGGTTGCGGGGTAGCTATGTAGAGGTAAATTAGTCAAACAAAAAAAAATTCACATAAAATCGTACAAGATTTGAATGCGTACAAGGTTGGTGACAAACTGGGACATCCGAGTCTTACAAAGTAACTTAAGTCACATGCACGGGCAGGCAAGTGTGAATTGTGTACATAAAAAAAAAACATTTTTATGCATTTGTGAATTGCTGTTATACAATTGAATGTTGTATACATTTGTGAATACTTCTGAGACTAATTTATCTCCATGGAGCTGGAGTCTATGGCCAACCATCCACATTTTCATTCACACTATCAATATATTTGCTTCTAAAATTCAGTAACATGGTTAGAATTTGTAGCAACTTACTGTAATATTAGTGTACTGACTTACAGTTACTAATGTTCATGCATAAAATTGGGGATTGCACTCCCAGATAGTTGCATATATTGTACACCTGTTTTTTTAATTTACTGTCATATATAACAGTAATATGTTTGTATATATACAAACATATTTGTAAATTAGTTTTATTGGTATTTTACTTTGAGCACAATGTGCAATGTTGCCAGGTGTCTGAATGACTGCAGAACACAGCTGAAACAGATTTAGATACAATGTTAAGACTTTCAACAAACCGGAAGTAGAGATGAAACTATGTAGACCACAATGCATTGTAAAATAGTGAATTTGAGCATGCGCGTTACTCATAACACATGTACATGCATAGACATGTCTGTACGTGCATGTGTTCCCTTGCGTGAATCTACAGTACTGTACCGTATGCAGGTATTTGTTTACACATATGTACTCTGTTTCCCTCTAGTGTTTACTTTTTAAATTGCACAATAACTGACTAAGGCGCTTGGTTTGCATTACATTTAAATTCATTCGCGGGGGAAAAACCTTATAAAATATATTAGAACCATAACGGGGTGCACTCATTTTTTTTAAAGTTATGTCATCAACAGTAAAACCATCGATTCGTGTTTGTTGGAATGCTTCATTTCCGGTGTTCAAAATAAAATGTCTCGATTATTAAAAAAAAAAAAAAAAAAAACTTAAATTCTGTAGTTGAAAAAGTTTCTTTGCTTTGAGTTTGAAAAGATTCCCGGATGAAAAACAAAATGTCTTATATACACCAGAAAATAAGTTACTTTATTTTTCCAATCTTAAATTCCAAAAATGAAGTAGCTGAAGGGCCACTATCAAACACTCCATGGCATGGATGAAAAATTTCCTAATTTGTTCAACTGTCTCAATCGAAAACATTTATCGGTTAATCCTCAGCATAATTAATATTTGACGACTTTGAGATATTTTTTTAAGATACTATTATTCTGAAAGATTAAAGGAAGTAACATTTAAGGCTACCGCTTTAATTGACAAGCAGCGACCATGGACGACTATCTGGCAGAAGAGGAGGTTGGTTTTGATCCTTGAAACTTGTCATTCCACGAGTGTTTTGCCCATATCAATTAAACATCAACGTGATATTTTGATGTTTTTGAAGCGTTTTAAGTTTGTAAAGGTCGTTACAGACGCCGAGTTCATCTTAGCAACTGCGTCGGCTGGCTAGCTTAAATGCACTTTATTTTTTTTCCTAGCAGACCACGTTTGTCGTCGAAGAAGTGAGCAGAATCATAAAAGATGTAAGAAAAGCATTAATTCTTGTGTGTGTGTGTTTACGTTATTTACAATTTCATGGGTTTTTGTTCGTTCTGTTAAAATTTGTTTAGCTATGAACGGTTGCTAAGGACGCCATAACGGTTGCTAGGCACCGTTTAGTCGGAGCCTTGTGTTTTGTTGGGCTTAAACAATAAACGTTGATTTAACGCGGTTTAATTCAAGTTTGTTGTATTGTTGTGTATGTGTGTAGTCAGTAGAAACAACCATAGGAGGAAATGCTTACCAACACAACAGAGTGAATCAATGGACAAACAGTGTAGTGGAGCACTGCCTCAGTCAACTCAGCAAACTGGGGAAACCCTTCAAATACATTGGTATGAGGACTGCTGACCCAGTATCAATACGAGGCATTTTCTTGTATTTATACAATAGTAACATTATTTTCCCCTCCCTTTAGTTACTTGCATCATTATGCAGAAAAATGGAGCAGGACTGCAGACAGCCAGTACATGCTTCTGGGACAACACTACTGATGGTATGCTAAGAAAACACTTAACACTTTTGGATATAGTTTTTGTGTGAGGATGAGCTAGCTTTAAAAATAACATTTTCAGTAACTTAAAAAATTGTAAAAGTAGCAAATATTGCTACTTTCTTCAACTAAAACTGACTATTTTATCCAACAGCTACCTGTGCAGTGACATGGCAGAACAAGTCCATGTACTGCATCGTCAACGTGTTTGGTTTGGCCATCTGAAAACACGACATCCAGTCTGAAATCTGTATATTTTTCTTTTTATATACAGTATAATAGTGTTACCTTGTTAAACATTTAGGTTTGATTTCAATGTTTAGTGTTAAGTGCAACTGATCGCAACAATACTATGCCATATCTACTTTGCTTTATTTACACGTCACATTACACCGCCACATGTACAGCCTTTAACTCACAGAGAAACAGCATTTCAAAAGAACGTATTTTGAACACCTTAAACATAAACTAGTCACACTTACATTTACATATTAGAATCATTTAAAATGAAAAGTAAAGACAAGGCACCATCCTGATTAAAACACTTCTGTTTACAACAAAAACACATTTGTTTTGGCTGTTTTTGTCCACAAGCTCCTGACTTGGAAAAGAAAGCAAGTAAAAGTGGCAAACTTAAAAAAGTTATTATGAAAATGATCACTTTAAATATGTTCAAAAAAAGGCAACATTTTATTTGGCCAACAATGAGTACTGTACATGCTGGGATAAGAATTTTTTAAGTACCAGAGCAGTAGTCTCATAAGCACAGAGTTCAGGAAAAAGTCAAATAAAGTCATGAAAATGTGTCCATATACATCGTCTTATAATACAATAATAAATCAATTTTTGGCAACATAAATAAAAATTGTGAAAAGTGCAAATTTACAGCTGCTTTTCAAAAATAGTAAGACCTTATATAGCCAAGGCTCTCTATACAATTAAACACTTCTGAGGATTTAATAACAAACACCTTTTACTTCCTACCGTCACTATAATGTTAGAGTTGTATCTTTCAGTGGTTTCTGATCCTCAGACTCTCAGAGAGCAGAACGGAATGATATAAAGAACAAAAGTATTAAGAGACAACATTGGCTTACCGCAAAGCATTAAAAATAACAGTGGGTCTGCGTGAACCCTCATCTCTTAGTAGCACTTTTCCTGGTCATTTTTTAATCAAGTTGGGAAGAAGTGCTGCTTACGAGAGGAAAATTGTTCACAATATCAGTAAAAACTATTTTCTGTTGATCTTGCCCTTGTTGTTGAGTGTTCACCTTAACTTTCAAAAGTACAGTACATTCAGCAGAGTTCTTTTAAAAATATATCTGTGTACACTTACAGTATCATTTTAAGTTACATGTGCACTCTCACCTTGTTTGCACACACGTTAATCTATTGCAATTCATCCATCATAGTGTTCAACTGGGAGACACAGGAAGAGCGATTTGCCGTTAAGTCTTCAGTCGCTGTCGCTCTCATCCTGATATTTGGCAGTTACTTTGTTAGCGCGTCCATTTTGTAACGGCATGTCTTCATAATCACTCCTGTAGAAACACGAGAACAGACCAGTTAGGTTTGCAAACGTTTACATGAAACGATCAACAACAACCGATGATTCAGAAAAACGACAGAATAGGACTGTTACCCATAAATGACTTCGTCATCCGAGTCGTTTAACATGGAGAAAGCTGGATTATCCTTCAGCTGAGAGTCTGACAAAGTTGGATTAACATACTCATTAGATACACACTGCAAAAAGTCTTCCAATTTACTACAAAGTAAAGCATTACCTACCATAAAGGGCATTTTTTGAGGGGGAGTACACAAACGCTAATGTGTACAAGTAGAAGTTGAGCAGACCGTAGAAGGATAAAAATTCAGCTGGTATTTTTTAATTAAGGAGGAACACGTGTTAGAAGGTTGTTGGATCAAATCCCAGCTGGGGTCCTTTCTGGGTGCAGTTTGCATGTTACCTCCAGTATACGTGGGTTTCCTCCGGGTAATCCGTCTTCCTCCCACAAACCAAATACATGCATGTTAGACTGATTTGTAACTAAATTGTCCCTAGGTGTGAGAGTGAATAGCAGTCTCATTTGTTTCTCTGTGGCCCCGAGATGGACTGGAGACCTGTCCAGGGTCTGCTGGACATGGGCACCAGTGACCCCCACGACCTGGAAAGGAAGAAGCGGGTAAAATGGCTATGTTATTTTATGGTCCAGATTATCTTAAGCTGAACTGAAAGGGACCAAAATGAAACACTGCTGAAAGGATATAGTTTTGATAATGAGTAGATAATTCAGCCACAAAATTATCTTGAAGAGCCTTGGCACCAAACCTCAGGTACAAAATGACCATGCTAGAAGAAAGAGACCGATTGGAAAAGTTTCAAATCGAAAACTTAACAAGACAACAATGGTTTTTCTTGAACGCACCTTATAATGAGGACTATGAACGTTAGTGCTGTCAAAAACTTTAGCCTGAGATCTAGTAAAGAAAGAAACCAATTAATGTTATGTTAAAAGCTGTGGTTGAAACTAATTTGGAGTACTGAGGGATGCTGGGATACCTGAGTAAGGCATGTTCTTCAGTTCAGAACAAGCTCGGACAATCAGAAATATTAGGTAGAGGATGTAGAAGATTACAACAATCAGGAAGAAGACCTTCATACCCTGAAGAAACAAAACGTTACTACACTTACATTGTTTCCTGGGATGTTCTTTAAAGAGCCACAAAAGGCGAATGTTTTACCTGAAAGTTTGCAATATCCACTTTGTGCAGGTAGGTGGGATCCTGGAGCTCATTAACCCTGAAATGTCAAACAAAGATCTTTTCTGTCTTGGTTTGAGTTACAGCTAGAATCAAATTTATAGGTAACACTTACGTTTGCCATATGCCAAGTGTGACCACTGAGAGCCACAGAAGACCTACGATAATCAGCTTGGGCAGGTAGAATGTGAGGAATTTCCTCTCGCCCTAAAGAGAAAAAATAAAGACCATAATCGACGAGTTGAAGAAAAAAGCTGAAAATATGGATCAGTGATGGATGGCGTGCTCCCACCTGAACCCTGATGCCGTGGTAGACACAGAGCCAGAAGAGCAGGAGAGCACACAAGAAGAGAGCCTGCAAAAAAGCGTCCAACGTCCCCGGAAACCAGCTGTTCACCAGGAATGACAGCGGGAAAAATGGATCTAAACAACCACAAAAATGTGTTGACAGCACTTTGATTAGAAAACCGTGTTGATGAGTTTGTCTAAAAGTAAAAAAAAAAAAAAAAAAAGGTTTGTTTTATTAACCTCATAAAGGTGTTTCACCTGAGTATTTCATCATAATCACCTAACGCTGTAAATGCTCCTCTGACAGGAACAGGTTTAGATCGAGGGGAAAAAAGATTAAACGTATAAAAATATCTAATGATCAGACATTGTCACAATTCAGAACCCACCAAAACATTTCTGGCTTTCCACTGATTTATTCACAGGCTCATTAAAGAACTAAAATTAGTATTTGTTGTCCTACCAATTCCTGGATGCGGTCTTAAAATGTATTACATTTGGTAAAAACTACCCTATGATAGCCTTATTGGGGCGGTTGTGAAGCGGTGGTAGGGCTGCAGACTTGGGATCAGAATGTCACAGGTTTGCTTCCCCACCATGCCCACATATCGTGGTGTCCTGGAGCAAGACACAAAATCCCAAACTGCTCCTTGGGTGCTTAAACAGCTGTCTGCTGCTCCACCTGGGTGTAGCTCACGTGTGATGGTCAAATGCAGAGCACATCAACGTATGGGAACATACATTAATGACAATAAACGACACATTTAAACATTGATTGGAAAATAGGAATAAATCCATGTTTGTGATTGGTTAACATGCTCAAAGAATGGAGATGACAGCAAGTATTCTGAAATCACACACATTTTTGTTACAAATAATAAAACCAGCAAAACACTGGGTGTTTAATAATAATTTGCACAGCTTTCAGAAAGTGATTAAATAAGTACCGGTAAGTAAACATTCCCCACCAACTAAAATCTCACCATTGTAGAGAAGCAGCAAGGGGAGCAGGATAGACATCCACTTCTGCTCCATGCCCCAGTCCCTCATGGAGAATTTTCTCAGTGAGTGAGCAAACAAGCACTGAATCATAAAAAATATAAATTAAATTGGTCATTCCGGGTTCTGTTTACAGTCTTTTGTTCTAAAATAATCAGACTGAATTTAGGATGCTGACATTTTTTAGAGGTTTTGGTAGTAAATGTAAAGTTCTTACCGTCACCATGAAGGTCAGCACCACAAAAACAAACCGGAACCATATTTCCACTTGGGAGAAGGTGGGATTGTAGGTTTTCCACTGAGACAAAACAAACAAACAAAAACAACAACAAAACCTAACAGGTAAAAAGGTTGTAAAATTCATGTAAACTTGAATCCAGTGACAAGAACAGTCTTTTTCCACCTACCACAAATGTGACCTTGATTCCATACGTTATGTTTTCAAGACCCTTGAAGCGGACTGTGACCCAGTACTGAGTGTAGTTCAGGTAACCCAAATGCAGCATGATAATCTCATCACATTTCTGGAAGAATAAAAAACAAATCATGTCTTGAACGCCAACATCTGCTCTGTGGAAACCATTTTAACACAGCGATCAAATTCAGCACGTTTATCTCAGCTCTAAAAATTTAATTAGCATCTTTATATTTTTTATTAACTCTTGTGTGAATTATTGTCGCCTACGCTGGCATGTTGATGGACACCTACAGCGCCACAGTGGAGTGTCCGTGATTTCTGCGGCACCGTCTTGATGTGCCTCACGTTGGCTTCCTGCATCACTCCCTTCAGCTCAACTTTGATCTCAAACGACTGCTTGAAGTCTCCCACTGATACAGACGGCAGTAATGCTTTATCAGACGTGTGAAGGCATAAACGGTAATGCTATCAGAGTGTAGGGTTAATAATAAAAATGTAAACTTTGAACAGCGATCTGTCGAGGTAAACGGCTCATTTTGTGTTCTTACTGTTGCTGTTTTCAGCCTGCATCACACAGGTGAGCCACAGCTGCTGGTTGTAGGTGGTGAGAAGAGGAGAAAGTAGATTAAAGGGTCCAGTCTGAAAACATACAGTCAAGGAACAAAACAAAAAGCATAAAAAAAAAATGCATATTTTATACACATTTTTGTACGTTTTAGTTTATATGCTACTAAATATTTCATTTTTGTGTTTGTTCAACCCTTTTCTTAGCTTTAGTTGTTGCTGCTATAGTTCTAATTACTAATTTTACAATGAATATCTAATTTTACCTCTTTTTTTCAGAACTCAACAGTAATATGTTAATTTATAGTTAATTCAGAGTTTTTGATATTCATAAGGGCATGAGATTCTTGTACCAACAAGACATTGTGTATGAAAATATTAAAAACAAGTTTATTAAACGCCAGTGTTGGCTGCACACTGTAAGACACGCATCATGTGCAGATAGGTATAAAAAAACTGTAAAAAATATTCAATAAGAACTGATGCAGTGTACGATAGCACTGACTGCACACATTTTTATACTCTTGTGCAATAAATATTTGGTATTTAAAAAAAGGTTGGAGGAAATTTTCACTAAGGGAGAAAATCTTTCCAGCAAATTGTATCTTGCAGGTAAGTCTTTCTTACATCAGGGGATTTATTTTTATTATACTGTACTAAAATTCTTAATAAATAAATGAGAAACAAGCGTATGTCATGTTATTAGTAATTATATAATATTGTGGTGTTAAACACATGACTTGCTTCATAAGTCAGTTGTCAGGCAACTTAACATGTTGCTGGAAACTACACCTGGTTTTGTTTTTAAGTCTCACCTTTACAGAAGCATTGTTTTCCACTAACTGATCACAATTGTGCTCAGCAATAATCCTTGGACCTAAAAAAAAAAAAAAAAAAAAACAGTTGGATGAATGATATTAGGTTATCTTTCTGCTACTTACTGTGAGAGTTGCGGACTTCTAAAGTCAAGTCCCCACACCCTGAAAAACACCTCTTTTGCCATTTGAATCCTCAAACCCAACTCATCCCCACTTAAGCTTTTTGTGCTCATGTGCTTGAAGACAAATTACAGCAGAAAATGTATTATTATTACTTATGGATTATAAATTACTCTCAGCTACCAATAGCATTTAACTTTTATTTATTATTAATTTGTAGTATGCATCTCTAAGTTCTGTCTACATTTAGGAGAAAAAAATGTTGCATCCAAAAATGACAGAATGAACTGACTGGTGTCAGTGGTGACCTACAACAAGCAGGTTTATGATGGATTCATTGTAGTCAGAGGCCTCAGTCTGAGTAACTAAGAACCATTGAAGGCTTTGGGTATAATCTGCTGAATAATTGTTAATACAATTTTGTTGTTACTAAATCTGCCTTTTTTTAACCATTCTCAGAATTGCAGCAGTTAACTTGTTTTTTAAGTGCCTGAAAGGGCCAGATACTCATTTTTGTTGTAGTTGCATGCACTCTGTATAAAGGAGTCATTTCCAATAGCAGTTTTTAGCAATATAGTTTCTAAAAAAAAAAACCTGCTTACACAATACCTTGTACTATCAGTGGATCATAAATGTTTTAAACCTTCGATTTATGATATTTTTCTCTACTTTAGGTTGGTGGTAATGTGCTTTGTCACTTGTCACTGCAAGCATGTTTCATTTTGGTAGAAGATAATAAAAAAGTTTTTGTCATAAAAAAGTGGGGACCCAATGTTTTGTGACAAAACAAGAAAACTGCCTGCAGTGAGCTGTAACATGGGCTCACCTCAACTCAAGCATCTGTACCAAAATGTATTATTTTATCTGAATCTGGCTGACAGTTATTGATAGATACAAAAAAAATACCAATTTATACATATAGTTGATATTATGTATGCACAAACATTTGTGAAAATAAACTCTGATCACTGATGACTGACCTGCTACTCCAATGACGACTGTGAGGCCAAAGCAGATCAGGAAGACCACAAAAACCAAGACAAAATGTCTTTTAGACAAAGTGTAGAGCCGCATGGGGGCCAGTCTGTCACGAGAAGACAGTGAATAGAATAAACACGAACACAAACTGACAAAAAGCTCTCATTTGTTGCAACAATTTGAATCGTGGTCAAAGCGGATATGTAATGTAAACACAATGCTAGCGAGATGCTAGCAGATGGAAAGAAAAAGCGGCACGGGAGCTTGAACATTTATCCGTCGTGAATTTATGCATCAAATACACATCACGGGTGTGTCCGCTGAATACAAATATTAAACTCACAGCTCCATTTCTTTCGGCTGACAGCAGTTGTAGCTAGAAAAAGTGTTAAACTTTCACCGTGAATCCACATCCGTGTAGCAACATCAGCCCACGACAACTACAGTCTGTCAACGTAACGTTCGCCACTGAGGAGGAGGAGCCAGTTATCACGTGATATTAAGGCAAGTCTTTATATCACATAATTATTAGTCCAGTTCTTGTTTCAGAACCCCCTACCGAGCCACCCACCAGAAAACCATTTAGGCACGTAGCTATTGATAAAATAATTGAAGCACAATTACTTGGATTTTGCATAAAAAAGAGAAAAAGGAAATAGGATAGACGTCTATTTTCAAACAAATCTCAAGCTTTTTGCAAAGTTTTTACTCAATAAAATACTGTTAGTCTAACGTTCATCCTGTATATTCCTACAAGTAAGAATTTAAAATTAAGAGATCTGAAATAGTATTTCTAGTGGAAAAAAATGCCAATATCCCCACAGCATTGACTATTTATAAAAAAGATAAATGAAACTGTATTTGTTTTAACCGTTTATTTTTTGCCATTCTATTGCTATACTTAGTGGAGATCCATTATTCAAAACTCTACTCAAAAATAACATTTCAAATAACCAATATGCCATCTGGCTATTTCAATCACCACTGCTCCAAGGACAAAATACACTACTTTTCTAATTCATGGGCTTTCAGCCCCAAATATTTAAAATACACAGTTTCTATGAGAAATGAAAATGATACCTAGAATCTTAGAAGATACAAGGTTCAAATATTTGTAATGTAGTAATTTTTCTAGGTATAATTTGAATTTAAACCATTTTCTGAGTTAAACTCACTTTCCACCAAGCTCATAATAAATATCCAAAGCAGACTTTTGGTTATGCCAGTCATTTCTTTAAACTACTTATAGAGGACCCAAATTACATTTGTGGGTGTTAAACGTTTTGAGGTATTCAGAATTTTTTTTACAAATATCTGAGTGTTTTTTGTTATTAATTTAGTAGCAAATATATTAATGTTCAGAAAATCGCGCAATGTTTATAGATTTTAAGAACATTTTGAAGGACTTTATGATATGATCATAGAGATACATAAAATGTTAATTATAAGTTGCATAAGTTTGAGAAGTCTTGAGGGATACCTGAGAACTGGACGCCTTTGTGAAAACGAGCTTTGTGCGCATGCGTAGCAGAACGACTCGGCACGTAAACGTCCACTTTTGATTTCTAAGCGTTTTTCTGATGTTTATAAACCCAGGAGGGCAAGTTAACGTTTAGTTTGCATTTAAAAATACGGATTAAATAAATAAATAATTAAAATTGCGACGTGACGTCCACACTTGTCTCGAGCAGAAACGATAACTGATGCGTTCAAATGTCATGATGACATTTGAACGCATCAGTTATCGTTTCTACTGATGATCAGTACCAGTTTTTTCAGTGCTTCCGCTTTTCCGCATCTCCTTAGCGTCCACATATAAAAATTAAAACGATAAGTCCACAAATCAAAAACATTTTTAGCGTTAACGCAACGACTTTGTTAGCATCGTAGGCCCGTAATGAGAGCTAGCTGCTCAGTTTCCAATCACCTACCTATAGAATCGATCATCACGGTAAGGTGTAAGGTCCTCCTTCAGCTCGTTGTAAGCCTCCTGTATTTTCCTACAAAAGTATTTTAGCTCGCTGTACAGAGGATTTTCCAAGCCGGGCGAGTAGTCATTGTCCATTATTATTAATATTATTAATAGTAATATTTCCCCCCCACCGAGCAGAGTCAGACGGCTGAAAGAAATGGCGACGAGGGAAAACCGGTGATCAGCGCCGAGGCCTTAGGGGCGTTAGGGGGCCATTAAATAAAGAAAAGTGCAACCCAAGCTGTTCTGTTTGTCTCGCTTCATAGAAAGAGGAAAAATAGGAGGGGGAGACATGCGTTAAAAATGAAAAGGGGGCGGAAATACACCGCCAACAAACGGGAGGAGGGTCACGTGATCGCCTTTCAGCACCATGGACAGGGACGAGCTGCAGCAGTGATGCTCACGAGTCATACTGAAATCAAATACAATGCCAGGTGGAGCATGTTGGAGTTTTAAGGTACTCCTTTCAAACATGAAATCCAACACAATAAATAAAAAAAAGAAGAAAAACAAAAGGTGCAGTTTGAAACGGTTTACTCCATTATTTTTCCAGAGGTGTTGATGCAGTTCTGAAATGCAGGTATGCACTCAGTGTAAACAAAGCGCTCAGCTGAACTACATGGAAGCATGACCTACATTGTAGGTAGGTAAATATGGCTGAATCAGCTTAGAAGCTCAGAGAAGACGTCCATGTGGAAAAACAAGAGAGGCTCTGCTGTTAAACTTAAAAGAAAAGAGAATGAACAAATATCGAATAAAAAATAATGATATCTGGAATCAAATAGGGCAGTGGAGCATCCAAAGGGTAGAGCTTGGCATCTAAAGACACATGGTATTTGCATTTCTTCTGGACCGGTGATTTTAACGTTTCAACCCGTCTTTTTATTTGCAGGCTCAACAAATCTGAGCGTAAATACGTACAAACGCATCTGAACTGCTGAAGTTGGTTCACAAAAGGCTCTTCCACGAACGCCACTATAGCTGACCTAATTTCAGTCACATCAGCAGTTTATGTAAGTAAACAAATGCAGTTATTCACAAAGTTAGTTTACAATTATTTAAGGACCCGTTAATCATCGATATATTGTTTTTACTTTACAAATTCTTCTTTACATTGCAATGAGTACTTTTGAAGTTCTTTCATTTAAAAACACAAACTCTCCCAACTTCGCCTTTCTTTGAATTAATTTAGATTTTCTAACAAAGAGCTCCAGAAAACCCAACACAACAGCAATATTCTGTGACTAACATTTATCAGTTTCACAACATAAAACTGATCATGGTGAAAATTGTACATTTGTAAAACAAACCATATGAGTCTTACCTGAACCCTGGCCCAAGGAGTCTATTTTGTGACCTTTTTAGGTTATTTCGATAGATTTATTCAGTTTTCTAAACGGTTTCAAAGTTGGCCTTTTCTCTAAATATTTTGAACTATCATCTTGGATACCAATAATAACCCCAGATACATAATTTAAAAGGCAAGACTTTTGTTTTTTCCTCAATGACATTTTATTAAAAAGATGAGTGACATATAGTTAAAAAATAATTTACATGGCATGCCTTGCTATCCATCCACCGTAAACATTCAGTCACCGTATCAGAGTCGTAAAATTTTTCAAGTGTGTTTTATCGTCCTTTAGATCTACACCTACAAATACAACGCACAAATCTCTTCTAGAGAAAAACTAAAACCTACAGTATCTACAACCGGTCATCATCTGTTTAAAATGAATCCTTAACAGAGTCCATGGGTCATGTTGAACATGAACCGAATGGTTTCCACAAATGAACCCATGTGAATGATGTGTGTGTGTGTGTGTATGGAGTGATGACCAAACACATATGAAGAAAACAAGTTTAACAATGACAGGATCGATGGACTGCACAGGTGAATCCAGACACACCGTTACTGGACACTTACACTCTATAAACTAGTCTACCAACTACATCAAACAGGGCAACTTACTCATTCAGGTCTTTTCAACATGTTAAACTGAAACTGCCTGTTCTCCCCACTCCCCCAAACAACCCCACATTCCCATCTTACAACTCGAGTTACTTCTTGCAAATCCACCAACACACAAAAAAAAAATGTTCAAAATTTTCACATTTACAGAATGAAAAGACACTTTTACCTCTGTTGGGAAATAATCTCATAAATAAAATGGACTGATCAGCATCTGAGATACTGAACTTAAAAAATAAAAGAATTAGTATTAAAATGTGATTTAAAAAAAGCAACATGTTTCTTCCCTATACAAAATATTGCACAACACAATGTTTGTTTTTCATGACATGCTTGTGATCTTTTTTTCAAGATTTGAAAGTTTTTTTTTTTTTTTTCCTACAACCCATTACCAACATTCATGCAGCTTGCTGAGATGGAGAAGGATCACAGAAATGAATGCATGGATCTCACCATCAGACCAAAATAGAGTTGGTTCAAATCACTTTTGTTCCCATTAATGAACTTCCACTTCCATCTAGGCTTGCTCGTTCGCACTTTAGGTTTAGAAAACTTGCAGTTTTGACACAAATCTTTGAGGTGGACCTGCCTAGCTTTGTTTAGTCTGGGTATTTCTCTTCATTATAGATGAAATTATACATTATAACGTGCCTTTTCATGTATTACTGCTCATTTTTCTTGTAAGGGATCTATAGTTTAAAACATAAACCAGCAGTTCAGGTTACAAAATCAGCTTACCAAGTAGACAAATGTCCACACCTTCATTTTTCCATGGAGGCTTACTAAACTGAGTGACAAAGGTTTCAGCTCAACAACAGTTACTTTGTGGTTCTTACTGTTGACCTCAGCAGTATTACAGCTTTACTCCACACCTGAAATTAAAACAGTGGAGGCAGGTGTAAACAGAAAACTGTGTCCAAGTCGCCTAAATATCTTTACATTTACACGACTGATTTATTTACACGACTTCTGAGAAGAGCATGAAATGGCATAGGTGAAATATACAAAAATATTTCCTGTCCCATGCTTAAATGTTTAGTGTTCTTAAAGAGCAAAGACTACCTCCAAATACATACTCACTTCACAGAAGTGACAGCAGGTGACTTTTTTCCCCACTTCATACCAGAGGTTAAATGGTTCAGCCGAGGCTGTGGCGACGTCTTTGGCACCCATTTGTCACCATATTTAGATATCCAAGTATGAGATACGTCAGCCAAAGCTATTGTGTAAACCACTCCCACTTGAAGTGCACGGCAATATTCAAATTCAGTCTCCCAATCAAAGCAGGTAAGGAAACTGATGAGAGGGTATTTTACTATTACCAATATAGGCAAAAGTTTCTATCTAAATAACAAACATGTACATATAAATTATTCCATGTAGCAGATGTTTCCTCAACCTGCAAACTTCAATAAGATCGACTGCACCTCACCTCAGCCGTATTATTTACCTTTTGTAAATTTTTACAGTGAAAAGTCTCACCTCTTAATAGTGCTCCTAAATGATGCATATATCAGCTTCAATCCCAGCCAGGGCACATTAAGATAAAAAAACAAAACAACAACAGGAATGACAGAGTAAAAACAAATAAACCCTCCTAACTTTCATTATATACCAATTTTTTTTTTTTGTCATTTAATAAAATATAAGCAAAAGCAGTCTATTAATGTGATAACTGTTTCACTAAAGTTTTATACAGCAATGGATTTCAGTGCCCAGTAGTACCTGTGCGCTCTGGGGGAAAAAAAGTAACCTTTAATCTCCAGAGTGTGGTTTTCAAGTATTACTGCTGCTTTTATTGAAAACTGCACCTCGACGTTCCCTCTCCCCTTTAATCTACAAGCATCTTCTATCTAAAGCAGCATTTATTTGCATGATTACCCAAGCTCAGTTCTTTGGCCCTACATGCTTGGAGGGTGCCACTGACTGCCAAACGGAGCAGATTTGGCGGCGTTTACAAACGCTGATAACGCCTATTGCACCATATGTAGTGGCAGCACTGTGTAGTGCAGTGAGATTGTATTTCTCTCTGTGGTTTCAATTTTCTTTTTATTAAATCTACCCCGAGAGCTTATACAGCTCAAATTGAACAATTAGGCCCCCTTTAGTGGAATTGCCTTCAAATTCCAGATAAACTCAGGGTCAGATGAGAGGGGTCAACTCATTTGAGGCGTTGAGTGACGTTTGCCAAAGCCACAGCAAAAGCCTGAACAGCAGAAAAGGGGTACTGGAAGTCCAGGATGTAGGCGTTGCCATCAATCCTGCCAAACTGCATCACCTATGAAGCAAAATTATACAAAAAGGTACTGTCAATAAAAGGCAAACGAATGACCTTCTCATTATGTGTAAAGATGATTTCTCCCAGTAACCTGATCTGAGCAGATGTCTTACCTGCCTGCCCTCCAGTTCAATTTGAAAGTTCTTGGCTGACTCTTGTGTGACGCGTCCACCAAAATCCAGCTGGTACACCTGTGTGGCTTCATTCCACAGTGGCTGCTTGTTGGCCATGACGTAAACAAACCCCTGGCTGCCCAGTCCTCGGTCTTCTTTCTCATTGGCTTTTCGACACTTGATTTCATCCAGCTCATTGGCAGCCCTCAAGTTCCTTTTATTCTTCCAACCCTTCTTACCGCTCTGACACTGATTAAGGAGCTCATCCCCACTGATAAAAAGCTCTGGTTCACTTTCTGAACTATCTTGGAACTCACTGTTGGCAGTGGCCTTGCTCAGCTTCTTGGTCTTCACTTGCTGTTCTTTTTGTCCTTTCAGCTTCTTCTTGTCTCTTCCTCCCAGCCGTGGACTAGATATAAGGGAGTTGAAATCGCCAAGAGCTCTGCCCTCCTTTTTTGTTTTGCTCCCTTCGGCTAGCTGAGACACATTAGCCTCCTCGGCCCGACCATCCACCCGCTTGCGGTTCTTCTTGGTGAACTTCTCAGACCGCTGTGGCACAGGGCTCTCAGTCAAAGAAAGCACCTCTTGGAAACTTTCCAATGCCTCCGCCACGCCCTCTTGTAAAGCACCGTGACTTTGTAGTTCTGCTGGTGGTGGTAGTGGTGGTGGCGGAGGAGGGGGAGGAGGAGGGGGTGGTGGTGGTGGTGAGAGCACATTTTTGTCTGCTGCCATGTGAGACACTTTGGGTGGTAGTGGTACTGCAGGACTGGGCATAGGAGGACAAGAATTATATGTTCCCCACGGTGTGTGAAGGGCAATGGGAGGTATGGGCAGTCCAGCACAAGCACTTCCTCCTGGGTACAAAGGTGGGAGGGGACAGCAGGCCAAGTTGGCAACATTTGCAGAATAACCTGGAGATAAGACGAGGGTTTCCTCCTGCTGTGAGAGGGGCACAGGCGCCACCACCTCCTTTGGGGAGGTGCAGGGGCGTGGAGACCCAGGGATAGCTTGCAGGTGGGCTCCATTATAGGCAGTTGCAGGTGGGTACTGAAGAGAGATCTGGTAGCCTGTAGCTGCTGCTGCAGCTTGGAATGATGCAGCACTAAGGCTGGTGGGGGACTTTGGAGAAAGGACTAAAGGCATTCTGGTTACATCCAAGTGCTGGGCAGAGCTAAGAATAAGAGGGGGTGGTTTGTGAGGTGCAGGCGGGAGATTAGAGTTCAATGAAGCTGTTCTTTCCTGAGGAACCCAAACCTCCTCTGTTGCAGCTGGGTCCCATTGATATGGGGGTGGGCGTTTAACAACAAGCCCTAATGCCTCATTTCCTCCTAATGCCAGATGCCTCAGTGACTGGTTCAGCGTTTCATCCTCAGTAAATGCTGAATTCACATAATCAGCCCTGTCTCTGTTACTTCCTCCTCCTGCTGCACTCCCAGATCCTTCAAGTGAGCTCATCAAACTATATGAGGACTGGGAGGCTAGAGGAGCTGCGCTGTTGGAGTGAACTATAACTGTGCTGTGTGGCGCTCCATTCCCCAGAGGGAAATCCTGTCTGATAATTGTTCCTCCTGCTATTCCATTGGCGCTCCCTGGTGCAGTGCCTCCAACACTGGACCCACTGCTACACTGACTGCAGGTGTATAAGGCTGTTGGCACCCTCTGCTGGAATGAGGATGTTAGTGCATTATTTTTAGCCTTGGGAGGCAGTGGTCTAGGTGGTTCCAGCATCTGGGAAACTTTGAGTGCTGCCTCTCGGCTGTTCCTCCTAAGGGTTGCATGAATCAGACCACTATCAAGCCTCTGACCAGAGTTCCTCCCAGCCGCATTATTGTGATTGGCTGGGTCAGGGTATGGAGGTGGGTCTCCACTGGGTATAGAATAACGAGGTGCAGTGAGTCTGTTAAGGGTAGCAGAGGTGTAGGGCAGCTGAATTTTCTTGTCTGCTGCAGAGGATGACGAAGTGACCCTGAGAGTGGCAGAGTTGCCAGGTCCTTGGAGAGTGTAGACATTCTGATTGCAGACAAGACGCGTTCGAGGGCGACACACTTCTTCCACATTCCCACTGCTATCAAAGGTTGTTATTCTCTCGTAACCCATTGGTGTGGGATACTGCGCTTGTTGCGAACCTGATGGATAAAGCGAGAAATCTCCCTTTTTCAGGCAAAGATCACCAGGGGGAGGAGTTCCACCTGTGGCCAGTCCTGTTGCAGATAAGGAGTTGGAAACTGCAGAGGCGGCTGACGATGAGGCAGCTGCAGATGCTGCAGCAGCAATGGCTGCAGCCACAGTCCCAGGGTAAGGAGGTGGTGGGTTCATCTTACTGAGCTCTAAAGGGGCACTGAACACAACTGTATCACTGTCAGCCAGCTGGGGAGTTGACCGAGTTGTTTTGATTTTCAGTAAGTGCTCCTGTTCACCCCCCACTGTTCTATCAACAATTAAATCAGCTGGTATGTGAGGAATTTGGATCTGCAGGGCTCCTGGCTGCAGCTGGTGCAGAGCAGCACCTGAGGTTTGGCCTGATGACACGGAGGAGACAGGGATCTGAATCTGAAGCTGCTGCTGAAGCTGCTGTTGAGAATGAAGCTGATGATGCAACTGTTGTTGCAGCTGAATTTGTTGCTGTAGTTGTTGCTGCTGTTGTTGCTGTAGTTGTTGCTGCTGCTGTTGTTGTTGTAGTTGTTGCTGCTGCTGCATTTGTATGTGCTGTTGGAGCTGCTGTTGAAGCTGCTGCTGAATGTGCTGCTGCTGTTGCAAGTGTTGGTGATGGAGCATCTGCTGTTGCTGAAGCTGCTGATGGTGGTGCTGAATTTGTTGATGATGTAGCTGCTGCTGTTGACTTGGTTGTTGCTGTTGTTGCTGTGATGAATGAGATGGTGGAGGTGCAACCATTAGGCGCCCCATTTCTAGTCCCCCAAAAATGACCTGACCAGGACTGGAGTACCTGGTGGGTACAGTGTACTGGGCTGTCAACATTGTATCTTGGCTTTGGTCTGGCCCACTGGCAGATGCTCCAGCAGGGGATGCAGTGGGATTACTTAGAACATCCAGCTGAACGTTCTGATTAGCCAAGAGTGACTGGACCAAACCAATGTTTTGGGCAGGAGACATGGCCTGTGCAGGACTGTGGATAGGGGCAATGGGGATGTTTACAGTGCAAGGAGGGTTGTCATCAGCACCTCCAGCAGGACCTGTGACAGGTAGGTCATCTTCATCCTCGCTGAAAACATTAGGGCTGAAAACAGGCAGGTTGATGTAGTCCATAGAGATCTTGCGCACCTCTGGCAGGTAGATGGTCATCTGTCTAGGCTGCAGATGGAGGAGGCTTGTCTTGTAGATAACTAAGAAGAGAACAAAACAGGTTAAAAACAAAATCAAATTAAGTTATAAACAACAAATATTAGGATCGTGATAGGTTAAGGAGTTAACCGATTACCTGCTCCAAGATTGGTTGGTAAAAATGCAGCCAGCCCCACTATCTTGAACTTTGTCCCCCAAATATTGGATGTGACCTGAGCAAGATAGTTTTGCTGCAAGACAACAAAAAAAAATGCTGTCACTTAAGTGTTAAAATAAACATTTTATAAATTACAAGTAAATAAATAAAACATTTTTTGGAGAAACAATAGGTCTTTACCATATTATGCTGACCTACCTGGCCCACACAGACATCACTGCCAATTGATAGAGAGGGCTATGATCCTTGAAAGGCTTTTCTTCCCAAAATTAATCTGCAATTTACCTGATTAATGTCATCCAGAGGAAATTCTCTTCGAGACAGACTGGGTGAACCAATGGAGGGTTTCCGTATGGGTAAGCGTGGAGACCTGGAGATCTCTTGCGTAGCTCGGGACAGTTTGGGTGATTTTCTGGGGTCAATATTAATCCTGTTGGTAAAGGGACAAACTAAGTCTCTACAGAGAAAGTAGCAAATGAAAAAAAAGGTTTAAGCATGCTGTAAAACAAAACAAAACAAAACAAAAAAAACAATAATTTAAAGTTCTTAGTTAACTTCGAAAGGGTATTTAATTTCAATAGCAGGAAAGTTATAAATGAAAAATCACAGAAATTACATAACTCCATGGACATCGCTTCGTAAATTTTCTACTATCCATACAAAGAATTACTGGATTTTTATCAAAAATAAAATGTTTTTTATATTCTTGTTTTTTGTGAATACTTTTGTAGCCATCTAAAAGAAAAAGACAAATATGATTGTGCATAAATTGCTTCGTTCAGCTCTAATTAAACAAACGGATTAAAAAAAAAATTAAACAGGACAAATTTTCAACACGATTTTCTGTGATTCTCTGCAACTCCCACTTCTTTCTGCTATAGTTCGATTATTTATCACAAGTCAAAGATGTCATAATATTTAACTTTTTTCATTTTAATGAGCACATCTTGATATTTACATAATTCAGTTTTTAAACCAAACACATTTGGTTTTTTGTTATTTGGTCAAAGGGAAAAAAAGCTAGTTTTAAACGTTGTAGGAGTGGAGTTAAATTTACAGTCTAAAGGTGGCTGTCAAAGGTGTTAAAAGTTGTATAAAATTAGAATTTAAAAAATAGAATGTGGGAGACAATTCTCTTGTTCTACAAAAAAAAAAAACATCTAAAATTTACTTTTCATCCTTAATTTGCATTTTCTGAATCCACAGGATGTTTTTACGCAAACGTAACCATTGTACTGCTCGTCATAAATGCCTTGACTTCACTTCAATCATGTTTAAAGTTGCAGTGAACAGGCCATTATTTTTCATTTGACATGGATCGTTGCAGGAAAGTCAATTTAAGATGTAAAAATAAAGAAGAAGAAGTTTGGCACAGTTTTTTGCAGGTCATTTAACTAGTCAAGTTACCTTGGGAGTTTGGGAGATTTACTTCCTCTCGATATCTTTGGAGACTTCTTGCCGACCCAATCGTCACTCAGCTCAATGTCACTAGAGTCTGAGCAGTTACAGCTGTCAATCATCGCTGATATCAAACTGTTGCCATAGATCTCATCTGGGAAAAATATATACAGAAAGTCATTCAGAAGAAATTAAACTTTTTTTATTATGACAAACATCCATCCATCATCTGCTGCTTGTTCCAGATTCATGTCATGGGGCAGCAGCTTGAGCAGGGAGGCTCAGACATCGATTTCCCCAGCCACCTTTTCCAGCTCTTCCAGGATTCCATTCCAGCCAAGAGACTCTCCAGCATGTCTTGGCTCTTCCCTAGAGTCTCCTACCAGCTGGACATGTTCGGTAATCAGATGTTGACTGGTAAACAGAGATTCACCTTGCAGCCCAGCTTCCTCTTTATCGCAATGGACCAGCACATAGTACACAAAACTGCGAAAGCCGCACTGATCAGTCTGTTGATCCAACGCCCTATTCTTCCCTAACTTGTGAACAAAACCTCCCAAGATACTTAAACTCCTCCACTTGAGGCAGCACCTCACTCCCAACCAGGAAGGGGCAGTCCATCCTTTTCTGACCGAGGACCATTGTCTAAGATTTGGAGGTGCTGATGCGAATCCCAGCCCCTTCACACTTTGCTGCACACAAAATGGAGAACACAGCACGAGAATACCAGCAGGACATCTGAAAATAGTAGCGATGGAATCCTGAAGTCACAAAACCGAGCCTTGCCTCCTGATTGCACCAATAAATTCTGTCTATAAAAGTTACGAACAGAATTGGTGACAGATGACAGCACTGTCTGATTTGCACACTAAAGAGGTCCAACTTACTGCTGACAATGCAAACCAGACTTGTGCACCCTTTTATAGGAATTGAATGATCCAAAGCAATGGACCCACAATCCAATTCTCATGGAGCACCAACCACAACATATCCCTAAGAACACAGTCGACAAATGACATACATTGTATACATTTAACCAATCTCCGTGATGATCACTGCTGAAATGCTCATGTTGAATTTTGAAAGAGATCAAGCAAATATACAAATAAGAGTTGCTTCAGGAAATTAGTCTATTGGTATTCTGGCACTGCAAGAGACATTTAGAGAAGTACCATCATTTCCAGACTATAAGCAGATATTTTTTCCACATGCTTTGAACCCCGCAGCTTATACAATGCTGCGGATGATTTATAGATTTTTGTAATTTGACAGGCTAATGAGCTTCCTGCCACTAAAACATTTACCCTCATCACACCCCGGCGCTCACATAGGTGCTTAATACACATCTCTCCTGGGGGGTGGGTCCTCGTGACTCAGTGAGACTACCTGTATAAATAAAGTAAAAAAAAAAAAAATTGGACCGACGAAAAAAAAAATTGGACCGACGAAATTACCAAACAGGTCACAGTGGACCAATGAAATGAGGAGTGGTGGAGAGAACGAGGAGGGGGAACTTGTCGTGAAGGCACAACAAAGTATTCGCAGCCACTCAATATCAGTATGAATCGTGTATTAAAGTGACACTTGGAGCCAAGGTGGGAGGCTTGGATGACTGGTGGCAAGAAATTGTTTACAAAAACTGGTGACATTCAAAGAGCAACTTTTGCTCCAGTCTGCCAGTGGATCCTGACAGAGGAGCAGTTAAAAAAAAATTATCTGCAGGAGGAAGATGAAGATAGCGATCAATGACTTCCTGGTAAAATTTAATGTATGTATTTGTGTATGTTACCGGTATGTATTTAATCAAAAGTTAAAAAAATCTTTCTGTGTAAATATCTCATGTTATAGCGTGGACATCCCACGGCTTATACACAAGTATATATGTACAAAATTATTATTATTGTTTAAATTTAATGGGCGTGGCTTATATTTGGGTGCACTCAATAGTCCAGAAATTACAGCATTTTTATGCTTTCACAAAATTATGACAAAACTACAGGAAACCATGTGAACTCTTTTAGTCAACCCCCTTTTTTAAAGTGATTATAATGCTTCATTTTTTTGTTTGCCATAGACCAATGCCACTCCAGTTAGAGTCAAGTTAATTTATTATTTATTTGATGGACATCAAAGTGTGAATAGACTGGAACCATTTCATGGCTGGCTTCATTTATCACTGTTTAGGGAAGAAGTACGTAGATCTATGACAAAAAAAAAAAACTAAGGGTCATCAGAGCTCCCATTACACAGCTTTTAATTAACATGGATCCAATCTGCCTTCTGCAGCTTAAACACTCACTGTGTGCCGAGTCAGCAGAATATGGAAAACTACAGAAGGATGCCAGAAACACAGTGAGCAGCTGCACTTGGATTTTCAAGAATAGATCATTTGAAATAAACAAGTATTTTAGAAAACAAATTGTAATGAGTTTTGACTTATCAGAACATCAGATCATGATGCTTTTGTAATCATCAAACTGAAGGGTTTGCAATATCATGTATTCTTGAACTAAATTAATGACATGAAATAAACTCAGTCCTACCTGTTTTACCATCTGACTTTGGGTCCATGATGACAAACTCTGGACGCAGTTTACTTATCCTTCGGCCCTTCAGGATAGGCACCAGACCTCCTAGGTACTCCAGATACAAAGTATAGCATGGCCCTCCCACTTCAGGGTTATCCTCAGTACGCTTCATAGTGCAGTGCAGTCGCTCGTTCCCAGACGTTGGGTAGCTCACAAAATCACGCATGTTATTGGGATCTGGAATCGGGGGCTGGAAAAGTGACGTTAAAGCAAAATATAATAACATATACACCAACCATTAACACAACAGGTTTTTTTTTCAGCTCAATAAAAACTTGAAAACCAATCATCTTAAAAATTCATCACGAATATTGATCAGGTAAAATTTGACAAAGCTCTTCACAGTTTTTTTCAAGGCTTTGAGGGATTTTGTCCCCTTCAGTGCTGAGTTACCTTAATGGTGGGGATAAAAGCAGCAGTGACGTAGGAACAAAGACGAGAAGGCATGGTGAGCTTGGCAACATCCTTTTCCTCCTTTACTGCTGTGGCAACAACTTGCTGGCAGAGTAGCTGAAGCGACGCAACACGGTGCTCCACTCGCACAACGTAGAGCGCCGGGCCCGATGCCAGAAATAGACGCGAGTCCCGGTGACCCCAACAGAGCGTAGTGATGGGGCGCTGCGGTGGGAAGGAGACGATAAGTTATCACACAAGGTTGGTGTCAAGGGGCTGAATGTTAAAGTTTTTCACTTTACTGGCTAAAATTCTTTCTGAGTTTGTTTCTTTTTCAAGATGCATCACTTCTATATAATTTTGATCAGTGACAAACAAAATGTGTGAATAAATAAAAAGGTTTACGTCAAATAAAAGTTTTATGCTGGTAGTTCATTTTTAGTCCACAGTAGTCTGTCCTTGAATTTTGGAAAGTCGTAAAATTGTTGAATGTCAGAAAGTACAAACTGAAACATCTTGACCAAACGGTCATGGTTTATAATCAAATAAGTAAAAAAAAAAAAATGCATTAAATTTCTTAGAGAAGTGTCTGAAAATTTACTTTACAAAATCAATGTTTTAAATGACTCACTTTGTTCTTCCAGTGGTTATTTTTGATTAACGCATCCTTTAATAAATAATAAATACATAATATAGTATTAGATTTAGTTATAGGACATAGTTTGTTAAAGAGAAAAAAAAAATCAATCAGTCACAGATTTAAGAAGACTCTCAACTAAAACAAACTAAACTAAAAGTAAAAAAAAATTAAAAAATACATCAGGGACTTTATATTAAAGGGATCCATGATTAGTTGTCACAATAGACTTTATTTGAGAAATATTTATTTTAGATGTAAAAACAATACAGTAAAAATATTGTAGGCCATTTAGTTGTTATAAAATTGAATAAAATATTGTCACACGGACGTCGCCATGTTGTTTAAGCTGCAATGCATTCTGGGTAAATGAAGTATGCTAGGTCCTGTAGTGCTAGCTCCATCCAGCCAAAACAGCTATGAGTAATGTTACTCCTTTTCAGTTTGAACCAGAGCAGATTTCCTGTTGCAGTTAGAGCTCATCACCTGTGCAGGTGTGTCGAGAGTGTAGGTGTGTTCTCCAAGAACATTGTAGAACTTGACAATAGCATTCCTGGTGGGAAGGGGACAGGGGGTTTCAGGAGAAAGGGGGGTTCTCTCCATCCCTGCCACAGCCAGGAGATCTCCCTGAGAGCACCACAGAACTACAACATCTAAAACACAGGAGACAGAACAAATTTTAATCAGCATGAACATAATTCAGGCATTCTCTAGATCTCACAGAAGCTGTAAAGAAACCAACAAGTAATTGAGCTACATAAAACACATAAAAATACAAAGCCAGTGGAGCATTTATGTGAATAAGACATTTATGCACCTTTTAAACCAGTGTGGATGAGGGTGGGTGAGAGGTCATCATAATTGTTCATCAGGCTGATGTCTCCAGAGGTGAAGCTGACTGTTAGTAGAGGTTTCTGGCTGTGCACTAAGAGACAAAGGACAAATGTAAGTTAGACAGCAAGTGTGAGAGTTCTTATAAAAAGAATACTCAGTGATGCTTTTCATTAGTTTGTATTTTACAGAAGCTTTGAGTTTGCCTTCTGGTCAATTTCAAACTCAAAGATGTTGCACAGAATAAGAAAGAACACAATCACAGCACGTACCCAGGGCACTCACCTGTTGTTCAAAGAGCATGAACTTAATGCTATGCATAATTAAGATTGATCAAAATTAATTATACAGGCAACACTGGTCTCATTTTTTCAGTCTCAGAGGTTGATTTTTAGCACATTTATCACCTACAAGTTCTTTCACCAAGACATTAAAAAGGAGTTCATTAATATACACTGTTTTACTTAATGAAATGTATTATTTATTCTTTATAATTTAGTTTTTAGGTATTTATCAGTACATACTTAGGCTTAAATATTCAACGCTTACCACAACTATGATCTGACCTATGGTTTAGGGTAGGTATGTGGCTGAAGTGGCCTAATTACAGGACAAAATTATTATGTCCAACTACGATAGGACACTGCTTCTTTAAATTACTGTAACATGTTATGTTTTGATTGGTCAGTACTACCTAGAGAACATGACAGTCGACCAACAAGACTTCCATCCATATCTAGGATTATGAATTAAAGAAAAGCTAAAACAAAAATCTCCCTCAAAATAATTCTCCAAATTTCATTTCAGAGTTTGCACCTCTGCCAGCTACATCACCTAATATTTAGATTTATACAGAAAAATTTACCTCTGTTAATTACCATAGATAAATATGATGCAACTCTAAATAGGATGAAATAATTTTAAAAAATGAAGCATAATGCAGTAATGATGTGAACATTAGTGATAATTTTTATGGAACAATAAATTCTTATTGAATGATTTAAGTAGTTAGAGCATAATCAGTGTTCCAGCTCAAGCAATAACTTTTCAGCTTTACTACTCGGCCTGTGGTGAAAGAAAAGGAAACAAACAGCAAAGTGGTTGAAAGACAGACCCACAAAGACATAAAATGGGCAAGCGGGAGTAATTATGGTACCAATAAAACGTGCATGTTATTTGTACTGGTAAAATCAAAAAGTGAAAGCGATTGAAGAAATACATTTTTCGCTTCTGGTTGTACTTTAAAAGTTATCTTTTTCACTTCTCAAGCTTTATGAAATGAAAATACACAATGCCTGCAAGCTCAGCACTACAGATAATTTCCTATGACTAACTAAAATTGTGCAGATATTTAAATCAAAATCTTATGCTTAAGAAAATACATAAAAACCTGTAAAGTGCTGTAAAGAGAAGTCTCAGTCAAATTATTTTAACATACCTTCAGATAGAAGTACTCCAAATAAAACCCTTTCGAAGATAGATGATTTTTAATGACAATTAATATTAATAGACCGACTTTGTTGAAAGGGTGGAAGGAAAAAAAAAGCATCCTAAGCCTTATAGGTGAGACAATGAAATGTTTGCTTTGTTTCCCTTTTTACCTCTATATTTTGTTCCTGGACACAAATGAACCAGGAATTTTGAGCTTTATATGTTGTATCCTCATATGTTGTTCATTGGTGAGCTCATGGAAAGACTTAAGTTTGAAGGTGAAGAACAGATTCAAGGATGAATTTATGTTCAGACAAAACTTTAAGATACCTTTAGGTGGAGTGTAATCATCAGAGTCTGTGTCACTCTCACTGCTGTCCTCCACCAGGAAGCTGGGGTAGTTCCAGGACATGCTGACAATACCATCCGACTCATGCAGCAGTATGTGGGCCAGCATCCGCCCGTGGCAGTCCATCACTATGACCTGTCCGTCCGCAGTACCAAACAGCACCTGTGGAAGAAACGGTGCAATATTATGGTACTTGGAAAAATACGGACAATAAAAAAGAACAAGGAAATAAATAGAATAACAAAAAATGAAATGGTTTCACTCAGAAAAGAAAAAAAAACAACAACCAAAAACAGAAAATAAACAATTAAAGATTCATTAAAAATGTTGAATTAAACATAAATAAGGGCACTGAACAAAAACAGCAGCATACATGTATACACACTAAAGTATATATAAACAAAGCCTAAAAAATAGATTTGAAACAGCAAATGCTTGCTGTCATTTATAATAAGCACTTTCAGACTGTAACTCTACCATATAAAAACCAAGAATAAATACTCAAGTTAGCAAAAAAAAAAAAATCTAAAACTTTACTTTCTATTAGTAAGGATGATAAGGCATTTGAGACTAAATGGTCGATCTTTTAAAAAGTGTTTTAATTATTACCTAAACAGTATAAATCAGGGGTTCTCAAACTTTGTGTTCAGGGACCCCTTACAGGGGAGAAAAGTTTCAGGGACCTCCTCATAACCCTGATGTTTATTAAATAATTGTATTCAATTTGTCTCTTTAATGCAATGGAAATATTTGTGTAACATAAATACTTAAGACCTGTTCTTTAATAGTGTTAATACAATTTTATACGTTTAAACACAGGGTATTTTTCATTCAAGACACACTAAATTAACAACATTTTTAAGTTCTACTTCCAAAAATTACAGTGTTGAGAAAATTACCAGTATCAAAAACCACTTTAAAACCCACCTATTTCCATAATGAACATAAATGTATTGCAATTTCTTCAAGTTACCACAGAAAACTCTTTACATAAAACTGAACAGAATCAAAACAGCAGTCATACCACATAACAGGCTTCATTTGTAAACTGATCGATGCCGGAACGCATCTTTTTCTGGGGGTCCTCCCCCAGAAAAGTTTGAATAAAGTAGATGCAATTTCCTGCATTTTGGTGCATTTTAACAGGTTGTTAAACATCTACGTGCTTGTAAAAAAAAAATACAAATATTAAAAAAGTAAAAGTTTTTTTTTTCGGACCCCCAAGCACCAGCTTGTGGACCCCAGGGGGATCCAGGGACCCCAGTTTTAGAACCACTGGTATGAACAATAAAACTTTGTGTCCATCTACTGAGCCTTAAACATATGCATCCACCATAATTTCAACATTAATATTAAGTCTGATTAGATATCATCTGTGCGTGGCAAACATTGAAATCCTAACTATGCGTTTGTGGGTCTGAATGTTACCTGCTGGTCATCTGGAGTCCAGATTCCACAGGTAATCTGGCTTTCCAGGTTGATCTCAGAAGACCAGTGTCTCTGTCCGCTGACAGAGCCCACCAGGACAAACCCATCCCGATATGAGATGAGAGCCTGCGTGCCGTCATGTGACCAGGTGAAGTCACTTACCTACATGGGTGAGTAATGAGAAAATAAATCCATTTCAGAGTCCAGCTACTGATGACGTATAACAAATTAAACAGAATTTTATGCAGTGCCTTGTCCATTTTAGAGATTTTTGCAACTAAACAATTTAACAGATGTATTATTATTGTATTTTTTTACTTTTACTGAGTTACATGATTATAGTACCAAACTCAGTTTTCAAATATGAAGTTTTTTCTTTGTCAAATCAACAAACAGAAAGAAATAACAACATAACTTCAATGCTTAATTTATGAGGTAAACTAATGCAATTACCTGTGTCTGCCCATTAGCAAAAAAAGCTCATGAACCACTGGACAGATGTTATTGAAACTGAGAAATGAATCATTGGATGTATATCTGACTAAATTCTGGAGTCAATCAATTCAAGATGGCAGCCATAGCTAATCAACCATAGCAAATACAAAACTGATATAAATTCTGTCAATTTTATAGATATTACGCTAAAATTTGAAGCCGTAGCACCCGAGTCTTCCTCAACACATGTTCTGAGCACTAACTAACACTTGAGATTTTAGTTTGAACTTAAGTATGAAAGGTGGCACGTGATGCACATTCCTTCAAGGAATGCTTGTTAAGAAAGTTAGTACCATATTTAGATTATTAATAGTGAGATTCTCAGTCAAGTCAGTCCTATCCTTTGGCATCCTGTTAGTTTTGCTCTCACAAATGTTTTATTCAAGTTCACCGGCTTATTTGATTTTCAGATGTTGAAAATGATGTTGTTTAAGAGTTTTTTCCCCCTTCTTTGGCACACTGTCGGTTCAAACTAAGTACATTTGAAAAAGTTAAAAATGCATTTGAAACTGCTGACATACATCTTGATGGCATTCTGCTCTTACCTGAGCTCCACGGTCGTTGACGAGCTCCACAGACCAGCGGCCCTCATACTGAATCCAAACAAAAATCCCTCCATCTGTATCACAGGTGGCCAGTTTCTGGAAAGGTTCATTCCACCGCACCAGTACCACCTTTAGGGCGCATACAAAAATAACACAAAGAAACAACAGACAAAATATTTAGATGAATTTCTTAATAATTTGCAGACAAATATTCAAACATGCTCATTCAAGTCTTTTTTTATGCAGAAATCAACTTAGCAGAAGAGCTTGAAGATATTCCAAATTATCAACAAAGAATCCATCGACAGGCTCAGTTTGAGTCTTTCAAGAGAATAATCTGCTGAATGTCAAAAATAGAGACAGTAACATCTAAAACCTAAATTAAGAATCATGTTAGATTTAAAATTTAAAAAGAAAAAAAAAGGAAATATTGGGTTAACCTAATTCTGAGTAGTCACAAACTATCCAAAAATAATCCAGCACGTTACAAAACAATTTTATATTCAGTTCATCAGGTTCATAAGAATGAGCATTTTCTATTAACTCTTTCAAGCTATGTGATAACAACTTAAAAAAAAAGCTTGCTCCTACTGTGTTTGTTTTAAGTCAAAGTCCGTTTTTTTTTACCATTTTATGTTTAGAGCACTTCATTTGTTCACATGTACATTTTTCAATAACGGTTAAAAAGAAAGCAACAATAAAATATGCAGTGGAAAAGGAGTTAAGTAAGACGCTGAGAGCACCGACGCTTCGCTCGCAATCCCCTCAGAAAATATACAGCGCCTGTAAACGTGCAGAAAGACAGGCAGCTTATACCAGAGTTGACTCAACTATACAAGGATTTGTTTTCCCTGAGCGATAACGCAGACGGATTGTCACTGGCCTCAAGTGTAAGATGCAGATGAAGAGGGCTTTAAACACAGTGGTACAACAGAAAGTATCAAACTATTTATAACCAGTTTTGTTGACGCTGTCACCATCATTAAAGATGCCCAATATGCTTCTCTCCTCTCTGGTCTCGTGTAGCGTGACTCAGCCTATTCCCAGAGGAGTAATCCTAAGAAAAGAGCAGCTCTGCTTTCACTGACTGAAGCACGTGGGCTTTTCACGCTTAAATACACAACACAGGACAGGGTTTTAGTGAGGCTTAGGCTCTCGGAGTGCTACTTCAGTAGATCAGTGTGTGTGCTGGATGAGCCAACCAGTCTGCCCCTCGCATTTTAAAAACAAAGAACACATCTTTCCCTTATTCTTGTGCAACACATTCACTGTCTGTCTATAAAATAGGAATTAAAGGTAGTTGAACAACCTAAACGCTGCTTTTTTTCAATTAAAAAAGGTAAAGCTTGATAACTTAACAGAAGCTCATGTTCTTTAAAGATACAGAGAAGATATCAAATAATTGTTAAAAAACGCATCTCTAAAATTTCCAGATGTTATTAAACCACACAGGACTTGTAAAAGGCATAAGGTCGATATTCTAAATATTACAACATAATTCATAAGAACAATGAAAAAGGCAATCTTAGGTTTGCACATGCCATGTTTCACGTGAATTCAAATTTTACTAGTCGCAAAGAGTTGAGCCTGAACGGTGAATGTACGCTGTTGTTGTGAGACAGCCTGCAAAGGGGACAGCTGAGCACCTCAGTGACACAGCGATCAGGGAGATCAGACATCACATGGAGACAGACAAGATAAGAGCGAGACACCGCAGGACAACAAGGGACCAAAGACAGATCACAGAAAAATCGAACGAACACGTGAAAACACAAAAACACGCTTCTCTTGAACAATTTATCATAGTGAAATACAGGGACTATTGTCCACGTGTTTGTGAAACCTTGATTATAAAGTTAAGCAGCATAATCCAAATCAATCAGATACACAGAACAGAAAAAAAACTTTGGCATAATAGTTTCTGTTGGTAGAGCCAGATGGTCCAACAGAACGACTGCTCTGCAAGCAGGCTGGTCAAGTTATTGACTCCTGTGGGTGCAGTTTTAGGAAAATCTACTGACCCTTGCAGCTTCACAGAAAAGCCCAATCAAATCATGAGAGCTTGGTGTTGCACTGATGTCAGCAGGACTGAAAGGACACTGACTGTGAGATGTCACAGTGGTGTAATACTTGCTCAGAATATTTTGCAAACAGGTTGATATTTTTTAAATGAGCTACAAGAAGTATTTAAAAAATGGCTTACTATTATGAAAAAACTCAATAGCCTTAAATTATAATGATGATTAAACAATGTTGACTGAAAAACTGTAGCAGCTATGTTGGATTTTGGGACAAATTTGCCAAGAATTGTTAAAAGTTAGTTCTTACCAGTTAATGTGATGTAAATATTGAATTCCTAGAAACAAGCAAGAAGAAAATAGACCCCATTGTCTCTACAACTCTACTGCTTTGTCTGTTCTGGGTCTGACGAGATATTAAAACAACAGTCAAAGATAATCCCTTCGATCTGCTCGTACAAGAGCAAGGAAGTGTGAATGAGCAAAGCGAAATAGATGAATTTGCAAAGTGACAGTGGAGATCCTTCAGGGAAGGACAGATTTCATCTACTTTGAGCTGGGAATGCGATGTACTCTCCCCCGGCAGATCCGGTCTTCTTACTGAATGTCAAACCGAGGCAAACGTAAGCAAAGTGCCAGAGTTTAATTTCTGTCCAAGTTTTTGAGCTCGTTTAACTTCTGTCTTCTCACATTTTTTAGAACTATATGTTAGACAAGACAGAATGGTGTAAATATAGTACATTTATTTGACTAAAAAACTAACCTGCCATGTACAGGCTACAGCATTTCTGTTGGAAATTTTGAAGCGAGCAAGCAAATACGCCTAGAAGCTGAGGTGGCAGCTGAGCAATAAGGTTACGCAACACGTCTTCTCTAAGGATGGATTACCGCAGTAAAGCCATTACCATTAAGTACATTTTGTGAGACCATTGTAACGCATGAACAGGTCATGTACGATTCAAACCTCAGCAGGGCGTCTATTGTCAAGAGGTCAGGTGGAGAAAGAACAGCAGGCAGAACTCAGACATGTATACGACACGGTAGCCACCAGAGCAGAGTGTTGGACAACTGGCTTTCTTGTCTATTCAATAAAGCTGTGCAGTTCCCAGATCAGTGTTAATTCTTGCACAAGTCACCTACCAGAGATCTAGACTTATTTATTCATGTGACTTTGGAAGCAGTAAAAAGAAAGAAAGAGAGGGAGAATAAAAAAACTTGTCACACAGTTCAAGTTAAAAATAAGGAACATAGGAAAATATACTGGTAGGGGTTTATTTTAAAGCCATACGAATTGTCTAAATGTGCAATTTGTTCAACGTTCTGAATATTTATGCACAGTCTATAATATAAATTACTACTAAACACGGCTCGTTCACTACCAAACGTCTATTGTTTAATTTAGAAAAGTGAGCGAAATCATCAGTCGGGTTTCGTTTCCAACGGTGGTATGTTTACATTCAAACATTGATGAGTACAAGTCCAACAGTCTCAGTGCACAGCGGATATCGAGTCGGTAAAATAATCCCAGAATGTAAACGGTGTCCGTGGGAGAACAATGGAATCAGAGACACCAGCTCGAAAGCAATAAGGTAAAGCTCTTCTCTCTTCTTCTGAAAAGCATTGTGACTAAAAGCAGTAAGGATGAAAGTCAAGAGAAGTAGACGTTAAGAAATGGAGCATTAGGTGGAGAGCGTTGAAGCAAATGTTGGAGCCAAGCTCAGATGAAAATGAGCTGTGCAGAGATATTCTGAACATAACTGATCTCCAAATTTAGTTGTAAATAAAGGTGGGGAATATATGACATTATCCAACTAAATTCTTTGAATTACATTAACTGAACCTCAAACAATCGTTTGCTGTAGAAATTTTGTTTGAAACATAAAAGTTAAAAAAAAAAAAACAGTATTTTGACATAATATGGATTTAAATCTTTAAATTCAGTTCTCTTAATTGAATGAAATTCCCTTCTAAACCCACGTCACATAAGGATTAATTCAGTGTGGAACATTTTAGTGCTGCTACAGTATACTTCTGTTGCTGCTTAGAGCCAAAGGCATTTAGAGTAGAGCCTTCTCCACTGCAAACTACATGTAAATGAGCTGCAAAATGTAATTTATACAATACTCAATATTTTGTTCATTGTACAGTCGTGTTTAAAAATACATAAATATACCACTAGTGAACAGAGTAAGTTCTAAACTTTTAGTACTATCCGATTTGAGATTGAATCGAAAACGTTGCTCTCTCAGCAAAACGTGTATTCAACTATTTTATATATGAAAGAATTATAATTAGAAAAGAATCACATTTTTCATATTCAGTATGCAGCATCACATATATAATCACATGATAAAATGTAAAAAATGTCTGCTGCATTTATTTTTCATTTCAGTCTTGATCGACTGGAATGCCTATTACCCGGTAAAAGTTTTGATAATTACAATTACGATTAGGGCATTAAGGCACAATTTTTTTGTATTTATATACTTTTTTCCAAGCTTTTTTTTTTTTTAATAATTCACAATGTTCAGTCAGGTCATCTGGACGGTTTCTTTTTTTTTGCTGAGACGTTTTGTCCTTCATCCAAAAGGTCTTCTTCTATCTGAGGAGCCACCAGACAAACTCTGTACCCACAATCAGCACAAACATAGTGGGTCAAACAGTTTACTGGTGATAAGATGGTTTCTGGGGCCTGCCCTCTCCCCTGTCAAATCCTCTGAAGCAGCCACGCCAAAGTGGTTCAAAACACCAAAGTCCATGCTCAATAATCCAGGTAAAAATCTAACAATGTTCAGTCAGGCCATCTGGATGGTTTCTTTTTATTTGCTGAGACGTTTGTGAGGTGGCTTCTCAGATTGAAGAAGTCCTCTGGATGAAGGACGAAACGTCTCAGCAAAAAAAGAAACCAGATGACCTGACTGAACATTGTTGGATTTTTACCTGGATTATTGAGCATAAACTTTGGTCTAAAAATATTTTTCAATAGTCATAACAATTACATTTTCATTAAGGCACTCAGATTTCAGCATACTAAGACGATAAAAACAATACTTTTGTAATGCTGCATTGCAAGACTTGTTAAATTGTCAATTAAAACAAGTGCAGCGTGCTTATAATTGACCTATGTGGGCCTTGTTTGAGTAAATACTCAAGTTGACACCAGGAACACAACCATCTTGCTTGAATAAACTTTAATGCATCTATGTGGTGCTGTCACGCTCCACACAGTGGTGTAAGCTTTGCAACAGAGACAAACAGTTATGGCTCAGACATACTGCCAGTTTTAACATGTGCTTATATTTAACACCTTGTACAAAGTTGACACACGGCATCTGCAGCGTAGTTTTCAAGGCTTACCCTAAAACTGCCATTTTTCTCAGGACCTCACTATCTGGAGTCTATGTTTATGGGACATGCGAGTACATGAACTTTTTTCCCGTTATTTGCATCAGTTAGCATAGAAGCAATTTTCTACCGAGTCTAATATTTCAAGATATAAAGAACAAACTGCAACTGCCACCATACCATGATGCGGCCTTGTATTGCATTTTACAATGAAACCTGAGTAACCATGCTGCATTAAAAATATGGTGAAATAAGATAGGAAGGAGGACAAATGTTTATAAAGTTACATGACCTAAAAAGATTGTCTGGCATTTGAATAATATAACAGAAGACTGCATAATGGGTAGGACAAGACAACAAAACATGTTTGTATTCCCACCAATTTGTAGTGTCCCAACCTCTGGATGCAGATTAAACCGGAATGTAATTTAAGCTCCTATTCCAGACACTGACACAAACAACAGAAATATCTTTAACCACCTGCTCAGGTCTCAACGAACGTCAGACAGATTAGGAATCTAGAACCAAATGTCCAATAAGAACCATGCTTTCTTGAGAAAACAAATCTATAAATCACAAGGAACAATGGTTAAAGATGAGATTTATACATTTACTAAAGATCTTGGATGACTTTTTTCCCCTCCATCAAGAGGAGTTATTTTTTCCCATTTCTGTGCTCTTGCTCAAAACATGACGACATGAGCTAAATTGTGTAACGGGACACACAAAGTCAATGAAAAGTGTACAATGACAATGCTGACGCCTAAAGGACAGTTCTGTTGAGAGATGGAACTGCATTTTAAAGCTGAATTTGCAGCTTTTGAAGACAAAGAAAGGGTAAACAAACATCTTGAAGAAGCTATTTTTAAACAGTTTGCTTGAAAACTGCATTCTGTCTTTGTCACGTCAGAAACATGACGAAAAAGTGTCGCATTTTGTAAATTATGGATAAAAATGAAGAGTATAAAATCAAAATCTGAAAATGCACAAACTGTAAGGTGCATTATCAATGTGAGCTATAAAATCTATTAAAATTAAAGCAGCTCTAATCCAAAGGGAGCTATACTTGAATCAGTGCAAAAAAAATGAAGTCATATTCAATATGAAATATAAAATAAAGGGAAAACTGTTATGCAAATTTGACCTTCTCCAAACAAAATAAAACAACAACAAAAATCAGTTCTACTGAATTCATGCTTGGACTGAATTCAAGTGGGCAGAGTTAAATGACATTTTGTTGTTCTTCAGTCACTTCATGCAGGGATTCATCCACTCCCCTCAGCTGCCTTATGGAACGCTGACACAGCACGTTTCACCATCTGACCAGCAGCTACACCCACTAAAAGAGAAAACACAACCTGCGTGCAGCCCCGTTTGTGCCAGCCTTGTTACACGCTCGGCACAAAATTTGGCTCAGTCGTCACACTCAGGAGGATCTAGTCATACAATTAATTGGATCTAACAATTTGGGCTCAGTGCATTAGTGATGGGAAACTTTAAACATGTGGTATTATTAGCAGCACCTGAAACTAAAGCTCTGTAAAGTTTCCACTACAAGCAGCAGGGAGGGCTGGTGCTGGACTGTTAATTCAGTGAGAATATGCCAGTCCTGCCAAACACAACGAATAAATAAATTTGAATTACTGCATCTTGAAAAGCGGTTGAAACTTGCCTGCTTAACCGTTACTGCACAGTAAAAACAATATAACAAGTCTGCCATAAGCACATTTTTGCTTTCGATATTGTTTTCAGGAACTTCGATGCACTAAACAATTTTAATCACGACATATTTGTAAGAAAAAAAAAAAAAGAAAAACTGTACTTTTTCCAACAGTTTAAAATTTTTTTTTGCCTAAATCGACTGTAGATATGTTTTTATTTAAACCACTTACCTCACTATTGTGTCCTCTGAGGTTGAAGTTTACTCTCTGTGGGCTGGACCGGTCTCGTCTGCAGTGGCTGGATGTGAATGTGACCCCGACAACTCCACGACTGTTCCCTGTAGCGAGCCAGCCCTCCTCGTAGTACCGCTTTCTGCACACCGGTTTTTCCTTCTCGCTCTTGGGTACCCGGCCCTTCCAGGACAGGCACAGGATGTTGGAGTCGCTGCAAAGCACCGGGCCATGCTCCACAGCAGCAAACATACCTGCAGCTTTCTGCACCCCTTGATTAAATTTTAAAAAATCCAGAGGGAGGTTCTTCGCAGGGGGTTGAGAACCGTTAAGAGCACCTCTCCTCCACTGAGGTCAGCAGTTCAGTGTTGGGCATGAGACAGTTAAACTGGTGCATAGTACAACCCCTTTGCCATCAATCAAAACTCTCCCATAAGCCCCAAAAAGATCAAAACAGCAGACTTCAGCATCATAGGGTTAATGGTGTCACATAATCAAAAGGCACTCAAGACATTGTGATGATCAGTGAGTTGCCTTGATAGTGCAGTTTTAATGGCAAGGCAAAAAAGTGAAGAGAAACAGAAGTTAGAAATCCACCGTGGCAAAGTCCAAGTTCATTTGAGCAGATCCAACACCATTTCATAAACTCAAAAAAAGGTCATCACAAGTCATACCCAACGGTGCTTCCAGTTGATTTGAGTAATGTTTTTCTCCAAGTCACTGTCTCTTTGTCCTACGCATTTATTCCCAGTAGTGTACTTGCAGAGAAGGAGAAGGGACTCCTGTCATCAGCTGTCAGCCAGCAGGGGAGACGCTTCTCCGGGGAATGTCATGTCAGCCCGCCTGCCTTTTCAAGCAGCCTTTGGGGTTCCAACCAGGGCTGCGGGGTAATAAAAAAAAATGCCATCACACACAAACTAGAATTATCAGTGTGTCTGAGCATAGCAAAATGAAAATTTAAGTGGTTGTGACCACATAAATACTCACCTGCCGTCCAAAGCCATAGATTTGAATATTAATTCACCTGCCTAAAATAGTTTCTCACCTCTTGGCAGCCAGACTCTTTTTACTGCTTCGCAAATGGATGTTAAATTAGTGAATTATCTGTTTTAGAAGAACAACGAATCACGTTAGCCTTTGTTTCAGTGGGACAAGAAACTTTAAGCTCAAGCTTACTTAAATCATGAACAAGAGGTAAATAATGTAAACAAGAGCAGAAACACAAAACTAACAAAGAAAAGGGGCGCCTATTAAGACACATTAAACAAAGGATGCAAAAGAGACGCTGAATTTTGAAATGACACCCAGAGAACAATTACTGAGACGACGAATCGACTTTATTATGGTGTGGGAGAATCAGAACCAGAAATCCAGACTTGCTGTTCACAACAATGCAACAGACTGAATTAGCATACAGCGACGAGGGGGAGCCACAATAACAAAGACACAAAAGCACCGACTTTACAGACAACAGAACAATTCCTACTGAAGCTTTAGACACCATGTGAACACATCCATCACCATTTTCACCAAAAGATGCCTGCTAGCTACAGCTAGCTGTGATGATGTATCAAACTCCGAACACATCCAGAATTAATATTTTATTTTTGTTCGTTTCCAAACTAACCGTGTCTCCTTTGTGTTGAAACGTTAACCTTGCCCGGGTAAACAGTCTAGCAACGGCATGTGTCGACCGGAGCGATATGTGCTAGCAGAGCCATACCTCGAGCTCCATCATCGGACTCTCTCCGTCCAACCGCCGCTGTTCAGTAACTGTCGCTAACGGCTAATAGCACTAGCCGACGGTTTATCCTGGTTTTTATTCAACGTTAAAATTAAACAATTTGATAAGTAACAACCAGCGGGCGATATTTATGACTAGGCGTGGGAATAAAAGCCGTCTTGTCGTCAAAAAAGCCGCACCAACGGCCGGAGGACTCTTACCTCGGCGCTGTGCGTGGAGTGTTACCGCTCCCTCTCTGGCTGCCTGGAGGAGCCGCTGTACAACAGAGGCTGGGCCCGGACAGCTGTGCCACGTGACGGGCACGTGACTCAGGCCGTTGAATTATTTATATCAACAACTACAGCGGCTTAACTTTGATCTTTCACGTGAGGCTAAAAATACAAATAAGGCACGCTTTGAGTCGTTCCCTCCGCTCTCCAACCTACAGAAACCTACAAGACATTTATAATATTTATACAAAATACACACTACAGTATTTACAATAGAACAACTTTTATTTTTTAAATTGGGTAAACTTATTAAAATATACTGCTCTGTCTCTATATCAAGACTGTCCTTGCTTTATTCTATTGTTTTGTTAATAATTATCCACCTGTATAATTTAAAAACACCTAAAGTCCAATTTTTTTAACCTTTTTTTCTTCCACTCACATACATACATTCAACTGTTATTTATACAGGTTAATCCCATTGAGCTTCAGGGACTCATTTACAAGAGAGACCTGAATTTTAACAGAGTGATGACAACAGTGGATAACATATGTAAACGTTTAAAAAAAAACATACAAAAGTAAACACGTGCACACATGGCTTATAAATGAATGGACTCTTGTTTTCTTGCTTTATAAATGATTTGTGCGGTGTTTCCATTGTGATGGACTGGTGACAATACATCACTGAAGAAATACTGTTTTAGACATAGCACTTGTAGCAATTGTAGCAGGAATGTACATAAAATATAAAAAGTAAAAGCTGTTAGAGTATTGTGAATTATTGCCTTAAATAACTCAAGTTCTAGTTAAATTAATTTTCTTTTGTCTGTTCCATTTTCCACCACAAGTTATCATCCTCTGCCCTCACTCCAACGCCATATATCAACTGGCTTTTTCCTGGCAGATGCATCTCTAACATACTTCTACCAATATACCCACTGTGACATTGTCCCTCCTCTGGACATGTCCAAACCATCTCAGTCTGGCCTCTCTAACTTTATCTCCCAGTTGTTCAACTTGTGCTGTACCTCAGATGATCTCATTTCTAATCTTATCCATCCTTGTCACTTCCAAGGAGAACCTCATCATCTTCATTTCTGCCACTTCCAGTTTTCTGTCTCCAAACCACACAACTGGTCACAATAGTCTCTTGTAAACTTTTCCTTTGGCCTTTGCTGCCACCCTTTCATTGCAAATTGTTATTATTATTACTGTTTATTATAAAATAAAGGTTTATAGAGTGTAAATCAATTCATCCATCCATCCATTAACTTTACCTGTTTCTTCCTTTCAGGGAGTTGCTGGTACCCATGTCCAGCTATCAAAGTGCGAGAGGCGGGGTACACCCAGGTTGCAAGTCCATCACAGGGATTGGAAGTTGTAAAACATTTAATTATTCTCTAACAAGGTTCAGTCCAGAGGACCTGACTTAACCTTGTTAGATTTTTCTACATGTATTAATGAGCATCCATCACAAGATTTCATTATCTAAACTATATTCCACCCCTTGATATATTTAGCAAAGTTTTGTGTACAAATTAAAGTTTACATCATTCTATTGTTTTGTGACCTAAATTTATCTTATGTATGAAAAAGCATTTGTTTATAAAAAGGCCTAATTTAAAAAGGTAATAGCTTCTGTAATTCCTCCTCCTGACCGCGTGGGGGCAGTACAGAAAAGTATTAGCTTCAATTTGTTTCTTACGGAAATATGGCTGCATGCTTGGTCCTCAGGCGACAATTATTCTCTTTAACAAGGATTTTTTGTGGACCTTCACATACGGTATGTTAAATTATACGTGTGTTGTTCCCAAAATGAACTATATTCTATAGATTATTTGGTATAAAATATGAAAGCTTGTGTTCAGATCATGTTAAGGTCATTCGTGGCTGCTGTAGCATCGCTGGTTAGCACTGTGAGTAATGTCTCTAAATGTAAAAATGTATGTTGTTGTCTTTCAGATACCAAGAGCTTTGAGTGTCTGCTCCAGCCATAAAAGTAATTTAACCAGGTAAATCTAAGTTTTTTATCATTTGCTCGGTTTAAAATTTGAAACAAATGTTGGCTTCGAGCCCTTTTCGATTATCGATTGTTTGACCTGTCAGCAAATGCTTTTAAAACTTTTGGGTCGTTTTATAGGTCAAATTAAAACACAGCATAACTTCATGTTATAAGCTAGCGGTAAAATGAAGTAAATATTAAAATGCTAAAACCTCCACACAGCGAATGATCTGAAGAGGAAAGGCTACAGCAGTAATTTGTTTATATTGAGGCATTTTACCATTAATTCATAAGTCAAGGTTAATACATAGGTCAGCTTTCAACTCTGTAAGTATAATTTTCAGCGTAGACAATTATTCAAGTTTCAAATATATGTGAAGCCAAAATAAACAAGCATGTTTATTAGTTTTCTTAATACACATTATGCAGGATTAACCTCCCTCAGACATGCAACTCTGTTCACGTGGCCACATTATCAACAACACCAACGGTGAGTTTTTATACAGCTCTTCTGTTATAAAGTCTCAAATTATTTTTTTATTGTGGCTTGTTTCCATTGTCCTTGTATTATAAATTATTTGGCTCAGAGATTTTTATGCAGAATTTAAATAAGTTTCACCAATCATGGACATGCGCCGTCTCTTTCCTCCAGATCACCGTCACAGAGGAGCCGGACACACTCATCCAGAAAGTGGCCGTCTTGGTCAAGGGTCATGACAGAGCTGTGCTGGACAGCTATGAGTTCTTTGCCACCATGGCAGCCAAAGAGCTGGGTATCAGCATCGGCAAAATGTAGGTCTTAATAGCGAGTAAAGAAAATGTTAACGATGGTTTGCCTTTCTGAATGCGAAAATGTTTATCCTTTGTTTCCTGTCACAGTTCAGAACCACGCTACCAACTAGACCGACTGACAGTGCTGAAGTCCATACACATCTATAAAAAGCACAGGGTGCAGTATGAGATGAGAACATACTACCGCTGTATTGAGGTGAGGAACTTAAAGCAGCACAAGACAAATGTTAAAGCTACTGTGAATATCCACAGTAAAGCTTCAATGTTTTTGTCATTACGTCGTCTTATTTTTTAGCTGTTGCATGTCACCGGCTGTACAGCTCAGGTATATCTTGAATATATCCAGAGGAACCTCCCTGAAGGTGTAGCAATGGAGGTAACAAAGGTAAGGCAGTCAGTGTAAATCTACTCCAGTGAGGCATGGTATTAAAATAGATCTGAATTATTCTCCTCTGTTCGTTTCACTGTCAGACCACCATGGAGAAAGTTCCAGAGCATATCCATGAATCCATGTGGAAGGATCACCCCACTGATGACAAACCCAGCCAATAAATCACAGAACACATTTTCTCTGTTGGGAACATGTAATGCAAATGGTTTTATACCAATATGTTCAACTAAGAATAAATTATACAAACATGTTTTATAAAAATTGTGTCCACGTCTGTAAACATGTGCATCAGATTGCATATGCTCGTCATTACCTTTTCTATCCACCTAGTAAAAACATTCTGAATTTATTGTTCACAATATAACTTTGACATATGAATAAACTGTGATAGTTGTCATGGCTGAATATTTTTATTGATTTGCAATGAACACAAGACCAGCAAATATTTAATGTATTTATTGAATATTTGGCAAACGTTACAAAAAGGAACACATCTAAATACATTTTCTCCAGAGTAATAAAAGCAGCATAAAATGCTAAATTAAACTCAAATATAACTGAAACACCTTTAATCCTGTTTATAAAACATGGCAATTTGAACAGTAAATATTTACCTCAAAATATTTTAAAATATTAACACTTCTTATTTACTGTTTGAACCTCAAGCTAATCTCCACTAGCTTTTTTGATACCATTTAAAAACTTGAAATTGAAAATATTCAACGTAAAAAAAAAAATGCATTTGCAATATTGTACACTATTTTTAAGACTTCATTTAAAAAAATTCTGTCTGAGGCGTGCAAATGCAATAGCTTAATCAGTTCTTTTAAGGAAATGCCTGCATGGTAAATGCCTTAATGTGGTAAAGTGGCACAGGTGACCTAACAATGACCCCATTTTATTAAAGTTTATTGTTAGGTTTGACAGCAAGCCTCTGAGCCACAAAGCACTTCAGCAGGTTCATGATAATAAACCTGCTACATTGGTCCCAAATGTTGCGGGGTGGAGAAGCCCTGTTACGTAATGCTCGTAGTGCTTCTTGAATAATTTGTAATAACTTCGAAGATTTGATGTACCTGTTAATCCCAAAAATATTCATCTTGCAGTTGCACCTCTGGCGTCGTTTCACCTTCCCTCCTGAAAAAGAACTTCCTCGTTTCAGAGAGGGATTATTAAGACACAAGAAGAGGCTCACCTTTTTAAATAAAGCGCGGAGTCTTGGGTGTCGCATCACAGATGAAGGAAGGAAGAGATGAGAAGGAAAGCCAGGGTTCTTGAGGCCAGGGAGGTTAACTGTACTGTGTGCCTCCCCCTTCAGGAGACAACAACAGTCAGTTTGTTAAAATCAACCAAGGCGAGAAACAAGATGGAAGTGAAGAGGCTGGAGTTAGCAAAAATTAAAAGTGCGGAAGAGATGGAAACAAAGTGAAGCTGAGGTAGTGCAGCAACCGTGTTGCTAGATGCTAATCAACCGCTTCTGTCTGCTGCAACACTGGACTGAATGCATACGTAAATGTATTCAGATTAGCAATCTACCATGATGTAAAAAGTATATAATTGTGGCTTCTACATAATGGCTGGTCACCTCTGTTACTGCAACGTCCATATTTGTTTGAATTTCAAGCAAGCTTAAAATAAAATATTTAATACTAATATTCACAAACTGGAAAACTTGAAGACCTCAGTTTTCTTGTTTTGTCTGTTTAACTTCCAATTACACGTCAATACAGTATAAATTCAAGAAAGAATGCATTTCATAATGTCAATTATAAACCGTATTTCTGCTACCAGATACTGCAACTTTATAAGCAACTACATGTCTGGTCAAATGATTAAAATATAGGATAGAGGAAATAATTTCAAACAGGAAAAACTGATAAAAAATATTTTTTTAACCTGTGAACCCGGCCAAGAGGATACAACTTTTAGTCATATCAAAGTTTATCCTTTCAAGATGATGTCCTCCTTTTAGACATGCTACCACTGATTTTTGCTCTAAGATGTGACGTTTGGGCATTTTGATGCTTTGCAAGTGGAGCGGTCTTGAGTCCTCCGGTCAAATTAAAATTTAATATACAGTACTTCTTGGTACATCCTTTTTATTTCCAGTTAATATAAATACAAGTCATACCTGCTGTTTCCAAGCCTTATCAGTCTGCACTAAATTTTAACACTAAACTCCTAGAAGACTTGGTTCTTCACAAAGCAAAAAGACAAACAAGCATTTGCCAAGCTGTTAAAAATAAGTTATTTAATAAAATGCTTAAAGAATTCAAATATTTTAAATTCACAGTGGCAATACAATGTATTTCTGCTTCATATTAAACTGCAAATTGTAATGAAAACTCAGACTTGTTTGTGAATAAACCAAAAAGGAGAAGTAGTTTATTTTAATTTTATTATTTTCTTTCATGACTCATATCTTGATAGTTCTCAAAACACATTCACAAGTTCACAAAAAGTTTTGTTATTTACAGTGAATAAAGAAGTGACACTTCAAAAAACCAAACAGGATGAAGAGTAACTTCTACTCAAGTAAATCAATGAAATTAAATTCTTGTAAAAACTACTACTGTAAATAGTTCCTCAGTATACTATTTATTTGTAATGCCATATTTTTGTTATACAATAAATTGCTGGAAACAAACATCAATTCTTTCCAACAGCAATATTCATAACTTTAAATAGCTGCACATATAAAATATATATTGTATATAAATAATGTATAATCAAATACACAAAAACTTGACAAGCTCAGCCTTATCATTTAACCAGTGTTTAACAATATTTTCAAATACATAACTATCTTCATGTAACCAAATATAAAGTTATAGAGGTCCAAAAGGGTACTAAATCAACAATGGTGCTGTAGGGCATTGCGTACCCAGTATTCTTTTCTCCTCTCCCACCTACAAATATTCTTAAACCCTTTCTTTTATCTTTATTGAGAAATCAAAAACATATCTTAAGGCTAACAGGTGACTGTAACAAAAACAAAATGCACTAAATTACTAATAAACATGAATTATTTTCTCTTCAAGAACAGCGAGTTCAAACAGTCTTTACATTGACAACAGTCTGTATGGGGTACAGAATGTATGAATGCCTTCAGACTGCCATGTTATTGATCTTTTTGCAAGTCTTAAGCTGTAACTACTGTTCCCTCATTCTCAGTAGACAATATCAATAATGTAATGCCAGAGTATTTTATAGATACTCAAGACTTTATTGTACAACAGAGTTCATGGGCGTTTCATTCCCTGCTCCATTTTAGGCCTGTTCTACATTAACAGGTACTCGTTTATAGTGTTTTGGGGGCAGGCTGTGCTTAAACTCGATGGCCATGCAGGGGGCCTGGCCACCTTTGGCCTCTGCCAGGTGGGGGGTGAGGCGGAGGAGAGACCGGTCCATTGTGGTAGCTGTGTAAAAGGATAAAATCACACATTGGATATTTGGGTTTGGCCAATAGGTGGCACACTCTGATAAGAGCAGCCATTTCTGAACTGCAAGAGTGTCTAAGATCCCCCCCACCCCCCACTTCAGTCAAATTTGTATCAGTGACGCAAAAGATGTGCAATATTGTTCCCGTTCCATAATCCATGCACTGCCTAATACTTTGGCTTCAAATTGACCAAGTGATTTAAAAACTGACTGAAATATTGTTGCAATACAAAATATGAATGTGCTATTTCTTATAAATGATGAAAATGTTTTAAATACATTTCAAGAGCAAGTTTAATAAAACAATGGAAAGACCTAAAAAAGGGAAGAATTTTTTTTTGTCTGCCTTTCGATCACAACCTTTAGAGCTTCTACGCCGTATATTAATGAATCGCTAAAGTGTGCAAGCAAGTAGGAGAAACTTATGAAGTGAAGAATTCAAGCATGATTACTGGTAGTATTGAAGAAAAAAAATCTTACCCTCTTGGGCCACGGGGGTGGAAAGGGCGTGAAGGTCCGAGAGGTGGCATGCCACGGCCTCTTGGATGCAGTGGATGCCCCCTAAAACCAGGATGACCTGGAGGAGAAAGTGGAGGGGGTCTATGCCTGTAAACAGAAACAAGCACAACAGTGAAACTTACATTATTGGTAAGAAAAAATTTAATGTACTGATCAAGTCACGTCTTCTTTTTGAAGGGAAATTAATTTTTTTTTTAAAAAGGACAGTAATGATAGTACTGTGTATCCAAGTAGATACAGTTCCTGCCTACTTACCGTAGATTCAACAATTCCTATGTTTAAGAATAAAAATTTAAAAAACACTTAAGAATGCAATGCTTTTAAAACTTGAGCGCCATCTATAAATAAAGAGGATTATCCACCAGGCCTCAGTTTTAAAACAGAAGCCTGGTGGATCTTTTTCATCCAAGGGCAGCAGGAGGATTTTAAATTATTAACATTTTTATTCTATTCATTCTATTCTACAGTATTCTATTCTATTCAATATGAGTTCCTGCGCATGTTTCATTTTAATGATTACAAAATCTACCTCAGCATTTGGGGAAAGGGGCCTCTGAGGTGCATGGGAGGAGGAATAGGAGGTGGTGGGAACGGAGGAGGGGGGCCCATTAGTCCACCCCTACCACGATGGCCTCTCAGGTCTGGATAGGGTCGCATCCTCCCCATTCCTCTGTTAAGGAAAAGAGGATGAAATTTCCTTTATTTCCTTAAAAAAAGAAAGGAGTCAAGCATTTTTGTGATGATTCAGAACAAATTACTCTAAACAAGGTTCAAGGTGACTTTGTCATTCGCATAACATGTGGTACATGAGGTGGCATGAAACGTGTACTCAAGGTCCCAGTTACATCCAAAAATGGTAAATGGACTGTACTTAAATACTACCTTTCTATCTTATCAAGATACTCAAAGTGCTTTACACTACAATCTGTGCCTTCATTTATCCATTCATACAGCACTCTACTAGATTCTATACCAAAATAATCAGTGCTTTATCACATTCATAAACCGATGGGACACACATGGGAGGCAATGAGGGGTTCAGCGTCTTGCCCAGGGACACTTCGGCATGTGACTGCTGGTGGAATCGAACCCCCAACTCTTGAAGGACAACTGCTCTAACCACTCAGCCACAGCCGCCCAAAAATAGCAATAATCTAAAGTGTTTTTTAAAAAAGAAACAGTATACAAGGATCTAAGATATATGCTAAACGATAATAATATAATAAAGTGTATTACAAGTGTTTCCAAGGCAGTACCTCATGGGTCCAAATCCATTTGTAGCTCCATCTTTCCCTCGACCTCTCCCACGTCCTGTTGGGCCAGAGATTTTCATCATGCCTCGTCCACCACGCATGCCACCTCGACCCATGCGTCCTCCACGACCACGGCCTCTGAATCCACGTCCCCTAATAAAAATGTTGAAAAGACACTAGTCACACTTCATTCAAGTTTCACACTGTCTTTAGACTTCAAAACTCATTAATAACTTGTCCTAATGCATGCTCAATAAGCCAGGTAGAAAACTCAACAAGGTTAAGTCAGGTCATCTGGACGGATGCTTTTTTTGTTGAAACATTTCATCTTTTATCCAAGACTTCTGAAACCCTGCAAGAAACAGTCAGTTTCTGGAGTCTGCCCTCTCCCCCGCCGAACCAAACTGGTTGACCCATTATGTGAAGGCACCATTTATAAGACGAGTTTTGGTGTGGTTCCTCGGACTGAAGAAGTCTAGGATGAAAGACAAACTTTTCGAAAAAAAAATAAATAAATGTTTAGAGGACATGACTTTGTTGATTTTTTTTTTACCTGGATTATTGAGCATGAACTATGATATTTAGTTGCCTTCTGTTGCATTTAAAACTAATTTATAGTATGTTATACCAAAGCAGCATTAAATAACCGAAACACATTTTTAAGTCCTGTTGATATATTTATTTATTATTATTTAATTTTTATTGGGGGAGGGTCTTTCTGTTTTTGGTTTATATTCAGTTTAATTCAATTTATTTAAATAGCACAAACTGAGGAGTAAGCACCTAGTCAGGTCATTGGTTAAAAACAGCATCATATAAAGAAATAACACAGTGCCAACTTAAAATTACTAATAACCTCAACAAGCAGTTTTTGGATAATATAAAAGCTCAGGGAGAAAATATCCTGATGCATGCTCAATAATCCAGGTAGAAAAATCTAAAAAAGTTAAATCTGGTCCTCTGGACATTCAAAAAACAAAACAAAGCAAAACAACAACAAAAAAATGTAGAAACATTTCGTCTTTCATCCGAAAGACTTCCTGAGGAAGTCTTTCAGACTTTTTTTTTTGCATCACCAAGCACAGGGAGCATTATTACTTTCTGATCCGAAAAAGGACAAACGTATACTACCGTAACTATCTACAAAGACAATTTTACAAGTGAACATTCTCAAGGCCAAGTTAAAAACATGAAAGTATCCACTTCCTCTGTAAATAAGGGTGTAGTGGACGTAAGTAGAGATGTTTTGCACCTGTTTCCTGAAACACGCCAAAACAAAACCCTCTCGGTCTGTGAGAACATTTCTGATCTGTCTCATAACAAATTCTCGCTGTCTCTAACCTCTTACGTCACAAAACCCACCCCGTCTGGTCGTTTCTGACCAATGAACAAATCCCAAAAAGTGAACCGGGAAAGAGTCTTTAAAATGTCAGTACTTCCTGATCTACAAAGAAGTTCTCGGAGTTGGAGAGTTGTCGGAGTTCTAAGAGTTCTGAGAGCGTAGAGTTCGGTGAGAGTCTACTCAAGTTCTGCTGAGTTCTGATGGAGTGCTGTTGGAGTTCCTGACATGACAACAAAGCTCTCCCGAGTTCCATGGGATTATAACATTTTCCACTGAGGTGAATATGTGTCGAACAGAGCCTCGCCATTACTTCGGACGAGTAACAGCATCCTACTGAGACGCTGAAAGGGTGCGTTAAACGGAATCTCACCTGAGACATCTCCAGGTAAAGGAGCCGATTTCATCACCTAAGTGTACTGTAAGGAAAAGCTGAAGAAAGCCGGAGAGTGTCGATTCTGGTGAACACTTAATTTCCCTCACATACCATCTTAACTCCCTCTAAACTTCTTTCCATCTTTAAACTTTTCTATCAAGTAGAAATTCTTCCAGATATTTAGAAATGTCTGTGTAAAATGCTCACCCACATTCATGTGGGCAAAAGATCATAGTTGTACAGTTTTCATAAATGTCTTTGGTGCAGCAACGGAAAAATCATGGCCGTATGATTTTTCCTGATTGATTGCTTTGTTGTTATTTTCATAATTTGCCAAATTAATGTAAATGTTTGATGTTAAATTTGATTCTGTAAATAAATGACCGCATTCATTTTGATGGGTCAAATATAAATGACGTCTCACTTTGCATTTCCTTAAATTCAATGCACGTTTTATTCAGTCCAGAAAAATGAGGAACCCGCGTTAAATGATGAATATATCCCAGCATCTGTTCATCTACAAGGGTAAATGCAAATAAACCATTGGTCACCACAAAAAGTGATGCATTTTAATTTCTCCCACACTGCCTGAATCCTCAAAACACCCCTCTCCAGATACCTAAATCCTTATCAACAGGACACGATGTGCTTGTAAAAATAGCAGACGTCTCAGAGAAACAAAAGAACAGACCTGGAGTTATATTCAATTGCTGGTTTCTTAGATTCATCCTTAAAAGGCTTTGAAGTTTCTGTGGTCTTCTTTTCAGCATTCGCATCCATCTGAAATGATTCAGGTCGAGAGTTACACATGTAGGCTTACATGGGGCTTTCAAGTCTAGGCCATGATGTAATAATTATAATTTGAGGAGTTATGCATGAATAAATTTTTATATTCCCCGCAGCAATAAAGTAATAAAGCATGAAGAAGACAAATGGTGCCATGTTCTCAGCATTCAGCTCGTAGAACACATTTATATTCAAGAGGATTTCAAGCAGTCTGTTCAATTTGACCTATTTTACACTGATGTTGAAAATGTTACTGTCTATGATGTATAATATACATCATATAAAGCTTATATAATAAATTATTTCATTTTTAAAAATGTTAAGCAGCAGACTGACTTTACAGCTTGTTGTAAAAAAGCAGCTGCCCCGAAGACGTTAAATCTCAGATCAGACCAGATGTGAATATATGCTAAAATAAAGAAATTCATTCAACCTTTATTATCGTTGAGTTACGAGGACTCATTTGCATGCACTCAAATGCATTAGAAACAAAAGCAGATACCCAAGGAGACAAAATATATATTATTTCATAATTGCATACGTGCTTGAGTAAGTAAGCATGCTCGAGTTTTAGGGTGCAGTATAAGAAATTAAAAAAATCAAAGCTAAAGTATGAAGGTATATTTAAGTTTATACTGCATGCTATATTTTGTATTACTGAATTGTGTATATTTAGATTGGCGTCACTGCATTTTTATTCTGATTAAGTGCTAGGTTGTTTATTTTTATTATCCATCCAAATTTATCACTTACAGAAAATAGACGACTGCAAAAGTTTGGTCTCTGCTTATTTTTGGATGAAAGCAACATAACAGAGGATGTCGCTTAACAATAACTTCAACTGCACTGCCTGATGAACACATAAACTTTAACCTTCAGAAACCCATACCTACATTTCCATACTGATATTTAAGTGAAGGCAAAGGCAAGTCGAGCGTCATGGAAACCGGTTTATCCTGGTCCTTCGAGGCAGAGGATATATGAGCTCTTAGTATTTATCCAGCAGAACCAAAGTGGCCTGGGTACAAAAATACCTCATATGTTACCTGTTCCTAGACATGCAGTAAGATTAGGTGAGCTCAATGACATTCGTGATGCGAAGAAACCTTGAAGGGCTCCGACTAATACCTGGAATTACTGTCTTGCATCGTGTAGCTTTGTTAACGACCGAATTAAAAATGTTCAGCTATGAACATTAAATACTGCCCTATGATAAAATCAACATATATCCAATATTAAGGTTTTAATAAGATTAAACGCTAGCCTTAGCTTAATCAATGAACACAGTGTTTCTGTATCTCTTCGGCGAAACAATAAACAGAAATTACTTACTTCAGCAGGTGATACAGTGAATGTAGTTTTATTTTAAGTAACAACTTCCCTAATTGCTAATAAAATTAATATATATAAAAATAAAGTAAAAAAAAAAAAAAATTCCCACAGCTCATACGATTCCTGAGACTTTGAAAATGGCGACTTCCCAGATTGGGATTTTTTTTGTAAAACCTTGTTCCAAGTCACGCCTAGTTTGTAAATACTTGCTTCTGATTGGCTGCTTTTGCCGCACGCTCTCAGTATTTTATTGTTGTGATTGGTTAAACAGACTGACGTCTAACCAATCGTCTTCTCCTTTCACATTGGTTCGATGATTGACAAGGCCACAGATTCAACACAATTTTATTATCACGTTGGAAACAATGATAAATGGAGAAAAAGTCAAAAAAGGAAAATATATTGAAATATTCCGAACGATTGAACTCATTTAACAATATTTAAATCTAATGAAGAAAACTTTGATACAATTCGAGCAAATGCGTAACTTGTTTACACCAACAAAAAAAAACACGTAAAATTTGTAACATTTAGGCACCAAAGAAAAGTATTCAAAACAATTGTGATCAAACATCGACATTTTTACTAAATACGTTAAACAAAGGAGCATGTAACAACTATCATATCTAATTAGTTCCAACAGGGCAGACTCATATACAATAATATGCCCTGAAAATACTCATGTTATAAAACCCAGAACAAAAAGTAAGAGGAAAGCATGAAAGACCGTTTTTTTTCCCCCTAGTCGTCACAAAAACTCAAAGCGTCAGTTTCTGACCCAGAGATGATCCGGTGCGTAAAAGCGGTCCATCCTGCGCCCGTGACGCACGGCTCAGCGTGTCCGCAAGCGTGTTGATGTATTCAATGGTGTATTTGAGCGTTTGGATCTTGGTCAGGGGTTGGCCTCTCTTGCTGTAGACCGGCGGGAGGTAGTCCCGGAGCTGGTGCAAAGCCTCTGCGAGACTCCTCATCCGCATCTTCTCCCTCTCGCTGGCCTTCATGCGCCTTTTCGCGGACATCTTGGACTTGCTTTGCCTCTGCGCCGCTGGAGTCGTGACGCCGCGCCGCGCAAAACCAAAGGAGAAACCGTGGATTTCATGATGCTCGCTGGGGCAGCACATCTCTGGTGAGACGGACTGAAGAGACTCTCGAGTTTCTCCAGATGTGCTCTCCAAGCACTCCCATTCAGAGAGTATTTTGACGGTAACAGCTTCCAGATCCATAGTGGGAATCCAGACCTCTGCGCAGTGGGGCTGGCATAAGGCTTAAATGAGTCAAAGTCATTTTACTAAAGCAGATATATACAGAAGCACAAAGTTTATGAGTTCACAGTTTAGGCAGAGGAAGGAAAAAAAAAAAAAAGTTCAAAGAACTCAAGTGCCAAAAATGCAGCTTCCCCAAAGACATTGTTAGTTCTCACTGTGGTGTGAATAAGGCCAAACAGACGAATAATGTGATAGAAAGAAAAATAATTGGATTCCTGTTGTGGGAAATTACTCGTTAAAGTCTACACGGAGACAATTGTCAGTTTGATGTGATCTGTTTAATGAAGGTTGCTGTTTCAACTCAGACCTTCACACTGCTGTGGTAAGTCAGACCTGCGCGTGTCTTCAGACTGAAATACAAATAAAAACCATGGACCAGAATCATACTGGAGAACAAAACCATTCAACTAAAGACCAACATCAGAGAAGTCATGGTCTAATCTGAAGCAGTCACATGGTACGAAGTCTTCATTTATGGGCAAAGAAAGCGGTTTCAGCTGCAACATATAAGTAAACGAACCTATCAGTGTTTCATGCATGGAAAATAAAGAGCTGGTAATTTTGGACTGGGATGCTATTTAAGTAGAGGATGCAGCTGTCACCGGTGGTCCTGCCAGACCTTTCATGTCTGAAAAGGTGTGAAGCTTCACTCGTGATCAAGGGGGACCAACACCCTGTAAAACCACTGGTTTAGCAGTTGTCCCCCTGTCCCTTCAGCTCTGTGCAGCTTGTCAGAGAGCTGCAGGAGAATAAGCGCACATGTGGAGCTGTTCATGGATATTTAATGCTTAAAATTGTTCATTCACACCGCTCGGATCAAGTTAAACATTTAGCATTGATTCCCTCTCTAGTCTGTAATACAAACCAAGAATCATTGAACCTAACATGTGATTTCATGCTCATAGTATGTGTTGTGAATGACTCTCAGCTACCACATCAAACGTTAGCTCCATATCTGTGAAACTGACCGAGTCATTTCCATGTCTTCAAAGGTGAAATGGCTCTGAAAGCCATCTTGAATCAGGTTGACTCCAAAGATTCCTCAGTTGTAGATACACATTATGTCTAATAATTACTTTATGCAAGTTTAATTAAAATGTGTCCAGTGATTAATTATATTTTTTAGAGCAGACGAAAACATTTTAACTGCTTTGCCTATCTGGCAGTGGGCAATAATTATTTAAAAACAGATCTGATCCAAAGTCCAACGGTCTAAAATATCAACGTTCTGAGCCAAAGAAAAGGAAAAAAGTTTAAGGATTAAGCTTGAAAATCTACGTAAATAATTACTGGTTCATTTAGAAACAAACGGGATATAATACGTCTGCATGACCGAGTATCACTCAAAGAAACATTGATGAAAACATGTTATCACTGCTCACTGAAGAAATTTCAGTCTCAGTCTCTCAGCCAGCGGCAGCGGACTGTCGCTGCAAATCACCGAATCGTCGCTGTCGAACAAAGCGACAGGTGATGTAGGAGTCTGAAGAAACACGTCATCGCACTCTTTAGACGTCTGCACACCCTGCCATTTGCTCTCACTCGATGCGTCACCGTCAATCTTTCCTCTGCCACTCTGAGATACCGCACCCTGACGCTTGTGAGAAGCTTCTGGATTTGGTTCGATACTTTTGAATGGGTCGGAAACGGTTTTCAGAGGGAAGTCTGAAATAAAGCCGCTCTCGAATTTGTTGGGTTTTGTCTGCCTTCGAGGTCCAGAAGGCTGGTTTTCCGTATCGCTGTCCTCGCTGGACGAACGCAGGCTGCTGCACACGCTCTTCTTGGTGGTCGGCGGTACGCTCCTGTTCTTACTGTCACTTTGATCTGGACCAGAGCGGCACCTCGGCAGAGAAGAAGACAGAGCTGTCCTGACAAACTTATATTTCTGCGGAGGCTTTTTGGAGCCATTCGATTCCTCCCTTGTCCTGTTGTGAGTTTGTAATAATAGAATTTGCTGCTCTTTTAAACTGTGAGTTTGACTTTTGTTTGTAATCGGTTCCTTTGTATTCCAAACTGATTCCTTCACTTTTCTTGAATGTTCTCCACCGTGCTTTCCTTGCGAGATGCTGGCAGGAAGAGTTAGCTCATAGATCAGATGTTTTGAAACTACATCGCTGCCTTTCTTTGTCTGATTTGTAGCTGCATTCCTCATGAGCAGCCTGTCTCTGAGAGGACACTCTGTGCAGCAGAGCTCTGCAGCAGGTCTGGAGTCTGCCTGTCTCACATCACTCGATGGTGCTCGTTCTCCGTTTCCACCTTGTGTCTCATCCTTGACTGTGGTCTCAGCTTGTGAGGTAGGGGAGGACGTGAAGGACAGAGTGTCCCAGTCAATGTCGCTCAGATGTAAAGCATCAATAACAGCGGAGACAGAAGGTGAAGCAGCATCGCCTGATTCGGCTCGAGAGAGTGGACGACTCGGAATCGAGCAGACTTCTCGTTTCTCCTGAAGCTGCTTACGACTCTGGGGAGTGTCCAGAACGATCACTTCTGTTTTCTCAGAGTACGAAGTGGAAGGGGGCAAAGTTTGTGTCTGAGTGGAAGAGCTCTGAAGAGTCAGTTGATCCAAGAGATCCAAAACACCATCAGAGGGATCAGACGGTGTCTCCTTTTTACTTTTTGGTTTCTTTTCTGTGAAAAAAAAAAAAAACGAGACAGAATGTCAGAAAACTTATAAATAACATCGCATTTACTTTGTATGTTTTTTTAATCTAGATGATGTTATTTTGCAATTTTTTTCCTAGTAAAGTTGTAAAAATTAAACTGTAAATAAAAAACAAAATGCAGTGATTAAAAAAAACTATTTTTACTGCACAATAAATAAATAAAAAACATACATTATCATAACTGGTGTTAAAATATGTTATCCTATTCCTTTTGTAAACTATCCACATTAATCCTCAAAAAGTTGCAACGTGGGGCAAGAAAAAACGGAAATGCCAGTGGATTTGTGGACGTGATGCAGGTAATGTCCAAAATGTGAAAACCAGATAAAGGCTGAATATTTACAGGCATTAGAGCAACGTGTGCTCAGATGTTTTAGTCTTAGAAAATGTTTAAATGTAAGTGTAACAACGTCAAACAATACTCTACATATTCCAGGTTTGTAGAAAAGTGTTCAGATTCTATTATTTTCTCTCCATTTTTCATTAGTTTGAAGTTTCTTATGAAGGTCTATTACTTATAATGAAACTGAAAATCTGCTTGATTCCTAAACACTCATGAAGAGTCTTGTTGATGTGCCACAGGTGATGCATGTCAAACTGCTGCAAAACACACCATTAATGAAAAAAAAAAAACATTCTACCTCTGTTGGGTTGTGGAGACATAATTTACAGACATGCTTGTAAGAGTGTCCTTCATAAGCTGGACACAATTTATCACTCTGCTATTGGCTTTGTTACAAATGCTCCTTACAGAACACATCATAGTCTCTACTCTTCTGTCAAATGTCCTTCTCTACATACTAATCATGGAATTCATTGGTTTACCCTCATTTATAAGATGATGCTGAGTTATTCACCTCCATACTGTATTTAACTCATCTACTGCAACTAGCACTGGTCACGAAGTACAACACCCGATCCTCTCAGTATTTGTGGTAAACAGCTTTAAAGACCAAGTCTGGCTTTGGCTCTGCTGCTCCATCTGACTGGAATCTGCTTCAAAAAAACTCTGTTTTTAGTTTTAAAAATCATTTACAAGCCATGTGTAAAGATACTTGCAAACATGCTTAGTAATGTCATTTAGCTTTGACAATGAACTGTTGCTAATGTAATTTGTGATTTCCTTGTTTGTTACAGACTACTATCGTTTTGCCTAAGTGTTTTGTTGCCCTTCCCTTGACCCTACAAGGACCCGTTGGTGCTGCCAGGCCAGCATTGTAAATAAGAATTTATTCTTAGTGTTTATGCCTGGTTAAATAACGGTGAAATACCGTATTTTTCAGACTATAAAGGTGCACTTAAAATCCTTTAATTTTCTCAAAAATCGACAGTGAGCCTTATAATCTGTTGCGCCTGGTTGTGCTCACTGACCTCAAACTAATTTTATGTGGTACATGGCGCTCAGAAGTCTGTCAAAATTAACTTGTTTTGCTTAATGAGCCTTATAGTCCGAAAAATACAGTAAAAAAATAATAAAAAATACTCAAAATGAGAATGTTTAAAAAAAAAAAAAATACTATAAAAATGTCTCATTTTCAGCCCCATAATATTCTTGTTCCATTGTCTGTAAAATCTCTTGTAAGATTAGCAAATCCCTACACTGTGTTGTCGTTTACCATTTATTCTGCGCAACAACTTTTTCAAAAATGGAGGTCAGACATATGAAGAGGCACTGATATGAAGAAGCAGACTGAAGTGACAGAAGACCCCGAGACTGACGCCTCTCGGCTGTATTAAAGCCTGCCGTGTTAACTGCTAAGCTCAGCATTTTCAGGTGTCAGGGCTGCTGTAACAGGCAGCTTTAAAAGACAAGTAAAACCTCCAAGTAGCTTTGATCAGTACCTCGCTGTCAGCACAACGTGGGACTTGGGAAGTTTGTTAAATTTACAGGTGAGCTTTAATAGAAAATGTACCCAAACTATCAAACATCAAATACTCCACCTAAATCTGAATGTTTAAGCATTTAAGGTCAATGAATATTAGCATCTTACTCTTGGTTTTGTTCTCTTCAGCCAGAGCTTTAATTCTGAGGTAGCTCTCCACCACTTCTGGGAAGGCGATGCGAACGAGCGACTCTTCCTCCACAGTTCTCACCTCATGTTGATCCGCTGCAGGTCGGTCCTCGGGAAACACGTAATGTTCTGCATAAAAAGAAAGACCAGAATTGCGTTCAATTTTGTGTAAATAAATCAATCTACTGCTTACCTCTTGCTCCGTTAACTCCATTTTACACACAGATGTTATTTTAAATGACAGTATCAGGCAAATAATGAAACTAAAATCCTTAAATACTTAATAGGACAATTAGCTTTATTCCCATGTTTGTAATAAATAATGGCATTCCTCCTTTAAGAAAATGTCTGAATGATTATTGAAAAATCAAAATAGTTGTCCGAATCTCTTTAATGTGACTAAAATCAGAGCATTTTGTGGTTATTTTTCAAATTCGATGATATGTGTTGATCACTGAGTGATTATGGTTTGGTAATGTTGGCTTTACAGACTCGTGTATTCTAAAAGTTTATTTTACATCCAATTTAGCAGCATTTGCCCGTTTGATCACACAGAAAATAAATGATCAAGTGTAAATAAAGCAGGAAACAAGTTTAATGTCACAAATTAAATTTGCCGAGACACAATATGTCCTAAATGAAACAATAGATTTGTAATTAAAAATAAATGTGTTATTTTCCTTAAAACATTCATTTATTTGTAGGACTTGGATCTCTTCTTACTTGATGCACCACAGACTGCGAAAAACCATGATTTAAGTTAGCAAACAGATATTTTCTCAGGCCGGTGATGTCATCAAACAGGCTTGTTAGTGAGGCAGACTTTGATATGACAGATTTCTCAGTTTAGAGGAAGCTGGTTTAGCACCTGGTGGGTGACGTGACTGACCTGCCACCTTTGAACCCTGCTTCACAGCCGGTCACTAACAGACAACCCGGCAACAAACCAAACTGCCTCTTACTGACTGCAGCAGTCGCGTCACTCATCACAGATGCTGCTTCCCCCCCACCCCTGATCTAATAATGGAAGCCTGCGTTAAAAAACCTGCACGTAAAGAGGTGATTTGGTGATTTTTAACTGACCTGGGGTGCTCCAGATGATTTCAAAGCAAGCAACAGCATTCCTCACCCTGGGTTTAAATATTCTTTTGTAAAAAAAAAAAAAAAAAAAAAAATAATTGCATGTGATGCACAGATTGAAACAGCTTTTCAACATCATACAGAAAAACAATCTTTTGATTAAAAATAAAAATAAATCATAGGACTACCGGATGGGCTTGATTTGAGAGGGAACTTCTCTTTTGTGTTTTCTGTTCATCAGCTCAGTGTAGGTCATCAAGACTAAAACCTTCTCACTGGTGTAGTGTTTTGGCCACTCCATCTTGTCAAAGGCAAATTTCTGATCAAATAAAACAAAAACGTGCACATGCAGCTTATTACATCAAGAAACGTTAGCAATAAATAGAATTCACTGATTACAATTCAATGATTTATAAATACCTTACCTGCATTAAGAACATGTTCGGCTGTCGTCTCTTGAAATGTGACACAGGTTTATCCTTGGGAACCAGAAACTCACTGATGATCTGCAAGATGAAGGTCAAGTATTTAAACAACTGATTATAAGTGTTTAAAAAAAAAACACACACACACACAGGTGAATATGTCTGTACCTCTGTGAAAGGGAACTGTTGACTTGCCAGTGTTTTTCTGAAAAATAGATTAATCACTGTGAATACACTTTGATCACACCAATGTCAGGCTCAAATAAAAAATGCAAATTAAGAGCCAATGTTTAAAATCTTGTTTGTTTTTGTGATTTCACATATTTTCAACATAAATTTCCACCAGTTCCAGGCAAAATAAAAACAACTGAGGCTGCTAAAGACTTTTGATGATAGGGAAAAAAAGTTCAGTTTAGCTAGTATTACAGTTTTGCAATGTTTTCTAATGACATTTCCCCCTCTTTTTTAAAAAGAACCACTTAGCATTTATTTTATTACCCAGAATAATGGACTTACAGCTTTATATCTTTTTAACTTCTCCTCAATACGCTGACTTTATGCTCCAATTATCTTCATAATTGTGTAAATGTTTATGAAGCATTCACACTATTGTGATTCATTTTTCTTCCATACGGTTTTCGGCGCAATTCTCGTCTCGCATTTTTTAAGCTACCGGTATTTCAACAAATCATATATCAAAACATTCAGCTCGTTCAAGACAATCTTACTATGACTTTTGGTACTGGTGCAATTTTAGCTTTTGTAAATACAGTATTTAGCCTTTTCTGCCACTTTTTTTCCCCTCATAGAAAATGAACTGAGCTCATTTTACATCCTTCAAATCTTTACATCTGTTTACAACCTTTTACTGCTCCTTTCATATTTTGTTCTGGTTCAGCTTCCTTGTGCAAATTTCAATTTTTTTTAGCTACTTTCAGCTAATTTAAGCAGTTCTGTGATCCTTTTAGATTATTTCTGCCAGCTACATTTTTGAGCTTCAAACTTCTTTCTGCTAATTTCAACCTGTTATGCTCCTTTCAACTTATTTATGCAAGTTTCAGCTATTTCTGCTATTTCATTTAGTAGGGGGACGTGGATGTTGAAATTTTACATTTTTCAGCTAATTCTACATTTTTTTTAACTCAAACTTTTTTCAGCCTAATTCATCAAAAATGTGCTCTCTCCACTCCCTTCTGGTAATTTAAGTTTCTGCTTTTTTAGCTACTTTTCAGCTGTTTTTATTTATTTATATTTTGCTAATTTCTGCTTTTTTCAGATAATTTCCGCTTCTTTGCCCAATTAGGCTGAAAGAAGCAGAAATGAGCACAAACATGTTCTTTCTGACTTCTTTTGGTAATTTAAGCTTGTTCTACATGTTCAGCATTTTTTTAGCTAATTTCAGCTGTTTGCTGATAAATTTTTTTGGTGCTAATGCCTGCTACTTTCAGCCTGTCAGGCAGTAATTAAATTATTTCTGCTAATTTCAGCTTGTTAGGCTCCTTTCAGTATATTTCTGCTAGTTTCAGTTATTTCAGCTACTAATTTGATGATTGATGCCAATTATAACTTTTTAAGATAATTTCAGATTTTTTTTTCTTGCTCATGTCAGTTCATTCTGCTTCCTTCTGGTTGTATAATCTTCTTTTTGCCTTTTCTATTTATTTGCTAATTTCAGCATTTTTTTAAATCTAATTTCCTAATCTTTGTGCTAAATTCTGAATCTATTTCAGCAAGTATGTGTTCTTTCTGCTTTCTTCTGATAATTTAGACTTGTTCATCCATTTCAGCTACATTTAAGCATGTTGTTTTAGCTAATTTTAGCTGTTACTCAAAGATTTTCTGAAATAAGCATCCACGCTGCATCTTCACAGGAAATGCAATTTGTCTAGTCCACTTTTGTGTTTAATCACATTGATTACGATTGAATTTGCCTTTTAAATGAGGATTCAGAGTCAGGGATACCTTTTGATGTTTGCCTCCAGAGACGAGGCCTGGCGGGTTCGTTCGTAGCAGTGCCAGTCGCAGGGACACGGATAATCAAAGTCCTGCGGTTGACAGAACCGTCGGCTGTCGCAGAGCTCACAGCCGCATCGCTCGTGTGCCTTGGCTGAGCCTAACAACCAAAGAGGAATCAGTAAGGTGTTTGTTTTGAAATATCTCACACACGTGTGTTCAGTTTTTCCAACATGGCAGATTTAACAGCTTTTAAGCAGCAACGTGTGAGACGTGTCCCTTCGTCTTCTCCTCTGAATGTATTCATGATTTCAGTTCAAAGCAGGTCACTCACCAGGATGTCGACATATGCTGCAGTGAGAAACTTTTTTTACAACTACATCAAGCTCATCTGAATTCACCGTCTTCCACTGGTTAAACCTTTAACAGTTGGAGAGAGATTTCATTAATACAATACTCTAAACTCAGCCCAGATGGGATTTTATGTTGTCATTTAAAGTGAAAGTAAATCACCTGCGGAGTGTTTAGAGAGAAATGTTTCCTACCTCGTCAGAAGCGATTGCCCTTTCAGTGTCTCTATAAGCCGTAATGCTTGTTCTTTGCCAATACCTGGTACACCCTAAAACAAACAAGAAAATGTGGAGTTAAACTGTAAAATGTGGCAAGTTTTTCTATAAATGCATCTCGCCTACCTTAGGAATGTAATCACAGCCAAGCAGAATGGCTAGACCAACAAGATTCTCTCTGGACAGATGTAACTCTGTGTGCACTCGAGAAGTCTGGTAACAATCCACCTGAGGGTCCTGGATGGAAAAACAAAAATACACAGGTGAGTTCGCTTTGGATCATGAATAAGGGTTAAAATTACAGTTTTTGGATTTGATGGTTTTTACATATGTGGATTATTTTAGACGACATTTTCAAAATGGAGTCAAAAACATAAGGACACTTCTTGTAGTTTCAGAGAACTTTTCTGAAAAAAAAAAAAAAGTATTAATCTAAATTTCTATTGTTGTAGTCAGTGAATCATTTGTATTTTTAAAATACTACCCAAACCCTAAATACTGTTTATCAACATTCTGATTTTGTCTATTCGAGGTTTACTGAAGGAGGTTTTACACCAATTTACCAATTAGCACAAACAAATTGAAACTAAACTTTGTCATAAAAATTTAAATTGTTGCAATTTATAAAATGATTGGGTCCTGTAAAAACTGTTTAATCACATATAAATGAAAACATTGTGCTTTAAAACACTTTTATAAGCTGGTCTTTTTTAAGTAGCCCACCATATTTGCATTCTATTCTGAAAGAACCAATCCACAAACACATTAAATACTTTACATAATTATGTACAGAAAAACCTTATTATTAATATTAACTATTATTATTATGTTGTGGCATCTCTGAGCAAGACACCTAATCCCTAATTGCTCCCCGGACACTTACATAGCTGTCCACTGCTCCACCTGGGTGTATCCCAGGTGTGATGGGAACTAATTTTGTCATTGTATGGGAACATACAATGATGACAACACATAGCACTTATTCAAAACATCTAGCATAATCAATAAGTTTGTACGCAAGGAGACTTGTGTGGTAAATCAACTTAAATATGTAATACAGAGTCTAAGTAGATGGTGCTTATTTACCTAGTTAGATAAATATAATTAATTAAAATGGACATCCACATTACCCATTATACTGATGCACAAACTGCTCCAGTCTTAAAATGTCTCACACAGGTTGGTTAAAAGAGGTCAACTAACGTGACACATTCTAAAAATCCGCCATAACATGTTGCCAACATTTACCTCAATGTTCTGTAGAAGCTTTTGTCTGGAAGCTTGGATCAAAGTGGTACAGAAAGAAAAACTACAAACGAAGGAAATTTGTGGGGCAATGGACTGTGAGGACAGCAGCAACAATTACTGGAACTCCCCTGTCCTCTGAATGGGACTTGTGTGCCTCAAGAACCAGGAAACTACTTCTGACCTCTTACGCCCTAGAGACGCTGTGGTTTTACTCTCCACCCATCTGGCAGGAGACAGAAGTCTGCAGACCAGAACTAGTCACAATAGGAAAAGATTTTCCCAAAAGCCTTTAAAACAACGAACTAGTGTTTGTTTTTACTTCTTACATCTTACTTCATGTAGCATCAAACTATCTAAATGAGTCATACTGCACGTTATTGCCAACTTTTGGACTGTGAAATATCTGTAAATATGCCTTGATCTGTAAGTATTGTATTGTCTTATACTACCTGAGAGACAACACCAGACAGAAATAAATTCCTGGTCAATTAATACGACTCTGATTATTTAATCAGTTCTGGTCATTTGGGGCTCACATCTCTTTGGAAAGTGAAATGAACTCCTTCAAACATACTTTGCTGTTCATATTGAAGTTCCTGTAGACTGTCCGGGCTCCATATAAAAAGGCATCCCCATCATTGGTGATGCAGCCGTCCACTAGATCCACTGAGTCCAGGTAAGCACACATGGCCTCTGCCTCCCCGGCAGCTGTCACCCAGGGCACACCCAGGTAGTCCAACATCTCTGCACACTGAAAAGAGGAGAGAAAGGAGAAGATAGGGGTGAGGAAGTTAATGACTAGAACTTTTCGTCATAGGAGCAAGAGATCAACCAACCTCTTTGAGAACAGCGTTAAAGCGCCCCCTGTTGGTGCTTCTGCAAGAACTTTTTTTAAACCCTCTGTATCTCGTTTCTGTCCTCTTGCTCATTGTTTCCGATTTAAGCTTGGGAGCTTCTCCTTCCATGACAAAAACAAGCTTTACCCCCATCAGAGTGAGGGACGACACTCGGAAAAATAAATTCCTGCAGACAAAAGACATGGATTGGGTACTACTATCTCAATCGGAGCTTACAGTAAGATGAATGCATTAAGAATACTGTAATGTTAGCATTACCTCAGATGGGGCTTCGTGACTCTGCCCATCATCCCCTGAACATGCAGAGCTTCGCACACCCATAAACTCAGGTCTACCGCCAAAGTCTTTCCGCCCAAACTTAACAACGGAACCGACTCACGAACGGGCTCGACGATAGACCACAAATCGTGAACGCCCATGATTAGAAGTGATTAGATACAATAAATAAATAAACAAACCGAAAAAGCAGGGAGAACACCGCGAAACAAAGTTCGACGAAAGGAGGTTTTTCAAACAATGGCGCCGTTAAGGGCTGCGTTCCAAATTTGTCAAGAGCTTCACTTCAACGCTCCTTGCTGCCGATTAAAATGCGCCTGCGTTAAAGATAAATACATAAAATTTCATGTAGACAACAAATAATTCTTGGTTGTTAAGCTTTTTGCACACACTTGGTCGGTTAATATAATTTCAAAAGAGCAAAGTCGCAAAAGAAGCCAAGCCATGACAAAACTGATCGAAGCCCAACGGTTCATGAACCTACGTCATATTCAAGCGCCTGTCACAAATTCGTTGCTATGGATACGAGCTGTTTGTGTACATAGAGAAGGATTCTTCTCAACCATGGGCTCAAAAACGCAACTCGAAGTTGTTGGCTTCATTAAAGACCCAAATTTTCATGTTTCTAAATGTATTGCCGAGGTAAAAATGCACTATTTCATCACATGATTTATTTTAATTTTCCCCTCACTGCAGCTGTCTTTGCAGGGACTGCAACAAAACTTTCCCAAGGAATTTATGGAACCAGAAATTCTGCCCCTTTTTGAACTTGACTGGCAAACATATCTGTGCAACAAGAAAAGGGTAGGTTATTGTGCTTTTTTCTTTTTATTACTGAATCATTAACACTTGGGTTACTGTGTCAAAACATTTTACATGCTGGTGTTATAAAATTTTAGTTATTTAAAATAAAAAAGCACTTTAAAAAAGCACTTGTTCTAGAATTGAAAAAAGCACTTGTTCTAGAATTGCGCCGCTCAAGGTGGCTGCATGTTGGAGCAGCTCTGTCACATTCATTCTGAGATTTTGCTTTTGGAAATGTTAATTCCTCTTTTTCTGGATGTAAATCACATTTTTTTTTGATGATTGTTTCCTCTGGTATCAGATGCTGTGCAGCTGGAAGGATTTTTACTGAAACTTTTGTAGTTTTGGACATTTGTTATGATGCGTAACCATGGCAACGAGGCAGTTTTCGACAACAGCAGCTGATTAACATCTCAAAAGCTCAAATAATATCTCAACTACAGCCCCAAATCCCAAATGAGTTGAAAAGGATGTTCTGTGGACGCATTCTCATCTACCTGCCAGCTGTGCTCGAGTGCCTGACCACTGAGATCCTGGAACTAGCAGGAAGCACGACTCATTACAGCGGAAGAACAGGATCGTCCCTCAGCACCTACAGTTGGCTGTCTGCAGCAATGAGGAGCTTGGCAGACTGCTGGGAGGAGTGGCCATCACGCTGGGAGGAGTTCTGCTCGGCATTCGGGCAATCATACATCCCGGGGGAACTGAGAGGTCAGTTGAGTCTGGGTGGATGGATCGGACGGCATCTGCTGCCAGTTTCTTAGGAGCCACTGTGGGATGGACCTTTACAAGATATCCTTCCAGTCTACAGCCATCAGTATCTGTAACATCTCTTAATGAAATGAGGATAATGAGTTACAACAACAAATAATTTCCCTCTGGAATTAATAAAGTATTTTTGAATTGAATTGAATTAAACTGCTTTGATTTGATCACATATTAGTTACTGGTTGATTTGTTTTGTTCTGCAAAGCCCAATGTCTCAAACCTATTAGGATAAACAGTGCAAAAAATGTTTTGTAAATTCATACAGCTCCACATTTTACATTTCAGATTGTATCCTCTGAGAAGAAAACAATGTTGCTGTTATAAATAAAAATGTGAGCTGTTGCACGTCACGCCTACACAGCAAGAAATACTGCGGCGGTTTGACGTTCGGGTTTTTCTAAAATGCTGAATCACAGCACGATCATCGTCTCAAACTTGTGATTTCAGGAGCTGCGTGGTGAAGTGTGGCAGTACTCCAGCAGCCTGATGTGCTTTCTGAACGGCCGTCTCCTTGGGAATGAAAAGCATCTTGCCAGCTGGGCTGAGAATCAGTGGCGTTTCACTCTCACTCACCCGCAGACTTTTTACACAGCTCTCACTGAGGACTATTACACCAAACACCTCAAGAAAACAGGGGCAAGTCAGCACATCAATGATAAAATTGATCTAGTTTTACTTTCATTAACTGTAAACTGGGTATTCAACATGAACACAACTCCACAGAAACTGGCATGTTCTCACTCTTGAAAATAATACTGTTATATTTTTCATTTTAGCACCAGTTTGTCTTCATGGACATAGATGTAGCTGGAGAAGCAGTGGGGCGGTTATGGTTTGAGGTGAAGGAATCTGTATACCGATATTCTACCTTGATGTTTCTATGCTTTTACTTTTCAGAGCATCCTTTAAAATCTAACCTGATTCAAAATTAAATATAAATTATCACTGCATAGTTGAATGTGATTCCGTTGTTCCCCTCCTCAGCTGTTCTCAGATGTGTGTCCGAAGACTTCAAAGAACTTTGAGGCTTTGTGCACAGGAGACGAAGGACTGTCAGAGAGCGGACTGCCGCTCCACTACAAAGGATCTCTGTTTCACCGAATTGTGCCAAATGGTTGGGTGCAAGGTGGAGGTAATTTCGGTCATCTCTTATCATTCAAAATCCATTAAAAATCTATAACAGAAATACATTTTGACAGATTACTTTCTTCAGTCATATAAATGCCTTTTAAAGCAATAATTTACTTGACAAATTTGAGGGCATAGTTGTATTTCAATAAATGAACATCCATTTTATTCTGTATTTCATAAACAGTAAACAAGAGATTATGTTTCACAGTAATTTAGAGCTTTAAAGTATTTAAAACCTCTTTGTTCAGATGCATTAGTGTCTCTTTACTTTGCAGACATTTCTCCAGGGAGTAAAGGGAACGGTGGCGAGTCTATCTATGGACCAACTTTTGAAGGTGCAGTCACAGTTTGACAAAGACATACCTGTAGGTGTGTGTTATCTAATTCACTCACTCTTTATTCACCTTTCAGATGAAAACTTTGCTGTGTCTCATTCTAAGCGGGGAATGTTAGGAATGGCCAATAAAGGCCCCCACAGCAATGGATCCCAATTCTACATCACCTTGCAGCCAACTCCATGGATGGATAAAAAACATGTTGCCTTTGGGTTTGTGTCATTAACTGCATTTGAAAAACACTTTGTTTTATTTAACTTTTTGTAACATTACCTCACATTTAAACTATTAAAACTTTTTTTTTCTGTTTCTAGTCAGGTGATTGAAGGTGTCGACATCCTGAGGAAATTAGATGAAGCCCCAACTTGCAATGAAAGACCAAAGTATGAATGTAAAGTGACGGCTTGTGGAGTGTTAAAACTGTAGTTTCTTTTTATTTTATTTGACTGTTTTGATGATGTAAATAAACTGAAGATACATAAGCAAGCTGATTAACATGCTTTTTTTTTGTTTCCTAGAAAATGTTTCCATTAATTGTTAAACTGTCAGTTGTAATTTACAGAACGTTGCGTATGACCCAAAAGAGGCCACATAAGAATTTGACAGTAAGCAGTTCATCTTTTTTTTCTAGAATTATTGTCAGTTTTTGTGTATAGAAACAGTTTTGGTTCATTTATATTCTATATATTATAAAACTACACTTTATGTTGCAATTTAAAACTGTTTTTATTTGTTTTATTTTTTTGTGATGCAATAAAAAATCCTTTAAACAAGATAATTACATTTTTCTTTCAAAATATGCAAACTTGTTTGAATCTTTCTCATACTTTTTGTGGAAAAAATTAATTAAACAATCAACTTAGAGATACAGTGCCTTGCGGAAGTATTCGGCCCCCTTGAACTTTTCAACCTTTTGCCACATTTCAGGCTTCAAACATAAAGATATAAAATTTTAATTTTTTGTGAAGAATCAACAACAAGTGGGACACAATCGTGAAGTGGAATGAAATTTATTGGATGTGTCAAACTTTTTGAACAAATAAAAAACTGAAAAGTGGGGTGTGCAATATTATTTGGCCCCCTTGCGTTAATACTTTGTAGCGCCGCCTTTTGCTGCAGTTCCAGCTGCAAGTCTCTTGGGGTTTGTCTCTATCAGTTTTGCACATGGAGACTGAAATTTTTGCCCATTCTTCCTGCAAAACAGCTCGAGCTCAGTGAGGTTGGATGGAGAGCGTTTGTGAACAGCAGTCTTCAGCTCTTTCCACAGATTCTCGATTGGATTCAGGTCTGGACTTTGACTTGGCCATTCCAACACCTGGATACGTTTATTTGTGAACCATTCCATTGTAGATTTGGCTTTATGTTTTGGATCATTGTCTTGTTGGAAGATAAATCTCCGTCCCAGTCTCAGGTCTCTTGCAGACTCAAACAGGTTTTCTTCCAGAATGGTCCTGTATTTGGCCCCATCCATCTTCCCATCAATTCTGACCATCTTACCTGTCCCTGCTGATGAAAAGCAAGCCCAAACCATGATGCTGCCACCACCATGTTTGACAGTGGGGATGGTGTGTTCAGGGTGATGAGCTGTGTTGCTTTTACGCCAAACATATCATTTTGCATTGTGGCCAAACAGTTGGATTTTGGTTTCACGTGACCAGAGCACCTTCTTCCACATGTTTGGTGTGTCTCCAGGTGCTTGTGGCAAACTTTAAACAACACTTTTTATGGATATCTTTGAGAAATAGCTTTCTTCTTGCCACTCTTCCATAAAGGCCAGATTTGTGCAGTGTACGACTGATTGTTGTTCTATGGACAGACTCTCCCACCTCAACTGTAGATCTCTGCAGTTCATCCAGAGTGATCATGGGCCTCTTGGCTGCATCTCTGATCAGTCTTCTCCTTGTTCCAGATGAAAGTTTAGAAGGACGGCCGGGTCTTGGTAGATTTGCAGTGGTCTGGTACTCCTTACATTTCATTATGATTGCTTGCACAGTGTTCCTTGGGATGTTTAAAGCTTGGGAAATCTTTTTGTATCCAAATCCGGCTTTAAACTTCTCCACAACAGTATCTCGGACCTGCCTGGTGTGTTCCTTGGTCTTCATGATGCTCTCTGCACTTTGAACAGAACCCTGAGACTATCACAGAGCAGGTGCATTTATATGGAGGCTTGATTACACACAGGTGGATTCTATTTATCATCATCAGTCATTTGGGACAACATTGGATCATTCATAGATCCTCACTGAACTTCTGGAGTGAGTTTGCTGCACTGAAAGTAAAGGGGCCCAATAATATTGCACGCCCCACTTTTCAGTTTTTTATTTGTTCAAAAAGTTTGACACATCCAATAAATTTCATTCAACTTCATGATTGTGTCCCACTTGTTGTTGATTCTTCACAAAAAAATAAATTTTTATATCTTTATGTTTGAAGCCTGAAATGTGGCAAAAGGTTGAAAAGTTCAAGGGGGCCAAATACTTTCGCAAGGCACCGTAAAACACTAAGCTGCAGCATAAATTTGTTTGCAACTTAATTATGACTTTTTTTCCCCCCAAATTCAACAACCTTAATTTAAAGGAAAACATTTTTTTGTTGAGTATTTTTTATTTTATTTGCCATGTTGTAAGAAATTAGCTGCATGCTTCTACAATGCTATATTTTAATGCCTTAAGTTTACAACCTCCAACAGATGAGCCATACAGTATTTTCTTTATGTACAACATAATTTATATAGATGTGTCAGAAAGTTGCATAAACACATCTGAGAACAGGCTAACAAACTACTAGCTCAACAATAAAACAAATGATTATATCTTAAACAAATTTTTAGTGAAAACTTTATTCATATTTATCTTATTTTGATACTAAAATAATCGAAAGCTACATGCACTTAGTGCACCGTTGTAAAATTCATTGTTATCATTATTTTTGGTGGTTAAGATTTTGTAGTTCCACAAACCTACTTGGAAAGATTTTGAAAAGGGCTCTTTTGTACATATAATAAGCAGATTACTGGTTTTAAAAGGATATTTTGAAAATCTATTAGGAATTTTGACGTAATGTTTTTATGCTATTAGTGCTTAGTGTATTATTTAGTTGATGTTTTTCTTAGTTCATATCTTAGATCTTATTACTGTTTGTCTTTTACATTTTATTGTTGGATGTAACTGGGAGCCTGCGTACATAATCTTGTTCTACCACATGTACCACATAAGATGCAAATGACAAATAAATCTCTCTGAATCTCTGAATTTATTATGATGCTATTATAGTAATATTGATCATAAAGACAGTGACATATAATTTTTCCTGGTAGGAATGTTATTTTAGATGTCTTTGTTTTTAATGCGAGTAGCAAAAATGTTGTATAACTCACAATACTTGACATCAAACAAAATAAGATGGAGTAATGTTTCATTATATGCTACAACGTATTGTCAGATGGAGTAATGTTTCATTATATGCTACAACGTATTGCCACACATAGCGTGTGTTGCTTCTGACGTGGAGAGCGCTCGCGCACGCTTGATGTTTTTTTTATTTTTTTGCACCCCTCCCTTAACATGCGCCACATGACCTGCGGAGTAGGAAGTGTCGAGCTAGCGGACAGCGACCACATCAGCAGACAGTAAACGCACGACGCGAAATTATCGAAGTCCTTTTCTCGAAGTTTCTCCGCGGAAACGTTCGTCTTTCTCTCGGTGTTCTCTCTCCGCGAAGGCTGAGCTGTAAGTCGGCCGCAGTCATGTACCCGAAGGCGGTGTTTATCGCGGTGGTTCTGGCGCTGATTGGCGCGGCAGTCGCGTCAGACTCAGGTAAGTTTCTGCGACCTCTCGCCGCTCAGCTAGCGGCTAATTGCGTTCCGGTTCCTGGCGGGGTAGACGGACTTTTATCGGCCTGTGTGGCCTCATATGACGTCCGCCCTCTCTTCTTTTAGTTTGATAGTGTCCCATATTTTATGAAATTTAGATAAAATAATTCATCTTGGGGGAACTTTATTGATATTTTTAACCAAAAAGGGACTCTAGCTACCTGCTAACCTGCTAACATCTGTTATATAATTGTGCAACGTTGCCATGAATTGATATAAAGTGAGCACATTATGACAATAAATTTATGTTAATGTGGTTTGAATTACCGGAATAGCTGATTATGTAATAGCATTTCCACTAAATTGTAATTATTTCATGTAATATGTCCTGTTTAGGTTTTAATTCAATTTAAATGTATTTTAATAAATCCTAGAGAGAACAAATGTTTGGTTAGAGCACTCCATAAACAGAATAAAAATTAATGAAAATATAAAAGAAATTAAAACACAGCCAGGATTCAACACTGTAATTCAGGAATAATGGAAACTAAAGAAAATGAGTAAGTTAGTGCTAAATTTATATGTTTTTTTTTAGACATTTTCTAAAATTGTAAAGCTTTGGGTTATTTCATTCATGTATGTTTGAGATGGAAGGTATAGATTTAACTTTAGGTTCTTGGCTGTAATGTTTTCCCCTCTTAATGTGGAAGTCCCTTTTTTATTTACAATAACTGAATCTGATTTATTCTTTTCAGATGGTTGTTCTTCTCTTACCTCCTGTGAGGCGTGTGAAAATGCAACTCTGTGTGACTGGGTCATCTGCTTGACACCAGGTGAGTACCTCTTGAATATGAAGTCAGCAATGTAAGCAGACTTTGAGTGACTTTAATTTTTCGAGACAGCAAAGGTTATTGAACACAAGATTCCTGGGAGCGACGGAAGACGTTATCTTGATCGCTGTAAAGAAGCATTGAACCACATTGAAATCTTGAGGCATCACTGCCCAGTTTTATCGATCTGAACAGGCACATGAAGCAGTGAATTTTGGACAACGAGCCAAAGCTGAATGAAATCATGCAGTTGATTATTTTCTTTGTTTTAGGTTTGAACTTGCTATGCATGCTCGTTAAAATCATTTGTCCAAATGTTGCCTGCTAATACACGTAATTTTAATTACTTTGTAACATTTGCACCTTTTTTACTTCTGATGATGGAACCCATTGTTTATCTTAAGGCACACACCTGTACTGAAATAATTGCAAAGCCACAATTTTTGTCAAAGTTTTTGTCTTTTAAAAGCAGGAATTAAAACCCTGTAAGTAATGAACAATCATAACATAGTTTAAAATGTGCAGTAAATACAGTTGTCTCTCTTTCTATTAGCTGACTGCATAGATTTGACTTTTTTTGGCGACAGAAAGCTTTTAGTGTAGAAATCAAAGCTTTTTATTTTTCTGAACGTGGCAGTGGATCAATTCTGCTTGTGAAAAAGATCCCTTACCTCTGAGCTGTACTATAATTTGAATATGGTAATACCAATTTATTTAAAACACAAGTGCTCTGAATATTAAAAAGAAAAATCTCTGATTTCTGCAGCGTGGAGGAGCAGCTAGAAAACAGGCTGCAGTGGTTTTCTTTAACCTAATTTGGAAGTCTGCTGGTTGTGGTTGGAGGTATGCATTATTCAGTTAGAGGGACTTGCCAAAATAAAACTGCGTGACAGATTGTTTCCAGGATCAACCAACGGCTTTCTGTTCACATCTTTTTTTTTTTCCTCCCATGGTTTTATTTATTTTTTTGGGTTTGGAGAGGAGCTGCTTGTTTTCGTGCTGTTATCACTGTCGTGTCATTTGTGTTTTTGGTGGGGAAAGTGGATTTTAAGTTTATCTTTGGAGTTTAATTGGCTGATTATAAAAGGATTGTGTTTATTAAACCGTTTTGTTGATTAGGAAATTAATATCTTATTAGACTCTTACCAGTATGGCAGGCAGTTTAACATGTATTACAAACCTTTTTGGTAATTGTTACACAAGAGAGGATTCAACACTTGTAACAGCTTGAAACACCTGTACAACAGGAGCTAACATATTTGACAACCCCATCACCGAAAAGCTTTGAATCACTTCAAAAAGGAAAAAAGACTAATTTAGGATGTCTTCCTACTCCCGCCTCCAGCTTTCTGTAACATTAAATGGCTTTTTGATGATACAATACTCTGTGATTTACTGAGTGGCTGAGCAGGACAAGCACTACGTTTATGCGCCTCCTTTCAGTCCTGTAAGACTAGATGGGTAGGTTTCATTGTTTTTCCAGAGGGAGAAGCTTGACCTGCTTTTATTGTAACATTTTGTGCACAGGACATTGTCGGCTCTATACAGGCTCAGGATTTGAACACACACATCAAACGGTCTTAAGCATTAATCTATATTAAAAAAAAACTAAATATAAAGGTCAGAAAGGGTGTTCTTTTACTTGAATCTACATAAAACTTACACAACAGGAAAAGAAACGCAACTCATGTGCCAACTCGTCATGATTGCAGGCTGTAGGAAACAATGTAAAACTTTCACTTGCTCAGTCAGGAATGGATCACCTCTTTGAGAACTGGACTGAAACTGGAAAGGTCAGCTCTGACCATTGAGGTGCTTTTTGTGTAAGCGCACGCAGTGGGAGCCAACGTTGTCGTCAGATTTATGTTTGGTTTAGGGATTTTCTGTAAACAAGTAGTTTTGTGCTTGAGCGCTCCAAAACCATACACGTGTACACCCAAGCTCAACAAACCGTGCTATGACAAAACTTCTTGAGTGTTTTTTTTTATTTTTTTTATATATATATTTTTATGCAAACTTGAGACGGGACAGCAGAGGTGATGTACAGCATAGTGATAATAATGTCACCATCTTGACAAAGGGTGAGAGCGAGTCCAAACTCTCACAGTTGCCTGCGAGATGGCATCCCTGTGACCTAATGGAGGGAGAAAATAGCCTTTATCCATATGGCTCAACCTACTTGGATTACACAAAATGTGTGTATGTTGGGGACAAATAGGTTTTGCCTTTTATTAGCTATGAGCCACATGGAGAAAGATAATGAGTTATTAGCTTTTGAAAGGTTACGCTTGTAAATTTTTCATTTATGAGACAATTTCTCATTTTGTTTCCTGTCCAGTTGCTGCTAAATTGTGTAATGCAGCAGTGATCAGTTTGTGCATTATAAGGAGGTGAAACTGCACAGGCAGATGGTAACTGTGGTGGCCAGTTTGCTTTATGGCATCAATAGACTTCTAATGCGTCACATAAATGAAGCAGCAGCAAAGCGACAGTCCTAATACAATCACGAATCATGAGCTCCACAAACTAATAATTACGGCATAGCAGCTGCTACTTGCTACTAATTTTATACAAGAACCACAAAACATAGACTTGTGAGTTGTGGAAAATGTAACATAAGCCAGTGAGTCATTTTTGACCTTATTTGGCCACAGACAAACGGTGCTTTCAACGATAACCGCAGCCTTGCTTTGTGTTAAAGTTGGCGTATTTGTAATTTATGGGAAGCCATCTGGTGGGAGTCATCAGGTTTGCTCGCTCTGGATTATCAGATGAGAGTCAGCAAGGATGTTGACGAGCATTTTATAGTACAACAGAGTAGGAACTGCTGGCTTTATGGTGTTCCTGTGTTCAGGGTGATGATGTCTTCATATGTTGTTGTAAATACAGTTAAGGGTGAGCTCTTCACACAAGTCAGAAGCACGTACCAGTAATAGTCTTCCTCGCCACCATACTTGCCAGTTTCTGAAGGCTTGTACGAAATGTTTTTCTCTTGTTTGGGTTGTTTAGTCGTAGGACCTGCACAACCATATTCCAAAGAAGACTGGTAAACAAAAGCTAAATGCAGCTATGCGCTATAATTGCGAGCTGTCAGTTTTTAGCTGCCTATTCATAAAGTAAACCATGAGTTTTAAATTGGTTAAAGTTTGAGTTTAAGGCCAGTTTACATTGTAGAAAAACTTATTTAACAGCTGCATTATTAGAACCAATCACTAACGGGTAAAGGGAGTAACGCCAGCCAGTCATCTTGTTCTGCTGGTAAAACCTGCATCCTGTGATGGTTGACACCTACCAAGAGTGTCTTCAGCCTTCTGTGAAATGGAAACTATGCGCCCACAGCAACCCACTCCCAAAACTTGATCATGAATTGCTCAAAGATTACGCTAAATGAATCTGAGATGCTCTGTCTGTGCTCAAACTTGTACAATACCAACAAAAGGAAGCTCCTGCAGGAAGCAAATCATAACGCTAATTCACAAATTGTCTGTTGTTGTCGCTATTGTCCATTGTTTTCTTCATTCTTTGGTGAAATCAGGTCTCTCTTGTAAATGAGTCCTCGAGGCTCAATGGGATTTACCTGTCTAAATAAAGGTTGAATGAATGAACAAAGATCCCCCAATTTGCATAATCTCAAAGATATTGGATGGTTAAAGCTTTTTTTATTTATTCCAAAGCAACTCAGTATTAGTGTGGTCATAATGTTATGGCTTTTAACCTCATTATTTGAACTGTGGTGTGTGATGAGCACCCACTGTGTCTGAAAATGATCCACAGATTGGCTAAAAATAGCATAGTTTATTAACGCATATTTGACTGCTGAAACTTGTTCTTGTGAGGAACGTTTGGTTTAAAAGTGGGTTTTTGCAGCATCATTCTTGATTATGAATCTGGTCCATATCAGATTTGTGTTTGTTTAAAATCTCCTTGTTAAACTTTACCAGCAGCAGTCAGGTTTGCGTAGCACAATAGAGAAAAGACTGCCCTGTCACAAGATGCAGACTGCCACAATGGCCCATTATCTTATCATCATGACGCACCAAGAAAGTGACACAAATGGATAAAATTCCTTCCATTTCTTGCAGATTGTGTTTGTAAATAAAAACAAAAAAGATAACGAGTGTAAAACAAAACCTTTGCCTCCTGACCTAGGTAAATGGCACAGGTGAGACCAGATGGAGGGGCAAAGTCTCCTGTCGTGGTTAATAAGTGACGAGGTGACCGTACACTGTAATATAAAGTGCAGATTGATGTTTTACCTGTGACTCGACAAACTATACACACAAAAACCAGCGGTAAAATATAATATCATTAATTTATTTCAATTTTACGATCATTCTGTTAAAACAGTTTTTAGTGTTGTTTATTAGACATTAACAATTACGTCTTGATCAATAAACCTGTTTAAAATATACAACTTATTGGTTCAGACTTATAGACAGTAATTAAATAAAGCATGAAAATGTTAAATGTTTTTATTTTATAAACTTTTATAGAAGCGTATGTCTGACAGGAGTAGTTTTGGTCTACAATTGATATGCTATAATGCAAAATAATCTCTATTCTGAATGTTAAACTGTTTTAAAATGCGTGTACATTGTTTGATCTTAAATTAGTCCATTGAGCTTGTAAACTTTGATTTTGTTGTAAGTCGAGCTTTCGTACTGAAAAAAATTCACAAGTTCAAGTTCGTTTGTGTAAAAAAAAAAAAAAAAAAGATTTTTTAAATTAATTTGTGACGTTCATCGCTGACTCTGAGGCCAGATGATTGCTTTTGTGAACTTTTGTAACAAATAAAAAGTGACAATTTTCCTATAAAACTTGGAGCTTGCTGTCTACACTGATTCAAAAATTGCGCTCGTCTTGTCGAAGCTCCAAAATTCACGGTTGAAGCCTGTGCCTTTGTGTAAAAAGTTGTTTTTTCTCTGCAAAATTAAGCTGAGAACTTGTTTACTGATTTAAAAAATTTTTTTTTATTGAAAGCTTTGTGTGAAAAATGTTATGCTAAAGAGCTCAAACCACGTCCACCATTTTGAGAACCTAAGAGACACAGCCCATGTCACGTCAAAGGGCCTCCCTCCCACTTTTCTTAGACACGCTGCTTGCTCCCTTACTATAAATCCTTCCGTTCAGTCTTATATTGCCATCTGGTGGTCGAAAAGGTACTGCATACAAAACAAATTAAACATTTCTTCTTAAATTGGACAATAATTACTAATTATTGTCAAATTTCCAACAATATTATTGTTTATTGCAATAATTTCTGAAACAATTAATCGCCCAGCAAAATGTATTATTGTGACAGGCCTAATATTAACAATCAAAAAGTATTTTTGGAAGACCTCCTTAGTGGTGGACCTTGGGCTCATCAGGTTTTCAAACACCCTCAGGTTGGACCAACCAATGTTGATCAGACTTCCATCTGTGTAGTTTAGCCAGCTGGGTTTATTAAAGAGTTAAGTTTAGGATAAAAAATAAAAGTTTTTTTTTTAGGTTAGATGTTCACTTAGATTGTCGTAGTGCTGTCACTTGAGGAGGGTTTAGTGTTTCTAAGGTGGTATTTGTAACTACTGGTTCAAACAATAATTGTATCACATATTTGAGTCGTAACAATACTTTAGCTCTCTGCCCTCAGATTAGACAGTTTGATTTATGATGAGTAATCCTAATCAGTGTGAGTCGGCGTCAACTGCACCCATGGGGTCAATCACAATCCAAGCCAATCCTAATTTATATCTGAAGCACTTCAAAACACCAAAGTGCTCTACAGAGTCAACACACACAAAAAAAGCAAAAATACAATTTAAACATGAGCCAATTTTAAAACTAGCAACAACACAAAAAGGTGTACGACTTTTTTTTTTTTAATGTTGAACTTTGCACATTAGTTGCTTTGTATTTGTGACTGGATGTTACTGGATTCTTTGTTTTTGTTGATTCCCCTCCATACTTGAAAATAATTCCAGTACTTTTTCACCAGTTCATAGTATTTAGAGAGCACTATTCTGTGTGTTTTGGCTAAAATAAATTATTCCAGCTTTTACTTATAGGATATCCAGTTTTAACAGAACTACTCTGGTACAGTGGGGGGGCAGGCAGGATACCATCTAACTGCAGGATGTGGGTCTATGTGAGCAACAGTACTGACCTTCCTGTGGGGGACTTCAGGAAAAAGCTGTTCCCCCTGCTTTTACATCATGTTGCCCAAATATTTGTATCTAATTGGGGTTTGATGAGATCATCAGGTGCAGTTGTGTTCTGGTCTATATGAACATAATGCGTATCAAACGAGTCGTTGCTTTAGAGGATTATCTTTTAGAGATCAATGTTACTTGGCTTCTTTGTAAAATGGTGCTTTTAATGAGATTGCATGTGGTGACTTCCTGTCTATTTTAATATGCATATAAAACAAAAATGTTTTATTCTTACTGTTTTCATCTGTTTCAGCATCATCTCTTTGTCTCAACAAGACGGTTTCTTTGGACAAAAACTGCACCGTTGCTAACTGCTCAAGTGCCGGTAAGTATATGACACCGCAGGCGTAAAATCAAAAGCAGAGTTTAACATACTTCATTAACGTGCTCTTTTAGACCCTGACAGAATCAGCAGACTTAATTTTGTTATAAAAATGTATTTTGCTAAGAGGAGAGTACCAATCCTCTGCTGATTCTTTGTGGGTCGACCTGTTCTCTTATTAAGGTGTAAATGGTTTTGAGCAGTTGTCTTTTCATCTGTCTAAACCTTTTGTTTTTTGGGTGTGGGTTTTTTTTTTTTGGGCTTGCTTCCTTTTGAACATTGTGTTTTGGTGTTGGTTCTTCTGTTCAGCTAATTCAACCCAGACTCCAACTTCTGCTCCTTCAACAACGTCTCATGCCTCCGTTTCCTCCACCACCTCTCACACCAACGCCTCAGGTAACTTGCCTAAAAACCTCAGCCTCATGTAGTCTGCAGTGTCAGGTGTGCTGTGGTTGGTAGTAATCTCTTCAAATTGTAGTACTTTTTCATTTTCAGCATTTCAGAGTTATGTATTGGTAGCAGCCACTTGAAGCATATTTGGAAAAAATTATATGGCCACCACCAATGCAAAAGTCTTTGTTTTGCCTACAGTGAGCTAGACTTTTGTAACATCTTAAATTATCTTGATCAATATTTTAGTCTTTCTGAACAACTAAAAGCTTTCTTTTTCTTTTTTTTTTTTTTTTTACATTGGCTATGCATTTCCTTTTAAGATTTACTTCCAAATCTGGCTTCTTGGAAAAAAAGTATAAAGATACTGGGCATGGTTTGAAATCTTTGCACAGTACTATACTTCCATGTTGTCCACTTTTTAAGAGTCATGCTCAGAACGCCATGTGGAAGTCACATTCTGACCATGTCCACGTATAAAGATCTAATCTCATTTCACTACTTTCCCTTACATTTTTTTCTTTTTTAGTTGCAGGTGTGAAAATACACGTCAAGTCTTATAGATGGGGCACATAATCACTCTATTTTACAACAAAATGTTTTGCACAGATCCTTTGAACATGTTAAAATGTCAAATTCAAACAAGACTGCGGACAAACATTGAGACATTTGGAAACCTTGCGAATTAGAGATGCACGATATTGGATTTTTGACCGATTTTCGATATGCCAATATGTTAAAACTTAATTGGCTGATACCTATATATATATATATATATATATATATATATATATATATAATTTCACCTTTTTATATCGGTGAGTTATTTTAATGGAATGGCCAACATCCGATATTTAACTTTATCGCTAATATCGGCCGATACAATACCTTTCCGATAATATCGTGCATCCCTATTGCGAATGATGTTTGCAAGTCACCAACAGTCACAGCCCAGTGAGATACTGACTTCGCTCTAAGTAATGAGATTTAGTTGTACTCATTGCGGCATGACAGCAGTCCTTCTACTTTAGTTAACAGGCCACTTCTGTGGAGTAAGATGAGAGGTGAGCCTCAGTTGTAACTGTACCAACATTGCTTGGTGCAGTTTTGTGCATTGGCAGCAGTCGAGTGGTTTGCACCAGATGTTCTCCCTCAGAATGCTGCATTACAACACAACCCTGTAATCACGAGAGGAATGACAAACGCTCACGGTCATCTTCCTGACCCAAAGTGCCTTCTTTGGTTTGAAGGACTTTTCATTTTCATTTCACCTTTATATAACCAGGCATAAACACTAAGAACAAATTCTTATTTACAGTGCTGGCCTGGCAAGCACCAACAGGTCCTTGTAGGGTCATGGGAAGGGAAATGGTTCAGTTAGACAAAACTATAAAATATAGTAGTGAATAACAAACAAGGAAATCACAAATTATAATAACAACAGTTCATTGTCAGAGTGAAATGACAACATTGGAAACATTTACAAGTACTGGTATCTAAAAATGGCTTTTTTTAAAACAACTTCAGTCATTTGTCGCTGAGCGCTGTTTAGTCTTTTGGTCATGGCTATAGATCAGAGCTATTCAACTGGTGGCCCACTGGTGAGCACAGTTCGGCCCACCAATGGGTTCATTTTTATATAAAACTAGATTTTAAACTTAATTAATGACTAACTGCAGGATGTCCGGCCCCTGAGCTCTTGGCTTTCAGTAACTGTGGCCCCCTGAGCATTTTAGTTGGAACATCCCTGCTATAGATCCACCTCTCTTTGCAGTCTTAGGTTCATGGCGGGATCACAAAACACACAGGCAAGTGGTCAGAACAGAACTTCTGCCTTTAGTAGCACTGACTCATTAGGGAAATTCAACATTTACAACCAATGCTGCTGGATTTTAACATGGTTAAACACTAAGTTTACACTTAAGAAAAAAAAATGGCCAAAGCCAGAATAAACTCTCAAAAGAAAAGTTAGTGTGAATCATGTGCTTGACACCTTCAGACTCCTCCACAAAGTACCTTATCACGCTGAGGCCCTGCTGGTTTCTTGGTTGTGGGTGAATCTGTATGCTGCTGAGTGTGAAACTAAACTCTAGGCCCAGGAATATTTGATGTACATCTCTAATGTTTATACTGTCAACTCAACAGATGTAACCGTTTAGTTCGTGTTTTCCTTTAATGTGACCCTGTTTCAAATGATTCAACAGTTTCCACAGTCACACCGATTCCCAGCAACACATCCTCCACTTTGAGTAAGTCCAGTTCTGATAGACAGTAAACTATCCTTTTAACCCAAATATACAAAAATATCTGCTATTCTTTTAATGCTTTCTAGTGCCAAATACCACCACAGTCCCGCCTCACAAGAACTCAACGTTTGATGCTGCGAGCTTCATCGGTGGAATAGTGCTGGTCTTGGGCCTACAGGCTGTTATCTTTTTCCTCTACAAATTCTGCAAATCCAAGGACCGCAATTACCACACCCTTTGAAGTGGCTGCACATTAGGATCCACATCGTCCAAGCTTTCCTCTACAACTACACCCTTGTAGAGAAAACGACCCCGCTCATGATGGTAGACTCAGGCAGTGTTTCCAGGCAGGTTTCTCCCGACTTCTTTCATTTTGTGCCACAGTGTTTTAGACCTGCTATTCCTGTGTAAAATTTATTGACTTCCAATTTTACAGATTTCCTCTGGTAGGCATTTAGGTCTTGAGCGTATGGATTACGTAATTTGTTAGCAACCCCCACCTCCGTCATGCCCTCAGTCTGCAACAAGCATTTTCCAGCGAATCGAGTGGGCTTGTTATTTACAGCCCCTCTGCTCATACCTTCAGTTAATTGCGCCACGTGACGGCAAGAGAATTACTCACATATACAGAGTTGATTTCCTGTTGACTCTTTACATTTTTACATTCACATACAAAATCCTGATGGGAAACACTGTTTGAGCTATTCTTAAATGTGACAACTGATGGTTCAAAACTGCTTTTAGTCTGTTTAATCTGTTTTCTCTCCTCCACACAACTGTTTTGTGTATAACTGATCAAAGGTGATGGAAAAGAAGGAGCAGGGTTACTTACAAGGGAATAAAAGCAACATTTAATCATCTGATGCCAGATTGAAATAAGTCCCATTTGTTGAGTGTCTCCTCTGTCGTTGAGGAGAGCTATGGGTTTTCCTGAAACATTAAAAACGCCAACCTTCAAGTATAGCTGCCCGATGCAATAAATCACGTGTCGAGTTCATTTCAGAACCACAAATCTCTCAGCTGTTATTCCCGATCGTTAAATCGTCTGGGTTGCCAATGTGGAGCTGGCCCCTTCCCTTCTGAGTAACTCGAGCCAGTTATTGTAGGATATTTAAAAAACGAGTGATTGGTTAATTGTGTGGAATAGAGGATGAAGTGACTTAAAACAAAATGGCATGCACCTTTCTTGATGTGGACAGTAAAGTGCCTTTAATGTCCGGTATGAGTGTCGGCGAGTAAAAGAAAGATTTCTAAACCTCCTAGGCTTCAGCTCCAAGTCTTTATTTTTATTTTTTTGGTTAGAGAACCAGTATTGCGGTGCCAATACTGCAGACAGCTGTACTGTTCCCAGCTGGAGTTGAGAACCTTTTATCGTTGAAGCGTACAGTTGGTCGTTACCGTTCAGTCTGCAGGTACAAAAACTCAGATGAATCGATCATCCCACTGGCAACTGCAGAATAAATTATTTAAATGCCATCTCTGGTTCTTGCAGCGTCTCATACCATCACTGACTTTTCTCCCACGTTACTGCTCATGTTTTAGTTCGGCTGTTTAAAACCGTTGCATTAGACGGTAATTTGGCAAAAAGTTTTGTCGGTGCGGGAAACTTTTTTTTCTTTTTGGTTAAGAAATGGCAAAAATATTGGGCTTAATTAAAGTAAATCTAAGTATTTGAGAGTGTTTAGTTGGAAAATGTTGAACTGTTTTGAGTGTTGGTGTCATCAAACGATGCACCTCTAATCTGCTTTGTGCCGTAAACGAAGTGCGTAAATCCAAAACGGTGGCTGTGTTCAAGCTCGTGTTCAGTCGTTTGATTAGCTCGCTGCTAACTGGTTTTGTTTTTTCATCTTGTATATAGCCATTTTTCTAGTTGAGTTCATTTTCAGATTTCTGCTGAAGAAAAAGTGAAATGTAAAGCAGAGCGTTTTGTTTGTAGCGCCGCCATGTCAGATGTTTTATCCCCCCCCTTCTGTTATTGCATGCTGAATGCTTGGAAAATGTAATTGTTTTTCCTCACTCTCATTGCATATGCTCTTAAGGATTTAAATATACACTCAAACCACTTGTTATTTGTGATTAGCCCTTATGCTAATTGAAAGAATGCCTTTAAGCAGTGTGCGTTAGGCCAAAGTCCTCAGTTTTGGCATGGAATATGAGCGTTGCACTGACGAGCTTTGTTTTGTAACTTTATCTTTTGTAAGTGTTTTTCATGGTTCAGCTCAAAAAAAAGAAAAAAAAAAGCCTGTATAAATAGTCTTTAATATTAATAGATTACAACAAAGATTTAAGAGTTTATTGAATGCAAATTATGCTTTTTGCTCGCCTGATTTTTGGGATTGCATGCTTTATGCTGCTTAGTTTTACACGCCTTCTAACTTGCAGCCCAAAGACACAAGTGTGGCGATTTGGCTGCAGACTTTAGCTGCGTCCTTTCTGCATGTGGAGTCCCTTTCACACAAAATAGGAGAAATATTTCACATGTTCATAGCTGAGCGCTCTGCTCGCACAATTATGGCTGCATTCTTTACGAACACAGCATCACGTGTCACTACGTCAACGGTATTCAAGGATTTCTGACGTCCGTCCGTGTTGCATCTCATAATTACTCTGTGCACCTCTTGATAAGTGCCTTATTCAGTTAGTATCCACATACACTCGTGTTGTACAAAAGAGATGCCATACTTACTAAATATCAGTGAAACTCAGCACTTTTAGGCCCCTGTGAAGTGGTTGTGTTGTATTCCGCTTAAACGTGTGCTTTGTCACGCTCGGCCTTAACTTTTTGATCTAAACCACAGAGCTGCTGTAAGTGAGAAGCTGCTCGGGCGATAACCGGGGTCAGTTTTGTTTGAAACGAAATGGGGTTTTATCAATGCATCAAGCTCGGATGCACCATTTAAGACGAGTCAAATGAACGGCAGATGATGGTTGTGGTCTGAGGAGCTTCTCCCCAGCTCTTTGGAATGACTCACTGGAAATGTAACCGCAGACCTCTAGTGTTCTCTTTAACGACACCTAATGACTTGAACTCCTGTTTGTTGTAATTAGCGCCTTTTTTTTTTTTTTTGCATTTTGATGGCTTATTTTCTGTTCTGTTGGATATTTAAATTTGAAAGTCAGATGCTTGGCCATATCAGTTTTCACCCATTCAGACACAAGTACAGGCTGCGTCCTTTGCCTTGTGATTTTATAGCGAAGCGCTCACTGCAGTGCTGTAACTTTACCCATTTAGTACCCATTAGTCTTGTTGGTACGACTTTTGGCTTTTCTCTCAACCTTCTTCGACAGACAGCCATATGTAGACACTTGACAGTGCCACAATGCCTCCTGAAATGTATTTTGTTTGCTTTTTTTTGTTCTCGTTTTTCTGCCTCTCAAGCCTTTTTAAAAATGTTGGCCTCGTTTTCTGGTTTTGCCTTTTTGTTTTACGTTAAACCAATAAAAGTTTGAATATTGTTAAACGAGTCCCAGCGTTTACTCTTTGATGCCGGCTTCAACTTTCTTGGAGCTTAATGATTTACATAAGAGGGAAATGGATGCACTGTGGGGGTTTGTTGTCATGGTTACAGCTGCCCCGACCAAAAGAAAAGGTGGAGTATCAGGTTCGAGTGATTCTTTGTATTCGCTGAAACTAAAAGTCAACACGTTTAGGTGAAGAGAAAGTGAAGCAAGACAGCAGTACAAACAAGCCAGGTTTTTTTTTTTTTTTAAATATTACTCAGAAAATATCCATGTAGATAAATTTTATTATCTTAACATTTTTTAATTGTTAAAATTACAATGTTTAGATCAGTTTACACCTTGATTTTAATGTCCAATGTACCTGATTTCTGCCTCTGTAGATGCAATGTTCGCAAGCTTTATTTATTCTTATCCATAACTTTCACATTTTTGTTTTAATATTTTGATTTTTAATGCAATCCCAACCTGAAATCCCTAAAAACTAGAGATTGGAAGGAAATATTGCTTTATGTACACAAATTTAAAACAACCAACCGTTTTGGATAAAAAAAAATAAAAAATAACCAGACACTAGATTTACATTAGGGCAGCACGGTGGCGCAACTGGTAGAGCTGCTGCCTCTCAGCGAGCAGGTCCCTGGTTCAAACCCCGGTCCATGTGCCTTCTGGGTGGAGTTTGCATGTTCTCTCCGTGCATGCGTGGGTTTTCTCCGGGTACTCCGGTTTCCTCCCACAGACCAAAAACATGCATGTGGCTGACTGGTAACCCTAACCCTAGGTGTGAGTGAGAGAGTGAATGGTTGTTTGTCTCGTTTGTCTCTATGTGTCCCTGTGATGGACTTGCGACCTGTCCAGGGTGTACCTCGCCCCTCGCCCAGTGATTGCTGGACATGGGCACCAGTGACCCCCGTGACCCAAAATGGAATAAACGGGTAAAGATAATGGATGGATGGATAGATTTACATTAATATCCCACTTTTGCTCCACAAAGGTACAGTCCTTAATAGCCCCAATATGTTTAGTGTAGTAAAAGCAATTTTAGTTTCAATGTTTAGTTTTATTGTATCATTTTTGTCCCCAAAAACACTACCTTGGACAAAAGTTAAAAAATATAATTTTTGGAAAAATAATGGAAAAACACAAAAACCTAAAAAAATAAATAAAGTACTGTACAAAGTCTGACATTAAAAAAATATTTATTTAAACTTTGCACATAAAGAGTACATTTTCTGCAGCCATTTGTAAAGGTTTACAAAAAACAAAAAGGGACTCTTCTCAGGGTCACAGTTCTGCATAAGTAGCAAAACCTTATCTTCAGTGGAAGTGCGTGTTCATTCTCCAAAAACAATTTCAGGACCAAACTGTTATTGTTTCTCTTGTTCATGGACAATAAGAATAAACTGCAACAATAAACTTTTAATGCTGTTAGTTAAAACTCGACCTAATACGCCAGGTTTGTTCATTCTCAGCATTTCACCAAAAAATGAATTGGATGCTAACTTTTAGCAGACATGCTGGCAATACATTTAGTTAACGATTAAGAAAACGAGAGGAAAAAATGTTTAGTCTTGTAAAAATAGTGCACCATTAAAACACTCATTTGCTCCTGTTGTACAAATGCTGAACGCGTTCAGAGCAAAATGCCTCCGGTTCTTGTTTTCCTATGAGCACACCCCTGTCGTTAAGGCAAAGACAGATGTGCAGCAGTCACAAGGTTTCAAAGTTGCAGGGTCAGGAGAGCGCACACATGCATCCTCTATATGAGGACACGGAGCGATCCTTAGCTGCCTTGGCTAACCTGATTGTTGTGTCCAGCCTTGCTCTAATCTAATCTTTGGAAGCACAGAGAAACAATGCATTTTGATTCAGTCTTTCTTGGAAACACCAGCTCAGTCTATTTAACCTCTAATTCATGCCAAGAATACCAGGAGCAAAAAGAAATGTTAACTTCACAATGATCCTAATGCAGAAACTAACAATAACGGATTCTTTCCTTCTACATATCCAGATATTTAGACCATCTTGGACTCTTGGGGCACGTCGTGAGAGGATGCATTTGTAGTAAAGCAAGCGCTTGAGATCAGGAGACCTGATGAAATATTGACAGAGGCTTGACAATGAGAAGACAAATTAAGGAATGTTGTGAGGTAAACTGACATGATTGTTCAGACCATAAATGGTGACTCAACTTGAACAGAAGTAGAACTTGGGAACACACAAAAAAAGTCATCTGACCAGAAAACAAAGATATGTGACGGCTTTAAAAGAAACGGGTATATTAAAAAGTGAAAGGATGAACTGCTTTTCTATACAAGCCTATTTGTACAGAAGAAACTACTCAGCTGCTTTAACAACATTCACAAAGCAATTCTCACGTGCCAGACTTTGCAAACTATCAAAAAAAAAATCTAAAAAAAAAAAAGGCGTAGAAATGACAATTGTACATTTATAAACAAATAAACATTTTTATTTAAAAACGATTTAAAATACATTATATGAAAAAAAATCCCAACTTAATTTAAGACGAGACCTTAAGCCACAGTTTTCTCATCATTTTCAAAATGGTTTTCAGTTAAAGTTCATTTAAAAATCCTGAATGTGCAAATATATCCCAAACCCTTCATAGATTTTAAAACGAAGTCCTGTGTAAAGCACTTTATTACACGTATGGTTTAGTACTAAAATGTCTCCCAAGCTGGTTGAAGATGGAGGAAAACGGGCTGAGGAGGACCGAGAAAAATTGTCATCAAATGCAAAGCAACAAAATGTCTTCTGGAAAACCTCATGTTTCCCAGGAGAGGTCGTCCTGTTTTAGGCTGTTTCTAAACTTTTGGGTCTCTCTGAGGAGCTGCAGGTTGTTTTGAGTCCCCGTACCTTTCTTTCCTTTTTTCTTAGTCTTAACGGGCGAGGGAACAGGTGGCTTGATCCCACTCAGCTTTGAGGTTGTGTGTTCCTCATCATGTGACATACTCTGGGTCAGTTTATGGACCTGCAGAAGACAGAACACATTAAAACCTAGAAACAGAACTAGAGATGGTGCTCACTTTAACAGATGTTTATTCAGGTTAAAACCACTTGACCACAAAAATGTATTTTTTCCTGACCTGAATGGTTTGGCTACAAAAGAATACAATTATCAGGTGAGTACACTTTTATTTATATCTGGAATGTATGAAAATGCATATATTAAACAATGGCACATAGAGTCTACTCTGTTTGCAGCAGAGTTTGAGTTTTTCTAGAGCCCGACCAATCAGGGCCGATAATTTAGGCTGATATAGACGTTGGGAGATATAATTTTAACCCCTAAAATTATGTGAATAAGCTGTAATTGTACAATGTATCCAGCAGAGGGCGCATGAAGACTACTTTCAAATCATTGCCATTCACTTAAGTTTCACTTCCATGTTCAGCACAGACAAAGCAGCAACTGTGTAGCTTATTTTGCTGAATAGAGCCTGGTAAGTTTATTTTAACTGATCTGTAAAACAAATCAACAATAATAAATTATCTTCAATCCTCCAACCTGCTCGTCATCAGCTACGTGCTTCTCAAGTTAGCAAACTAACCCAACAAAGTTAAGTCAGGTCCTCTGGATGGTTTTTGTGTTGAAACGTTTCGTCTTTCATCAAAAAGACTTCCATCAGTCTGAGGAGCCACAACAAACTCAGTCCCATAAGTAGCACACTCACATAATGGACCAACCAGTTTGATGGTGATAAGATGGTTTCTGATGGAAGATGGTTAGCATGCTAACATTTAGATAACCTAGCATAAACTATTGCCTTGTAAAACTTTAGCCAGAACAACAACTCTAATGTAGCAGTAAATATATTCCGTGTTAGTAATGTTATCTTTGTCATCCTCAATGAAATGCATCATTTGTCTGCAATCTCACCTTCTTTATAAAGAAAAATATACGCTGCTGCAGTCAATACTAATTAGACCTTGACCATACGTGACTGTTTAAACAATGAAAAGGGTGTTGCTTTGTTTAATTTATATTTATGTAACACACTTGATAACTTTATGGTAAATAGTGGAGGATAGAAAATGTGAACGCAAGTTAGGAAGACTGTTTTTATGACCATTTGTAAACCTAGTGTGTGATTACATATAGCATGGATCTGATTTGCTCAGCTTCATGGTTGCTAACAGCTGTGCTAAATAAACAAGCCCTGCACCACTTGGTGTTTACTTACATTTTTGCGGGTAGACAAGGCAAAAAATATTCAGCCAATGTATCAGTTATACCCAATATCTGTAATGGCGATAGTCAAAATTTCCATATCGGTCGGGCTCTAGTTTTTACAAGAAGAAGCATACAGGCAGACAAAACCTTTAGCTGAGCTAAATGTATGCACACACAAAACTGCTGCAGTTATTAAACCAATTTATTCTCAACATAATAGTCTGCCAGAATAAAACCATCCTTAGATTGAGCAAAATTACTAAACAGCTAAAAAATAAAAAATAAATAACTTGGGTGTGCTTATAGAACATGCATCCATCTGTATTTCTTGAGTTAGACTTTTTTAAAGTTATTTTGCTGCACTAAATAAAATTTCAAATACCGTCTGCTGGTGTTTGCGTAGCTTAGTGATCTGAGCTTCCTTCTCCTCCATCCTGGTGACCAGCCTTTCCAAGTCTTTCTGCAGGTCCTTCTTCTGCTCTTCCTGCTGGGTTGCTTCTATCTGATGGTTCAACTCCTGATGCTCACTGAGAAACACTTTCATTTACAAATACTGACAGATGTGGGAAGACAGTATATGATAAAACAAAGAAAAAGGTAAGAGTCACTCACAAGCTCATGTGTCCGAGCTCATCCTGCAGAGCCAAGAGCAGGTCGGACAACAAGCTCAGTGACTGATCAGCAGATGGACTGACAGGCTTCTGGAAAGCAGTGGACGATGTAGAAAAGTCCTTGTGGAGGCTTTTCTTGGCTCCACATCCAGACCTGTGCAGGGCACCCACTCTCTCACACAGCTGGGGCTGGTGGTGCTTCATCATGTGGAGGATGCTTTGAATGTTTGCATGAACGGAATGGCTTGGACTCGTCGACTAAGACATGGAAGGAGAAAAGAAATTGGTCAAAATTATTCAAAAAGAGGGGGAAAAGGTGAAACAAAAGAAATGACTTACTGTTCCCGCAACAAAGGGCATTCTTGTGTGCCTCGGGCTGTCTGAAGCCAGCTCATTCTGTTTCAGTGATTTCTTTAAAATAATATACCTGTCATTTATAAATCGCACACAATCTAAAAAACATTAGTAAACAAACATTAAAAACAAGAAATGTACCCCAACGGTCCTTTTAGTTTTCTTCTTTGGCTTTGTTTCTTCAGTAGATGACACAACCAATCGAAAGTTGGTATCCACCTCCCTCTGCAGCTGAGTAGAAGAACAGTTCAGCACAGTTAAAATCACTGAGAAATACTTCTTGATCCTTTTCTTTCAAGCTGCAATCTTAATCTTTGAACTGTGGCTACTTTTTCCACACACCGACAGCCAGCATTAACAATGACAAACTTGAGGTAAAAAACAAACAAACATGATGCATGAAAAAAAAAAAAAAGTCAATGTACACATATAGCTTATCAAATATCCCATTTCCACCCCTTCAGTTGATCAGCCATATGCAACATTTTTAGATAGTGATTTTAAAATCCTCTTGTCAATATAAACATACTATTCTAATGCTTATAATGTTACATGACTTTTTTTTTTTTTTTTTTTACAAAAACATGGAAAATAATAAATAAAGATACATTTGTTGTTGTGAGCAGCTATAAATTAACTCGGTGTGAACTGACCTCATCTGCCTTTTCCTGAACAAGTTTACGCTCATGCTCTTCTTTAAGCAGCTTCTGCTCCAAAATGGAAAGCTTCATCTGAAAGCATCCAACACAATGAATAAACTTATAGTTCAGTTTGTTGTTTCCTTTTTCAGGTGTCGCTACATCGAGCAAACTCACGTGAAAGATTTTGCAATTGTTTTACACTGGATACCCTTCCTGATGCAACCTGGGCTCAAATCCACAGCATCTTATGAACCACAGCACTGACCACTGATCCACAGCAGCGTTCTTATAATTCAGTTTGTAATGAGTTAATGATGTAGGTACTGGGTATGAATGTATAGAAAATTGTATAGTATAGTATAACTATATGTACTGTGTAGAATTGTTTGCAATTTGTGAGTTTGCGTCAGGCTCCAAGTTCAGAAATATTTAAATATATTTCCATTGCAAATATAAGGAGAAGTAAAAAAAATAAACAAAAAAAACTCAACCAAGTGGAGAAAAAAATGTGAATCTGTTTTCAGTTTCATGAGCAATGTCCATGTACTCAGTTATGTACAGTATACAAATTAAATGTAAGCCAGACTAAAAAATAAATATAAAGCAATAACATTTGTCACTTGGTGTGCAAAAGCTGCTCAAGATTCTCTCTGATCAGTCAGTGTCATCACTAATTTGGCTCACTTATTAATTCAGTTGGAGTATTACCGAAAAGATCCGTTTAATTCACGTGGTACAGCAGACAGAAAAAGAACTACAGAGCTTTATCACACCAGACCGCATCTTGGCATGGAAACTTGAAAAATGTGTTACCTCTGCAAGAGTTTGGGTTCGGCTCAGTTTAAAATATTCAGACTCTAGCTTCTCCAGCTTCTCGCTCTGAATTTGGTTATTTGAGATGCTCTTTTGTTGGCTGTGCAATGAAACCTAGAAAGAAGTACAAAGAAAATTAGAGCTTATTATAATAGCAGACTGTTTACTAGTGCAAAATTGATGATGATGATGATGACAATGATTTTATTTTTATATTTTAACATGAATTTAAAAAGGTACCCTAGAGTTAGATATACAAAAATGTTAATATTTCTTATACTGGATTAGATTATTGAATTTATTTTGAAGATTTGAAGTTCTACCTCCTTTTCCATCAGAACATTTCTCTCCTTCTTGACGTTTTCCACCATTTTCCTCATGTAGTCCAGCTGCTTCTCCAGAACTTTACAGCGAGCCTCTGCTGATTGCAGTTTCATGTCCACCTCTGTCAAAAGCACAACAAACAACTGAAAACATGCACACATGATAATGTGTGTGTTTACAACATCATAGGTCGTATTGCAAGGTCCCACAGAAGTGCAGTATTCTCTTTACACTCACCTTTCCTGGCTGAATCATCGGTTCCAAGAAAGCTGGCTGACAGTGATGATGCATCCTGCTGGTGCTTTTGAGCTTCATGGGAGAACTGAAGGTAATTCTTCTCTGCTTGTTTTCTTTCCAGCTCAAGCCTTTTAATTTTCTCCTGGAGAGTCTTCAGTGCATCTACAACAGCTGAGAAAGAGAGTTAGCAAAAAGTAAACAAACATAACAAATATAGGTGTAGAAAAAGAAAAAAAAAAGAAGTTGCACTGCACCTTTGCTATCAATATTATGTGCAGTCGGAGACCGAAGGCTGGCAGTTCGATCCATGTTGGAAGATGGTTGTGCAGGAAACTCCAGCTGTCTCGATACTGATAATATCCTGTCTGGAGGCTGGTAGTAGCTCCCAATGTAACTGTTTTTGGATGGCGAATCTAAAATCTACATGTAAAAAGACAATCCGTTAGAAACAGAGAAAAGACTGCAGCCATTGCCTATAGTTTTTTTTTGTTTGTATTTTATTTTATTTTTACATTGTGCAGTACATAAAACGTGTTCCAGATTCAAGGATCCTATTTGAAAATTCAACATTTTCTCTTATTTCTGCAACTTTTATTTTGTTATTTTATATTTTATTTTGTTGTTTGTACAGAGATGCAATCTTACTGCTAATTGAATTAATAAAGTCTCCAGATGGGAAGCAAAACGTCTTCAGCTTCAGAATAGAAGTCCTGTTGTTTTGAGTTTTTATTTATTTTATTTTTTTGAAGAAATAAATGCAGGAGCCTTGTTAAATGAAAACATTTAGCCAAATTCACGCGCAGTTTGTTTTTTCTTTGCGAAATGTTTATTTAAGTTAGGGTCTTGTTATGTGTTTCTGCGTTATGAACAAAAATAAACATTATGTCCGGAGTTATGTCCACTTATCTAACAAGAAATCGAAATTTCATGTTTTTACGCGTTTGCTTATCCACCATTTAGTGCTTGAACTACAAAACTTTCACCCTGCACTGCGTTGGTGAGCTACTTAAAATGACTTAAAACAACCAAGCAAACTCAAATAAAAACAAGCTCGTTTTTGTTAAACATTTGTTTGCTGACGGTTATTTAACAAACGGACACGTGACAAAACCCAACGGTCAATTAGCAAATGTTACCTGCTCGTTTTGTGTTTCCATTCTGTCCCAACAGTAAGGAAAATATTTTCAAAGTTTACAATTCGTGTTTTTTAGTAAAAAAAAATGACTCCCAGCTATAGTTAGCCGAAGTTAGCAAACATTTATCAAGAAGTCCGCAGTTTTAAATTTCCCTCCATTTCTCAGTTCCCCTCACTTTGGTTCCGCCTCTGCTCATTTTTTTTCTTTCAGACTGTTCTAGACCTGTCAGTGCACAAGAGATCTTGAAAAAAATTGAAAGGATAAAATTAAAATGTTTACATAAAAAAACATGTTGATAACAGATTGCATCAAACAGTTATTTGTATGCTAAGTTGGGCCTTTTCAAAATAATATTTACAACAATAACCTTCTCTGCTCTGTTTACTTTAGTTTATTGTCACTCTCTTGTCAGTTAAAAGCTGCTGGTTAAGTGAAGTCACTGAAACAAGTTTTTCTAATTGCTGCTTTGGGGAGAAAATATGTGTTTGATTATAAACACCAAGAAACAATGGGACAAAAAAGTATTGAGAGTTTTGACACTGGAGTCCTTGCTTGAATTAAAAAAAAAATCTTTCAGTAGTTTACTTTAGAAAAAAATATGCTTAGTTTTCATAGTTTTTTAATTTTTTTACTTTGGGTCTTCAAATGGTAATCAATTATTTAACTCTATGTGTTTATCAATCTTAAACCAGCCACTAGGGAGCACAAGCCAGTACTGTATATCTCTTGTGATGATCCCAAGCTTGGCTAAATGGTGAGTGTTGTGTCAGGAAGAGCATCCAACATGAAACACTTTTGCCAAAACTAATATGCGAGTTAATCTAAGTGACACCATACAGGACTGATCAAGGCCCAGGTTAACAACTACTGCCACGGGTGAAGTAGGGTGCCGGTGGAAATGTGCTACAGTCAGTTGAAGACCATGAGGAAGGAAATGTGTCAGGAGACAAAGGGAGAAGAGGAAAGTCACAAATGTAGGTTTGAAGGTGACAATTCTAAATGTGGGGACAACAACACGCAAAGAGACCTGGCTGACATGATGCAAAGAAGGAAGGTAGATGTTTTATGTGTCCAAGAGACCAAGTGGAAGGGCAGCAAGGCTCATAGCATAGGGGCAGTGTTAAAACTGGTTTACCATGGCGGTGATAGAAAGAGAAATGGAGCATGGGTGGTCACGAAGGAGGAGTTAGCAAAATATGTAGTAGAGGTGAAAATAGTATTAGATAGGGTGATGTGTCAAGGTAGAAGTAGAAGGTCTGATGCCAAACATTGTCAGTGATTATGCGCCACAGGTTGGATGTGATGTGAAGGAGAAAGATACATTTTGCAATGATCTGGATTAAGTGATAGAGAATATTCCCAGGGAGGAGAGAGTGATGATTGGAGCAGACCTGAATGGACATGTTGGTGAAGGAAACAGAGAGGATGAGGAAGTGATGGGTAGGTTTGGTGTCAAGGAAATAAACCAGGAAGGACAGATGGTTGTGGATTTTGCCAAGATAATGGAAATGGCTATAGTCAACACTTACTTTCAAAAGACAAAGGAACATATAGTGACCTACGAGAATGTTTTGATAGAAGATGCAGAGGACAGAGTTAGATGGAGGATGACTTGCTGTGGCAACCCCTGAGGGAACAGCTGAAAGAACAGCTGAAAGAAGATATGTTTATCAATTTTCATCTGGAACCTGGTACTGCTGCCTTATGGTGCAGGACTCCCTTGAAAAAGAGATCTTGTGTTTCAGTGAGACCTACCTGGTTAAATAAAGGTTGAATATCCTGATGCATGCTCAATAATCCAGGTAGAAAAATCTAAAAAAGTTAAATCTGGTCCTCTGGTCCTATCATAATTAATAACACATCTAGTTAGGACATGATATGCATTTTTTAAATCCTCACAATTTAGTTTTATTATGTCTTTATTTCAATAACTACACATTGTTATGAGTTTGTCTGCATTACCTATGCTTAAGCATAGAGTAAATGGAAATGTTCTACATTTACTCCTTCACGGCTTCTTGTTTTTCTGCCTGCCAATGTATTTCTTTTTGATAAACAAGAGAAAAAAAGGAGGGGGTGTGTGTATGTGTGAAATGTGTTGTGGGAAATGTAGTGAAATAGCAGTTTTTGTCACATCAAATTTTGAATAAAAGAATACAACTCCCAAGATCCATTTTCTCGATAACAGAGCGATGCTTGACTAACCAATCGCTTGACAGAATCCTAAAGCACCCGCCTTTAAATAAATATGCTCGGTGCTCATTGGTTAAAACCACCTGCCAATCAAATGTTACCTCCCCTCAAGTGGCTGTCCCTCTTGTCGTTTCTTCCCCGGGTGTCTGGTCAGTACGAAGGGAAGGAGTCCAGTAGCGGAAAACCAGCACCAAAGAATGTGGACAAAGTGAGTATATGTCAGCGACACTATTTGTTTTTTTGCTTCCGGTGAAGGTTTAATGTGTGAAAATATAATTTTCGGCGCCGTTCTGGTTGAACAAACTGGTGTCTTTGTTAACGGTCAACTGAACATGTCTATTCTACTGCAGCAACTGATGAATGGACTTTACTAACATGTCGAGCTGTAATGTTTCTAACAAAAAAATAAGGTTTATTATAAAACATGCCTGTCTCAATAATAATGTTTGTAATCCTTTAAATATCAGAGTCCATATTCATTGAATTTAGTCAGTTAAAATAACGCACATACATAATATACATTTAAAATACGCAAGAAAGTCAAAACACTTGTTTTTATTGTGGACCAATACACGATCCAATGACAAAAATAGAGGTGGAAATATTAAACAGAAAAATAAAACACAGTAAACAATTGATAATGTTAACAGTTGTAACATTTTGTATAATAATGAAAATATAATATGTAAAGACTGTACCTTTGTATAAGAAATAACAAAATAAAATGGGTCAGATCTGGTATTATGGTGGGTTCTATTTACAGTAATAGAAGCCATTGAATAGGACGGGGCTTGGCGGAAAAGTATATTGTATAAATAATTGTGTTTCAATTGTTTTACTCTGAGGTTGACTGAATCTGCATCTTGACCTGTTTAAAACCCAGAGTGACCTATATAGGTGCATGGTGGGGCATTTAGAAGATACCAAACTATTTTGTTCTGGGAGGTCTGCAGACAATTTTTATGTTTCTAGGAAAAAACAATAACGAGGCACTGGGATAGTCATGGTTTTGTATGAGGGCTGAGATGAGCAGCTTTTCAGTTTCTGTATCAAAATGCCTGATCTGCCTGTACAGAAACATTAGTTTGGTAGTGATGGCATTTTGTAAGTACTTGTTTATGACAAATTTTGGCAACATAAATTAGTGACCAGTTTGCTAATCTAATATGATTACAATAATGCACATACCCACTCTTTTTATAGGCACTGTGTGATTAAAAAAACAGCTTAATGTGTGTATTGTGTGTTTGCAGCCTGTTCTAAAACAGCACAAGCATTAGACCTACGAAAAACGATGGAGGTGCAGGACCAGAACTCTGTGGGGAGATGGGACGGGCTGTGCAGCCGTGATGTCGGCTCCAGAGCTGAAGCGTTGGAGAACATCTGCCAGGAGGTCATGAGGAAAGTGGAAGCCATCAACCCGATAACAGCTTTGGCCCCGTTGTCCCCTGCCTCAGGAAGCCCTCAGAACAGCGACCTGAACGACATCCTGGTTCACTTTCTGATGTTCTCCAAACGTTGTCCTTTTGAAGATGTCAGAGACCGATGCATCCAGCTTCTGCAAGACATCCAGGTAAGGAGGTTCATGTTAAAAGCCCTGGCAATCTGTTGCAATGTGCTGCTGCCATCTGCCACCTTCCTCTCTTCGCCATTTCATAAGCTCAGCAAACATTGTGACTTATTGAAAAGCTTCTCAGTGCAGCCAATAACAAGACAAAAACTCATTAAACTTAACCAACCTAACATCATCCATCCATCCATCCATCCATCCATCCATCCATCCATCCATCCATCCATCCATCCATCCCAATTTTTAAGGCCTTTTTAGGCACAGTTGGTGTAAAAACATCTACATTTTGAAAACATATATTGCAATTTAATCTAAGTTTGTTAGATAATTTATTTTAAAAAAATTTAATGTTTCTTGATCACTTGCAAATATTTTTACAGAAGTTGTAGTTGATAAGCTGATATTTTCAATGTTAAAAGCAGTTGGTGAGTTGTACATGTAGAGTACCCCTAAACCTCATGCTTGCTCTACACACAACAGTAGTTTCAAAGGCCAGAACTTTCATGCCACATCTTCATAGCTTTTATTGTATTTTTTAGAAACAAAAAATGCTGATAGTAAAAATATCAGCTAGATATGGAACAGTTTGAGTAGTGTGAGTATAAAATATTCTCCAACTTCCGTACCTGACAGGATGTTGTTTAAGCCCACACAGCAACTTCTAGCAATAAAGAATATTGACCAAAACATGTTAAGTTATACCTATTTACTGAAAACACTAATGCCCTTCATCATCAACTTCAAAACAAAATGTTGCCTTATTTATTTACTCTTTTAAATTCAAAATCTAACATTACTCTTATCATGGGATTTAGTTTTGGTCATTGTTGTTTTATGTTGCTGATTTACTAAATAGGAGTTAGTTTTCCTTTTAAGGCAACTGGATTCTCACAAAATCAAAAATCATGAGGGATTCAGTCTCACTTGGCTCCAAGTTTTGTGTTTGTGGCCAAAATACAGACGTTTGGATCAATAGGTGTCTTGTACTGCCAGCTGAAGGCAGTTTTTATGTGTAACAGAAGTCAACAGCGGCAGCTGCTTTGTAACTACGATAAATGTGTGTCGCTGTCCTGATTGGTTGAATTTTGCTTGTATTGGTGATAGACACCCACTTCATCCAGTATTCAATATTTTTATACAAGTGCTCTCCTCTTTTTATGCATTTTCCAACAGTGGGGGTCCCAGATGCTTCCGTATTAAAACGCTTCTGACACCACAGGTCAAGTTTAACCACCCACTGTGTCAGTTCTTAATGAACATAGAGGAGTTAAATTACAGGAATGTCATAGACAGGTGAACTGGTAATGCCTGCTGTTGACAGTAATGCATCATCTAAAAAAATTAATT